TTAATCCCCTTCCCCCTCCTCTCGATTCCTTTGGTCCTCCGGTCTCACCGGTCTCCCGGTCCTCTCCCCCTTCCTCGATCCCCGGGTCCCGGCCTCCCTGCTCCTTTCCCCCACAACGGACCTTCACAACACTGTGACAGCCGCTCTCGGCGCAATTGCTAGGAGGGTAGCGCATCTAATTGCATAGATGTAGCTTCGTCCTTCTCAATTGTCGCGTGAGCTACCTCCAATCCAGCGCGCCTTTCTTTTCGTCTTGAGATCGGGATCGCGTTCCAATTCTCGGGCCGGCTTCCGGTATCAAACGCGATGACGGCACAGTCAATGCAACGGTACTTGACACCTTCCTGAGTTCCTCTGTGTTATGTCGCCTTCTGTCATAAGCAAGACAGCGCGTTCCAGAGACAGAACGCAAATGCGCTCCTGTACTTGGAACGCGCTTGTCGCACGCTGACGCGACTCGCAAGTAACGCACGGCTTGAATGTGCCCTGGGTTCCTAAGACTCAGATCTTGAGACCTCGTCATGAGTATTTCTGACGGCATTTCTATCGTCTTATGAAGGGAATATTCTACGAGTCCCATAGGCGCTCCTAGTGAAAAGCCCATGAACGTCGTCCTTTTTCCTTCGTCCGTCCTGCTCTGACGACACGCTGTTCCTTGTATCATCCTCCATGACCGCAGCTGGGACTTATCACCCTGTATGCCGACGTGCTCTTCCATTCGAATTCTCTACTCTAGAGTAACTCCGAGTCGAACCCTCGAGGCTCTGCGCTCAACCCCTCACTGGACCCTTCTTTCTCTTAATCCTTCCCATCTACCCATCACTAGAGGGCCATTAGGTTCTTTGGGTCGGGTTCATCAACCGGCAACCCTTTGATCTACCAGCCCGTTCGCCCTGGAGATCGATAGTCTCATTTTGTGGAACGACGATGGTATCAGGCTTGCTCATCTCCACCGCTATTCATCCCCAGCGCCGGCCTCCATAGCCAAGCCAAAAGTTTACTTTGACTTTCGTTTTTGCAGCTACTCCTCTTCATTTCTGGCAGCTTGACACCTCGAGCCACGCTTTCACTGAGGCAAGGAACCGATTCAGAGACTCGTTGCTCGTCCCATTCTATACTCCTCCACCAGCTTCCACTCTCTCTGCCTTCGTGGAACTTCCAGTGAACCCCACTGAGAGCTAATGGGCCGCAGCAGAAGTCTTTCGTTTGGAACATAGGCTACAGATGGGTTTTCATCGATCCCTTCAAGCCTTCGTGATGGACCTGACCCCCGAGACGTACGGCTGGAATCGACCTCCCACCTTCGTGTATACAGGACAGCTTGAAGGATACCCTCGTTAGCGCTGTCCAAGATGAACTCGGATTGATCGACGGCGAGGTCGTCTACACCAGCGGATATTCCCCCGATGTAGCTACCTCGCTCAAGCCCATGCTGAAGCATCTCCTGGACGTGAAGCGTCAGGTGCGGAACCACCTAATTTCCCGATCCCTGGCATCCCATCTTTGATCCGGTGCACGACCTGGGACCGTCTGACTGTCGGTGACGCATTTCAAACAGACCTCTGAGCGTGTCCTCGGGCCAGCGCTTACCGGCGCCTAATTGGATCACACGCGAAAGCTCGAGTGGACGCTTGCCTGTACCTTGGCGCCAGAAATACTTGAGCAGCTCAATATCCCATAAGCCAATTTGTATGATAAGCTGTGCATTCGGCAAGTCCTGACAGAACAGAATTGATATCGAGATATTGCGAGGCTGTACTTCTGTGCCTCAAAAACTCCCCTCTTGTTCCACGCCGTATCATTTTGCGCGATGATCCTTCAATTTTAACACTTCGTGGCTTCCTATTGGATGACCTCCGACTCGGAGGATCTCATGCCGTTCCGCTCAATGTCCCACACTGATCCGGTCGGAGGTCATGATGGGTTCTCCGACATCCTGGCGTCCTTCTAGACCAGTTCCTGAATGGTTAATAGTTTCTCGATGGGCCATGAGAGGCCTGGGAAATTCGATTGTCATTGGATGACTGCCCGGGAGACGGAAGATGTGCAAGGGATTCAGAGAGGGACTCATTGAAAATCGGCCTGCCTGTTTTGCCACTCCATCTGGACAGTTAAGGGGATTCCTCCACGAAGCTCAGGCTAGTTAAAGGATAAGGCGTATGAGTGGCAAAACGCCTGCTATCTGACGTCTATCTGTTTAAGTTGAAGGCACTCGCGTACCCACGTGTTCGGCGGCTCCGGCATTTTCCACTCGCAAAACTGGCTTACGAAGAGCTTCGGTTTGGCGCGAGCGCCTATATCAAGGTCTCCGAAATTCGGAAAATAAAATAAAAAAGTGTCTATGCAGACGTCTAAAGAAAATCATTGTTGAAGGGTCCATGAAGAAGTGGAGATACATTCGAGTACGGCTACACGAGAGAGGAAGAGTACAGGATGTCAGTACAACGATTCGGGGTATAGTCTGCCTGAGTGTGGGTTGTATGGGGAGTGTAAGTAGACTGGAAATAGGGAAAATGAAAGACAAAGCGGAAATTTATGTAGTACAAACTGATTTGTCCCGGTTTCTATCTCATAAACTCTCAAGTGTTAACTTGTGTTTCCCAAAGACGCAAGGTAGAAAGAAGGAAGGGCGTGGAAAACACGACGGCAGCGAAAAACGAGAGGATCACGAAGGGGGATAATGGATAGCTAGATGAACGATAGGTTGAAGGCAGCAACGATAAATGAAGAAGAAATGAAAAGTGAGTAAAATTGGTGTCTGTGCGTCCCGAGAGATTTCAGAGGGAGATGTCGTAGAAGCATCGAACGCGAACCTCGTCCTTTGTCGTCTTCTATCGGCAGAGCGAGGTCTAGACCCTATCGAAAGGCCTCCGAAGTGAAAGGGAAGCGATGGCAACGAGGAGTGCCGTGAGGAACAGCGGCGAGAAAAGGGCGTATGAGGCGTTGACGTCAGAGGTGGATGATGTCATCGAGACGAAGTGCTGTGAAAGGGCGACGAAGAAATGTTGTTGCAGTCTAGAGATGGACGACCAGAGACGACGTGGTAGATTGACTGGATGAAGACGAGAGACGTCGGCGAGGGTCGTGGGGAGATGGGACGTTGCCGGCGGGTGGTAATTATTTTTGGGGAAAGGGAACGCCGCCTCGAAGCTATAGTCAGTTAGTGAACCGCCGATCAATAGGCGGTCTCTGCGCGCCCATACCCCCACTCCTAACCATGCCCTCCCACTCCTGCAGCGCCCTCACGAACCCTAAGTTCGGGCGTACGCACGCGCGCTTTCGGCGAACGAGTGTGAGGGCGGTGTCGTAGGACATGGCCTGGTGTGCGATGAGGTAGGCGATGACGATGGCGGCGGAGCGGGAGACGCCCTAGAATATGAGGGGTTAGTAGGGTGATGGGATAGGAGGAAAAGAATAGAAAGAACAATATTGTGGAGCCAGGCAGTCGGGTTCGTCGACACCTGAAGAAAGAAGGCTGATATGTGGGCTCGCGCGGAGCGTCACCGCCACCTCTTGCTCCCTGCCCACGACCACGACTTATCGAGCTCCGAAATTTTCGCAAAGAAGCTCACCTGCTGACAGTGAACCAACACACTTCTCCCTGTCCTCCTCACACCCTCGATATTCGCACACACTGCCTCCAGATACGGCCTTAAATCGACGCTCGCCTCGTCGCCCACCTCGATCTTGTACACGCTGAAGCCCTCGCGCTCGAGGTGAGAGGTCGGCGCCCACGGCGCATCAAGCACGGAGACGATGTGGGAAACGCCCTGTGAGCGGAGGAGGGGGGGATCTTGAGCTGCGGTGAGGGAGCCGAGGTAGAGGCCTCCGAGGCGGGAGTGGTGCGCGGTAGATGGGGAAGGCGGAAGGATTTGGTGCATTGGCGTGCACATTGCTTGCATGACTTCGGGCGGGGTGTTGTCGAACCGGATCATGTTGGCGGAGGGCAGGATGGTTTTAATTTTTGTTGGCGGATCCAGCGTTGAACAATTTGACCGGCAGATATCTGGATGGACCAATGGACGAGGTTTGGGCGGCGTGGCACTCCCTCTTAATCAGTCCCAACGAGGATAGGTGGGAGCGGGGATGCGGGCGCTTGATCCAGATGCGAATTTGATGCGCTATTAGTACTCCGGATAGCTGTTCTGTGGAGCCGGAGTGAATGCCTAGACGCTCGAGGGAGTCAGTCCCAAGGCTTGGATTGCGTACGGGGAGGTCTAGAATACCTGCAGATATAGCGGCTGGAGCCACGTGAGGGCGAATGATCAACGATCGAATCGCGTGAGCAGCGGGTCTGTTGACGATCAAGGGGAATAGCGGGTGATTCTGAATGGCGGAAGCGGTGACGTCGAACGAGCGCTGTCAGCTTATGGAACTGTGCGGAATATGGCAGAGCAAACGCGCGTAAGCTAGTGGTATAGATGAGACGCAGGGAGCGTGCGTTATTCCTATGGACGGAAGAAGATGAGCGAGGGACTCGATGGAGCGCGTCACGAAGTGGTAGTTATGGACGCTTACCTCGCTTACTGCCTTGAAAATAGATTGGACTGTGGTCAGTGTGGATGCTCGACGCCAGCACCTCCACAATCACAGGCGCTCTTTATACCCCAGCCAAGGACCATCGCAGACCCTGAGGCCTGCACGCTCGTATGCGTTTTGTCTCGATAAGGCAAGTCGCTGTGCACTGCTCATACCCCGATTTTCTCGCCCGTCGCTTGCATCCAGACGGACTATCTTGGGCAAGCTTAGAGTTACGCGACTGTTTGTATGGCTATTGATGGCACTTCTCTTCTGTGTCATTGCCGATGTCAGTGTCACGCTTGAATCCGTCCAGGTCCACGTTCATCGACGTCTTACGTCTTCATATTTCACATAGGATCACGTTTTGGTGGGTGGAATACCAAGGTCTAGGCCCCTGCCTTTATTCCGCCTCAACTATGGCTCTCATCATGACATGTCGATCACCATTCTGACGGCCCGCTCTAATCCCCATCTCGTCGGCGTCGACCGGGTACTTGTTGGGTCTTCGAGGTCTAGTTTCCTTGAACTGCTTCGGATCGTCCTTCCCAACGGAGTGGAGGATGGAATTTGGAGGGAGAAATCTTATCATGCGGTTATTTGATAACCACTTGCAGCGCCGAGCGCTGAAGCTCCAGTCGCGAATCTTCCATCGCGTGCTTACAGCACACCCAGCAAGTCTTTTCAGACTTAACGTCATCCATGCCGTTTACGCGTAATCAACGTCACGTCCATACATCTACCCTCCCCCTTCACAACGTTTAAAAACGATACAGTGCGCCGACTCTGTCAGTGTGCCTCCGCACCCGCTTCCGATTCCGAGATCAGGGCAGGGTCGCCAATCACGATTTGTTAGACTTTGTGTACTGCTTTCGGTACGATCTTCGGAGACTGCCGACTGAGTCCAAAGGTGGGTGATGGCTACGCACAGTCTAGGTCACGATAAGTCCGTAAAGCGGCAGTACGTCGGCAGACTGGCGATCAGCGCGACCAGCTGTCCCTGTCACGGCGTGGGAAGGAAGCAAGCCCCTCCCCGTTGTGAGACGATAACCCCCCTCAACACCAGTTGGATCGGGGTCCAAATGACGCTAGCTATTATATATGTCATGGAATCCTCGGTTGTCGAATTGGGAGTGACAAAAGACAAAGAGCGAAAAACTAGGTGTACACCTTTTGGCCTAGTGGTTCAATCGCGCTGATAGATGCTTTATCGTGTGAAATCCCACAAAGTCGACGCTCTAAGTCATCGGTTCGATTCCTGAGACCTACAATTAATATCAGGCACGTCTGATTGTTCCGCGCTAATTAGCCATGTACGGAACAAAGTCCATAGACGGCTAGGCGAGATGGAGTTAAGCGATTCGGCGTTGGACACGGATCGGAGTCCTGGACATGATTTCCTCTATTTCGTGTCAGGACATTCCGCACAGTATGCTCCGTGGCCGAACTTTTGTTTGAGAAGAAGGGCAGTAGACAATTGATGATTGATGCCTGTCAATCATTACCTTACACGCGAAAACAGATCCTTCCTTCCGGTAACAAGCATCAACGGATAGAAACTGGGACCATGGGGGAATTCTATTCGCGAACCCCCTTGGTTTGCGAACCCCTCCGGGAGATCAAAGTTTAACGGCACTTCCGGCCGACCAGCCGCAACAGGCAGGAGCCGTGACTGGCCGGATTAGGGTGCCGGAGTAGCGCCTGCCATGACATCATACGTTTGCCTGCGCCTGCATGTACTTAGGACTCACCTGAGGAAACCTGGCGCTCGACGAACGAGCCAACAATGTCAACATCGCCCATCCGTGACCCGCATTCTCAGCACTCGCGCAGGTCATCTAAATCTGCATTCTTTTGTATTCGGTGCCTGACTAATCTCTCGACTTCAGCCTAGCAGACCATGACTGCCAGTGAGGCATGCTGCTATTATCCACGCACCACGTTGAAAGGCACGAGGACGAATGAAAAAGATAATCTTTGGTTATGTTGTGGGGGTTCCGGGTGGGTCCTTCCTCTTCAGCGTCAATAGAAGATCCCGAGCAGTGAGAAACACTCTTCCTCGCTCATACATTTCTGAAGGGAGGTCACGAAATTGAGCTGCACCCTCGTGTACCCTTTTTTAAGTGCGCAACAACCTTCAACTAAATCATGATTTCCACGTTTCAACTCTGTTATCGTTGCTGATATCACTGCTTCCTGCGCTCGTTGCCTCCTGCCCTCTGGTATGGTCAGATATGTCACCCATTCTTTCTGACCTATCCTCTCCACAGATTATTTTTATTCTCTGTGATGAGCACCTGGCATCGACCATATTGTTCCTCATGGACTTGAGTCATGAGCCTTGTTCCTGCTGTTGGAACTCTGCATTGCATAATGCGGTGTCGAGCGCCGCATCGCAGGAGCAGTGCGTTGTCGCTGCGAGAACGTAGGCAAGTAATATTTTGCGTTTTATTCTTTCCGGGCGCTACGGGCAAGCGCCACAAGTAATTACATTTTATCTACGTTGTAGGTAAGCAGTGGATAATGGCATTGAACCCTCGCGCGATTGCGAGGGTTCCTGTTCTCACTCGAGTAGACGACGCGGACACGTTTATTTAAACACCTGCTCCGTGGCCAGGGAAGCAATCACCATTTACTACGTTGATTCCAATTTCCAGCGCTGCTGCCGAGGCTGAGCCAACTTATCAATCTTTAAGAAATGTCTATGGGATGGCAAAGGTAGGGCCACACCAGCATGGGTAGCCTTACCAATACGAGAGCCCTAATTACCACCCTAGAATACAACTAAATAACGGCTACTTATTCTGTTGCTGCTGCGCTGCATGTGTACAGTGTGGTGCTTGTGGGCAAGCCCCTATCCGGACCAAATGTCACAGCTGTGACAGCATTTGTCATCCCGTAATCTCTCCGAAAGGCGTCCGGGATCTGGGGGTTCATGAGGGGTTCGCACAAATATGGGGTTCGTGAATAGAATTCCCCGGGACCATGTCCTCGACATAGGCATCTATTTAATTTACATGCCGAGCGAGGGAGTAAATTAAATCACCCGTATGAGGCACATATCAGACCGGCACCTTGAGGTAGCCAGCGCTTAATCTGAGGACGCATGACAGGCCCAAGAAAACCAGGTGTTCGTGTACGCTACATAAATCCACGTGTATCCTTGCAAGCCAATTATATACATGTGCCTCTGACGGGCTCTCCTCGTGCTCATGGAGCAAGCTGGTGCCTAATCATAGTCCACAGCATAACCTCAGGTACAAGTCGATACGCGTCATGGCTCATTATGCTAAATTAGTGGCGTCTGTCATCGAGAAGGGGGTTTGAAAGGGGCAGGCACGTCTGGTCGCCCGCCAGCACGGTGAATATTTGCACTTTCCGGTGCATAAGGTCATAACCGAAGTGCATCCCCGAAGCATCTTCTTGCTTTGTCTATTAAGGTGTCCAAACTTTGAGGAGAACTTTTAAGGGGAAGGGTGATGATCATTCATCACCCGACTTTTACCCCAACACGTTCGGATGATCAAGTGGAGTGCCGAAGGACAAACGATTCACAAGACTGTCAAAGCTAGGCTAGTGCATTTCTGGGCATTTCTAAGACTTCTATGAGTTCCATTCGCGCAGTTCACGGCCGAAGAAACTTTTAAAAGACAACAGCTAGCCGGCGACACATGGTAGAGTGGTATAAAGTCGAGTGTAATTCCACTTCCTAGGTGTTCTACCTCCAATCAGGTGTAACAGCTCCTTGTTCTCTATCACGGTGTGGGTTCTGCCTATGTCCATCCTACCAGTGACGCACACAAACTGCTTCACGCATTGAAGAAGAACCTTCCAGGGAATGACGGATTTCTGCGACCGGATACTCAGTGGCTTGTTTACTCCCTTTCCTTCGCCTTCATGCGGCGCCCAACCGACTCTGCATGGTCAGCTCGGCGATTACCGGCGCTTAATTGCATTATACACGACCAAGGAAAGCCCCTGCCGATGCACATCAAGCCTGGGTTTTGTGCTAGAAAAAGAACGTTATACCTGTGCAGCGTGCATGGACATGGATGTGATTACCCTGTCAAGCGTGCTTTAATTCGCACAATAGGCAGCGGTCCCGGCAGGTGCGGAGTAAGATTAGAGATGCTCCCTCTCCGGATCAGAATTGATATCAAGCTGAATTATTGCGAAGCCGTACGGCTTCACCGTGGTTCAAACTCGGGCATTCCCCTCTAGTTTCCTTGCCGTCGACGGCTTGTGTGGAGTGGGTATTTAATATTCTATCGAACTAGCATGTGGCATCTTGGACGTCGAAATTATGCCAAGGGAGAATCCTTGAATTAAAATCCGTTGGCGTACCATACTGTCATTTTGAAAGTAAGGAATATTTTCGATCTATCGAGAAGAATAGAGACGTGGAGAGGGGCTCGATAGGATTCTTAGCTCCTACTCCGTCTCGGAGGACGACTTGGAAGCCTTTCCGATCAATTTCCCACGCTGATCCGGTCGGGGTATGTGATGGGTTCTCCGACACCCCGGCATGCTTCTAGTCTACTCGAGTCAATGATTGTCAATTTCTCGAGGACGATACAGGAAAACTGGTTATCACTGGACGGAGAGGGCAAAATTGGGGGAAAATGAAAAACATCCTCACGGGCCCGGGAGTAGAAATCAACTAGTTGCCTGCAGACACAGGACAGATCGCGGATTCAACAAACCTCTAGCTGATTTAAGAATAAGGGGCGTATAATAGCATATCTATTTCGAGACCGAACAAACGCAGGCCACCCGATTCCCACGTGTTCACCAACGGCTCGGGGAGTGGGTTGAGGGAAATGCTCCATGGCGTTCTCGGCGCCAGCCTCGTCCTCGTCCCTCGCGTACCTTCAAACAACTTCCATTCACAGAACCGAGATCGGAAGAAAGCAATTTCCTACGCTGAGTTTCTTCTGCTTGACCCGCAGCAAGACGTTCGAAGTTTGAAGGGAAATTTCGCCCGGCCTGTTCACGATCAATTTTCCATCGTTTACCGATGTATGGGATCGTCCCTATTTCGACGTGGGTGTCCTATCTATCTGCACGTTTATCCCTTGATACGCGGTGAAATGTACTTTTCCATCTGGAAGCCTCCCAGGGAGATTACGCGCTTGATGTTTGTGATTCATTGCGATGTGTTGACGAGCGGTAGAGCCTGGCGTTGTCAATGCTGGGATCAACTCTGGAATGTTTATCATGATCTTCTGACTTGAATCAAGGCTAGATGCAGTAGCACAGCCTTGCAATAATCTGAAGGCCTTGATTCTGATGAAGAGAGAAACTTGAAATTGTGGATAACATTACAAACGTGATTAATATTGATGTAGCGTGAACGAAAGCTCACTCGATCCAACATTGAACCGCATTACCTCCTAAGTTTTCAAGTTGATGTGCTAATCCGAGCGCTCCGGATGTTGACTTATCGTCCGCTGAGCACGGGTGCCCGTACAGAAGCATGCCACAATATCACGGCTTTGGAGTGGGGCAGGAAGTGGACCCTCATCTCGTCTTCTTTAGGCAAAACTAAATCACGAGTTATCCTGATTTAGGAGTGCGCCACGGATCAGAGACCGTCGTATGGAGGCCTTGATTCATTTCTACCAGCTGGGCAATCCTTCAGCTTGTGTTAAATTTACCTCGATCCCCTCCATCATTCCGACCGCACTACCAGGAATGGGATTGGAACTTCGACGAGGTCAGGAAAAAAAGTATTGAAATCCTTCATCTTTTAGTCTCTCGGCATGTCATAAGCCATACCGCCCGAAATTCCGTCTTTTTCTCTGCTGAGGACCGTCATACGGTTCAAATATACTGCAAGCGCTAATATATGTATCTGGGCCACTGGAGCAATGAGACTCGTTCCCGCGCTGTCGCTCTTTCATTCCACAAAAGACTAGTGACGATCCCCTTTCCTCCAAACAATTTCCTTCCTCGGTATTGTACGCGTCGGCAGCGAAATCACGCCGACCCGGAGGCGGGTCTAGGCACGAATGGCTAGACTGCGCCACCGTCATAGGATCACCTTTATTAAATGACGCCGAGGGATCGTCGAGGAGTATTTAGACTCTTAGGGTTGACCTAACGGATAGTTCCGCGATTATGTCGTCGTGATTGGAGCACGAGGAGGTGAGCCTGGATGAGGAACAAGGTTCAATTGTTTAACACTTAACGTTAACGTTCAGACCTCCCATGGCATTTGGGTGATCTTTGGATCCCATGTATGACAGGCACTCGGCACCGTCCAGACAGAATCTTCCAAAGAAGATGATCACAACTTGAAGGGCGTTCAATCCAGGTGAAGAGGCTAGAAGAGAAGTTAAACTCATCGTCAGTCGGAAGATAGACTCTCAAGCTCGTGTTTGGGTGAAAGTATTGCGAATGAAACTTCTATACGACGCCGAAGCTTCAAGCGATAAGTGAATCGCGGAAATCTCTCATCTGGACAAAGCAATTAAACACGGTCCCAAACTGCAAGGTTGATGCTCCGGGATGCATTCTGACCGATTAAGTACCCTGAGTCTTCAGAGCCAGAAATGCAACCTCACATCATGGCGCAGGTCCGTGAACCTTCCCGGCCCCAATTTTTGATCAGAATCTCCCGCGGCAATCGTCTCCCATAGTCAAGCCTCGACTGGATAGAAAGTCGGTTTGAGGTGAGACGCCTAGCTCTGATCACTGCACTCCGAAGAGACCGATTAGGTTCCCACGCACGGCAGAGCGTAATTTCGAGAGAGCCAGGTGAGGTGCCAACACTGTATTTTCGAAGAGCAGGAATATTTGAATTTAAATCTAAGAAAACAATAACAATCGAGAAGTGTCCTGGAACAAGTGAGATAGTATGGATATAGGTGCACACAAGTATAAGGTGCACGAGTGTAGACTTTAGACTGTAGACTGTGGCTTTAGATTGTAGGTGTATACACGTAAATGTACGAGCGAGGGGGGGTATACCATAGTACACGTTTATTTGATTTCGAAGAGTCCGAAGAAAACACAAAGCGAACAAAGTAAGGGCATAATGCAAGTTGGATATAGACGGGCGATAGATGAAAGATAGCTGAACGAAGAAAAGAATGACAGAGGTCCCTTTCACCCAATTAGATAGAGATCGAAAGGAGAAGTTAGACTCGAAGGTGGGTAAGAACTCTTACCGTGTCACATTTGACGCGCAGTTGAGCTGCGAGAGGAGGGCCTAGACCCAGACCCAAGGCCTCCGAAGAGCAAGGAAAACCATGGCAACGACGACGCGACCGAGGAACAGGAACAGGCGAAAGAATGCGAACGCGCGAAAAGGGAAGTGTGGAGCATCATCAGAATTGACGTCAGAGATGAGATGCGAGAGGGGGCGATTGGGAGAGGGATGGACGAATATGGGCTATGTTGATAATGTAGGCGGCGAGAACTGATTGGTGAGGAAAACTAACTGGATGTCGTTGAAGGGAGCTGGAGGAAAGGCTCGCTGATGAGGGCACATGTCGGTGACCCACCCTCTAGTCAGTTGGTGAACCGCCGATCAATAGGTGGCCTCTGCCCTCCCGTTCCTCCACTTCGAACAACGCCTTCCCACTCCTGCAGCGCCCTGACGAATCCGGAATTTGGGCGCACGCACGCGCGCTTGCGCCGGACGAGTGTGAGGGCGGTATCGTACGACATGGCCTGGTGCGCGATGAGGTAGGCGATGACGATGGCGGCTGAGCGGGATACACCCTAGATATAGATGAGGTGTTAGTAAGATGGTTGGAGAGAGAGAAAGAATAGGAAGAATGGTGTGGCGTGGGGAGGCCGAGCCATGCAGCCGGGTTCGTGGACATCGGAAGCAAAAAGGCTGATATGTAGGCTCGCGGGGAACGTCACCGCCATTTCTTGCTTCCTGCCCAGGACCATGACTACTTCGGTCCCTCTGTCTTCTTACACCATCCCGAAGACTCAGCGAAAACTCACCTGCTGGCAATGTACCAACACTCCCCGCCCCATTCTCCTCATGCCTTCAATATTCGCACATACCGCCTCCAAAAACGGCCTCAAATCCACGCTCGCGTCGTCTCCCACCTCGATCTTGTACACGCTGAACCCCTCGCGCTCGAGGTGAGAGGGACTAGGCGCCCAAGGTGAGTCGAGGACGGAGACGATGTGGGAGATGCCTTGGGAGCGGAGGAGAGGAGCGTCTTGAGCTGCGGCGAGGGACCCGAGGTAAAGGGCACCCAGGTGGGGGTGATGGGAATGGGAGGAAGAAGGCGGTAGGATCTGGTGCATCGGCGTGCACATTGCTTGCATCACTTCGGGCGGCATGTTGTCGAATCGGATCATTTTTGCTGAATAGTGGACGGGAGCCTTTCAATTCGTCAGAAGGTTGCCTTTGGTGGATACTGGATTCGGATGGATGATCGGCTGGATAGATGGATATGTGGATGGATAAATGGTTGGTCAACGGAGGGGAGAGTTAACGCGGCTCTTGAAACTTAGGTGGCAGTGGCGATGCTCTTTTGAGTCTACAGCGCCCCGAGAGATATCTAAGCGGGGTGCGGGATTTACTCCCAGAACCGAGTTCGATGCGCTATTAGTACCCTTCCAAGTGGGTTGTGGGGCTGGAGGACGGGTTACTGAATATGCGAGCGCCTAAACAAGAAGTTGAGTTAGACAGAGCGTTGAAAAGGCTTGGAAGGACGATGAGCAGACCTGAGCTAGGTCTAGAATGGCGGGATGGTGAGAGGCGCAGAGTAGATCAGTCCACGCGCGTTAGTTGTGCAATCGACGCTCGGTGCGTGCGCTTCACGTGGGGCGGGATGATCGACTTAGAAGCGCGCGGCTGTTTCGAAGGGCGGGAGTGACGGAATCGGCCAAGCACTCTAGACGCGGTAATGCCGTGGCCTAGACGAGACGCGTGGAGCGCACGAGTACCTATGTCGCAGAGGAGGATGAGAAGGGGCGATCAAAGGTATAGTGGTAGAGGTACACGCACCTTTTCAGCTGATAGTCTGAGCACTGGAGAAAGCAGTCGACAGAATGCTCGCCACTTCACCAACTATCAGACGCGCTCTTTATACCTCGGCCGGCCTCAGACGAGACCCTGCACGCTCGTATGATTTTTGTCTTGAAAAGGCAAGTCGTTGTACTCATGCCCCGATTTTCTCGCCCTTTCGAACGCTTACCAGTATCACTCCCATTCGCGCATGATAGCTAAAGCGCTAATTAGGATCTAGACGAACGAAAGTTAGAGTTACGAGATGGCTATTCGTGGTCCCTCCGAACGCTCTCCTTCTCTGTCACGTCAATATCAGTGGCATGGGTCCATCCAGGTCCCCTTGTCCACGTTCTGGCATCGACGGCTTCGTGCGGTCCCTGAGTTCCAGTTTATGGCGTATGACATACATACGGAAAGTGATCGATCCTAAGTTATGTCATATACGGTTCGGTGAGTCCAGACCCCTGCCTTTGTTCTGCCTCAACGAATGACTCTTTCTTCGACTCTTTCTGGGACGGATAGGCGCGTTCTCGCCGACGTCCAATCCACACCGACGATCAGCAGCCACCTTTCGGAAATTCTGACGCGTTCCAATCTCGGCGTCGACCCGGTGCTTATAGGATGTAATCAGTCTAGGTTTCCTTAAACTTCTTCTCACATAAGCGGGGGATGGAAGAGGGAGCGTGAAATCCTATCAGGCGGTTATCTGATAACCATTTTGGGCAGCGCTGAGCACATCTCCACTCGTATATCTTCCTAGATCTTCCTTCCACATTGACACTGACAAGATCCACCTTGTCAACAATAGCGTACATCTACACCAACGCGCCGCTCCCTTTCCTTTTTACAGTGTTACTCTATATTCTTGTACGCGTCCCGTCCAAGTCCCGGCCTCCGTGAGCGCGTCTCCGAGCCCGATTCCGTGCCTGATATCAAATTATGAATTGTCGAGATTCTGATTCGCGAGGCGTGTCTGATCGTTCCGTCATCAGGGGAAATTAGCCACGTAAGGAACAAAGTCCGTAGAAGGCCAGGAGGAGTGGGGTAAACAACTGGATGACGAGGGAGGCACGGCATTCACTTCTACGCTCAGCGTCAAAAGACGAAGGATTGGAAATGTTGGACGCGGATGTGCACTGATTTCTGGTCGAATGTGTCAGCGCGTTCCGCGAAGTACATTCCGCCGCCGAGTTTTTGTTTCGGAGTGAAGGATCACCAGTTGGACGGCGGACAATCAGCGACGTCTGTGAAGATGTTTGTTCGAAATACATCACACTCTATCGGTTCTCGTAAAAAGATTGGCAGATCCGCCACCGGCATAGGAGGATAATTATCGGGACCCTGTGGTATTCCTCGTTCGAGGACTAATAACAGCGGGGTCGCAATCAATGAAGTATAAAGGCATGAATTTAGTTCATGTATTTACTCACGAACGTAATGAGCTAAATTGATTATGAGCATTAATTCCATTGAGGTACGTGGGCGCGTCAACGATCTGCGTCAGACCGGCGTCATGAGCCGCCGGCGCTTAATCCGAGGACGCGTGATAGGCTGCCAAACAGAAACCGAGCATGCATGTTGATAAGCCGAGCATAGCTCGTATGTCTCCATACGAGTCTCCTCGTGGAGGATGGCAAGCATTTGGTCATCGTGAGCATGGGCCCGCCACCAAGCCGACGGACGCCATTGTGGTCAATTTCGGCAGACCGACACTGATGGGAGGAATTTGGTGGTATGGTAAGCCAGCCGGACATCTGGACCAGGGGGGTTCATGAGAGTGTCGCCTCAGCTAGGCATCTAGTTGGCTATGTAGCGCAGCGAACGTGGTGTGTGATGAGTAATATTAATTTTGAGCAGGTCTTGTAGATCCAGAGCGGCAATATTACCAGCGTCTTGTTTTTGAGCTCCGATTGAGGCCATCATGCTGGAACAATTTCAGGAGGTTTTCATGCCGTCGCCTCGTGTGGAGCGAGATTTAATGTTCGGCATCTTGTTGTGTTCCGTTGCACGAAAACGCCGAAGAAACTAAAGCCTCTCAAACTCAGGCACTCTCAAAAAATTTTGTCTTCCATCTGATAACGAAGGAAATACCCCATTCATTCATTCTAGCCGACAGTCTCAGACTGCTGTATTTTCTGGTGTCTTCTTGTCTCTGAGGATGCGTAAGTGAGGGCTCACGGTCACTAGTCACCGTGAACGCGAACAGATTCGGATGATGAAGTGGAGCAGGGAACCAACAACAAACGAACCACGAGTCCGTCCAGGGGGAGGCTAGTCCTTTTATGGGTGCTCAAGTGCTTCGGTGCCATAGACAGAACCGAGTTCGGAAGAAAGTCAGAAATCTACCAAGCATCAAGCCGACCGCATTGTGAGTCTATTATCTGTGATCTAATGTCCAAATCCATTGTTTTCATTGCAGTGGAAGCCCTGGCCGTGCCGATGTTGCGCACCTTCTCGAACCCGGAGAGACACACGTTGATAGCTGTTACGGCGAACGGAAAGGCATCGGTATAGCTCTCGTGGCTCACGAGCATGGATAAAGCTAGCCGTGAGCGTACGGAGGGGTATCACACGGCTGTCGGCGCTTACCGGCGCTTAATTTAACCACACGCGCCAAGCGAAAAAATGAGACGATGTACGCCATCGCCCGCTTACACTACACGTCCATGCTAGAATTTCAGTCTGTTGCTCTAACGTTGCAACTAGATATGGACAGACAAAGGCTGTTGTGGTTATTGGTTGGTTTAAGAATCTATATCCAGCTCACATGCGTCGTTGTTTTTTTATTTTGATTTCTATTTTAAAAATTTCCTTTTTCAAAAAATCGGCGAGTCCTCCGATCCCACTCGGAGGTTCCGAACGTCTTCACGATATTACCCCCATGCGGTGGAGTAAGTGATAGCAGCGATAAGACATATATTGGTACAACAGTATATCTAATATCCCCTCGATGACATTTTCTTTGCCAATGATAGATTTCGGCCATCCGTCGAAAGGATGTGAATGATCAAACGGTGAGAATTTGGCGTCTGGGGAATCTTGCAAACGGCAGCACCGTTTACCAGTCCAATTATTTCCTCCCGGCCATAGAAGCAAGAATTTATCTTTGGCAAACATTGAATCCATTCAGGCAAAAGGTACAGGATCCCACTCTTCGACGTACGAAAGTTTGGAGTTCGAGATCTCGTTAGGTTTGGGTTGGGTGGCCAATGACCACGTGTTCGGCTCGTGGGGTGGGTTAGAGGAAATGCTCTGCGACGTTCTCGGCTCGATATTCGTCCTCTCGCCCGAGATGCTTAACTTCTATTCGAGGAGCTAGAACAGAAAAAGGAAACGAACTAGGCAGCCCTTCAGGCTGGTGCTCGACTCGCTTGAGCAAGAAAGCAGCCAAGAGTTTTCATGATGTGTCATTCTCGTCGTTCACCCCGATAGATATCATGAGTTCTACCTATCCCCGTGCTGGGATCGACCCACAAGGTTGCGTTGATTCGAAGAGTATATCAAAGGTCGGTAATATCATGCAGCCTCTAGACGTCGACAGAGTCGGATCTCTGTCATCTTTCTGCAGGGCGGATCGTCGTTTGTATACAAGAATAACAATCACGCACACTCAATGATCATGGTCACCTGGAAGGAGTAAACCTATTATGAAAGAGGGTCCTATATTTCATCGTGGATTAAACCGTGGCCTCTACAACGTACAATGTGTAGCAGGAACACGATTCCAAGACTGCAGGATGCTGAATTTCCTTGACATAGGACGAGCCAGCTGTTCCATAATATGTTGGTGTCGTCAAATACGGCTGGTGGAGTGAGAAAGAAACTCTGGGCGCGTTGGGGTAAATCGGAAGAGAGTCTTCTAGCTGGTCTTCAAGCTTTATCGGTAAACCCCAGAGGAAAGGGAGAAGAGCCTCCAGAATGGTAAGTGCAGCTTCGTTGTGGAATGGGAATGTCATCTTTCCTCTCTTCTTCGGGGAGAACTAAATTGAAAATGCGTTGTGGCTTATCAAGTGCGCTTCGTTGGCGGGTTAACAGAGTCACGAGTCCGCCAATTTCCGTGCGTCGACGGCGAATCGGAGATGGCAGAGGGAAGCCTTTAATCTCTTTCTGTCCCTTGCTTTGCTTGAATTTACTTTACCCACTGCATTTTGACCCCCATCTTGGAAGCTAAGGGACAGGGTATCAGGGCGGCTGAACGCTCTACCTTGACCTTATATTACAGAGACGGATATAAGTATCAAGATGAATTATCTAGGCGACCTTCGAGTCTCGTATATCTCGTCCCTTGGCATGCCGTAAGTGCCTCGAATCAGGTCCCTTATTCGGGCACGGGCACTTCTGCCAAGAAAAATCACTGAATTGCCACTCGCCGTCGTTGCTTGCAGTCTGGAAAGCAAGCATAACATTCCAAAGTAAGGTGATAGACAACCCGTTTACTAGCAAACAATTTCCATCTGTGGTATTTCGCACGTTGATACAAAAATACTCCAAGTAAGGGTCTAGGTACGTTGGTGGGCGCCACCGTCATTGGACGAGCTTAATTCAGTAGAACCGAGAGGACCCTTGTGGATTTGAGCCCCAGATGTGTGGTGTTGGTGGTACTTTTTGAGTGACCACGAGACATGAGAAAACCAGGACGAAGGAAGAACAAGGTCAAATGTCTAGACACGGTGTGCCACCTAGTTATTTGGAGAGTGGACCCGACAGGAATCTCCTAAATATTGGATAAACCTGGTGCCGGGATGTACGGTCCTTGGACAGCCAACTCGAGTTGCCGCCTGCACAATAATCATTGGAATGCGATTGAACTGGAGCCCTCCTCAGATGTGGTCTGAATGCCTTCGTCCGGTTTTCAGGTACGTGTCCAGAGATTCCTCCTAGTGTTGCACAATACCTGCCATGTCATCGGAGCGCCCCCTTCCCTTCCAGTAGGATGTGGACCGGCTCTCTCTACCAATCCGTACTCGACTACCACCCACGCTTCCCCTCCGACTTTGCCCCTCACAATCCCTCGCTGCCGGACAGGGTGGTTATACGGTCACGTCATGAGATCTCGAGCATCAGTACACGACACTGCGCCATGACCAGGACGAAGCAACGGTGGGAAGTGCAGGTGGACGACGAGTGCGGGGTTGGAATGGCAACGACGGCGTTCGAGGGTGTCGAGGAAGAGTGGAGAAAGCGGACGCAAACATGAGTGCCCGACGGTGTGTGAAAGGATTCCCATCTTCGAACTGTCTACTTCGTCTGGGCGGTGGTTGTGCCAGCGTCCTTTCAAAAACAATGAGACGTTGCTTCGACACCACGATACCCACTGAACTACCCACCTTTTGGTCGCTGATTGAAATGGAGGCCGTTTGACCCTCGAAATCATGATTTGCTGATGCGCCAGGAGTCGTCATACGCTGCAACAACTCACATTTCTGCCTCTACAGCTCGAAGCTGTCTCTCAATTGCGGGTCCAATGACAACGACACGGCCTAAAACGTGCATCGCTGTCGAGGTTCCGCAACGATGGTCATTGATCACCTACCATTCATTGGCAGCATCGTTTGTCGACAGTCTGCTTGTTAAGTGTGAACAGCAATTTTATAGGTGTGGACAGAATGAACAGAAACAAATGGACAGCACAAAATTCAACAGGACAGCATTGAAAAGGCCTAGACAGCAAGGAAGACAAAGGATCCGATTGCACAGGAAATCAAAGTGGAAAGATATTAGGTTAATACCTAGTGCCACCACCCAGTCCTCTTTTCGACCGTTCTCTGCAAGCCCGTAGAGACCCGAATGCCGTTTGAGGTCTCAATTGCTCAAGTCCTTAATATCCGCCCGCGATCGAAGCGGGGGAAGGCGGTGCTGTAAAATCTTGGTTGATTCTGACCGCTCGGAATGGGATGAGTTTGACCACTCACATCCTCTGGAACGACCAAATCTGGGAACAGGACGACGTCGTACTGAGCATCTGTGCCATTAGGTTGTGAGGAATTGCGAAGCTTAATAGTGCTATGAACAACCAATATGGATGCAATGATGTGTCGAAGACTCACCTTTACGATTAAGACAGTTTCTTGATTTCTGGACTCAGCAGATTGACCTTCTCCTCCAGGCCATTCACTGAGTCAACCAGCTTGTCAACCTTCCTCCCAATGCCAGTTACCGTGTCGACGAGCTTATCGAGTTTCTTCGTTAAGTCGTCCAACTTTGTGGTGACCTCCTCTTGCACGATGGCTCTGATTATATCGCGATCTCTAGTCACGATCTTTGCCTCAATGACACTGTCAAGTTTTGGTGAGACCTCTGCAGATATCTCTACTAAAAACTGATTAGTGCTGGATAACCGCTATGCCACGAGTAAATCGTACGTACACGAGAGTAGATGGAGATACTGCAGAACAGCAGCATAATCATCGGGTTCAACACGCAAGCCCATTCCTAAAGCATTATAGTTGATGCAAGGAATGTTTGTCAGAGTCGAGAGGCTCACCTTCCGCTTTCACTGTGTTGGTGAGCAGCCTATGGGCTTCGGCTAGATCATGACATGAAGGAGGATTCTGAGGCGGGACGGGAGATTTGACTCGGGCTTTGAAAGAATCGGTAAGAGCAGGAGTTTGAATGAGGGCCATCAAAGAGGAGAGGATGGTGGGATGCTGCACGACGTAGTGGTTGACATCTGGACGACGATGAGGGTGGGGTGTGACGATTGTGACAGGAAGCTTATATAATCTGTTTGTCACTGCATCTATTATTGGTCATCAGCCTTCCAGCAGTTTGACGCTCACCTCCATCACACCTCCATCATCTTTTCTTGTATATCGCCTTCAAGGGATCCTTGGAGAACATGGGACGACGGAAAATTGAGATACAGCCGATTACTGTAAGTTATGCTGCCTCATCGCTGACGACGGGCTGAACCTCATATCACTATGCATCGACCTCATTTCCGCCGCTCTCTCTCCTCTTTCTCGCCTTGCACCGCTGGAACATCGTTTTTATCTTTGAATTCATTCATAGCACGAGAGGAATCGGTCGGTAACCTTTCTAAAAGTACGTCAATCCCCCTTCGCCTCTTGAAAACTATTTTTAAGCTGTTGTCTTGGCGGATTTCTCTATTCTTGTCTTTCTTTCACCTGTAGCGCAAGAACGGGCTCTTCAAGAAGGCGTACGAGCTAGGCGTTCTGTGCTCCATCGATGTTGCTGTCATTATATTTGGTGAGCCCCCATCGTCCCAACCCCCGTCCCAGTGTGCCAACTCAACAGGAATTCTATTTTTATCATCGCTAGAGGATCGCCCAGGTCATGAACTCAAACTGCACCAGTACTGCTCAGGAGATATCAGGGACATCGTACAGCGTCAGTTAAGGGTGAGTTGGAAGATTTTTGGTACCGGATGATTGCTTATCGATTGACGTGGACAGCACGCCGGCGAGAAGGATCTCAAGGGACCCAACGACTTTTCTGGGACGGCAGCTGTAGATGCGGACGGTGATGACGATGCACCGGAAGAGGAGGAGGAGCCACCTGCATCTTCACGAGGGAAGAGAAAAGCGGCTGTGGCCGCAAATGCGAAGTTGAGCATGCCATCGGATATCGACGTACGTCGTAATATCTGCTACTTGTCACTTTTTCTCTGATTTTTCGACAGCCTGAATACAAGCCCTCCCACCGAAATGGGCCGTCTTCAGCACCACGCACTCGCAGAAATGCTTCTGCAGCACCTACTTCATCCCACCACGGCCGCTTTGACGACAACAACAGCGTCAGCTCTCTTTTACCCGTCTCCAACGACCGTGTCTCCAGCATTCGCGAATCTCTACCCCGTGCCAGCAAGCGGCTCCGTACAGGCGAGCCTGCTCGTTCGACACGGTCGACCGCCCATGTCAGTGCACCCAGTCGCTCGCCTTCGACGGACGGACGAGCACCATCGGAGCTCTATCTCCCTGATACGTCGCAAGGGTCGCCTGGAGGACGGTTTGGGCGACACCAAGATCCAGGTCTGGCGCTGCAGCATCCATACTCGGGCCAGGGGTTCAACCAGCCGTATAACCCCCTCTTTCCGACGGGCAGCCACGCATCGCCGCCACCGCAGGGGTTCGGGGCTGGACATCCCTATGGTGTTCGGAATGGATACGGCCATCAAGAGGAGTACGACCGCTCTGGTGCATACGGACAACATTCCGGGATGATGCGTCCACCGCAGCACCAGACGGGCTATCCACACCAGATGAAGGAGGAGAGGTTTCGAGACGAACGCGATGCGGAGAGAGGGAGGTTTGGTGCCGGTTCCGGTGCCAGCTTCGACCGAGGACGGCCAAGACAGGTGCAGACATGTTCGCAGTGTTCCTTGAGGCGGACGAGAGGAGTCGACAGATGGAAGCTGCGCAGGCCCAACGCGAACAGCACCAGCAGAACCAGATACCGATGGATCTAGGCGGGCTGGACTGGCCGACCCATGAAGGTCCTGCGAGAACGGCCTCCAGCGCTCCTCATCCCGCTGCTGGCCCGAGAGGGATGATGGGAGGTCCTGCGGAGGGATCAGGTGAGTTCATATTCGCCCTTCCTCGTACTTGCTTCCCTTCTTTCGTCTTTTGTTTTTGCGATAAGGAAAATTAATTGATGTCTCTCTTTTTTTAATTCAGGCGGACACAACACCGAAAGTTGGTTCGATCTCTTCACCGGTACTACTTCCGGCAACCTGTTCCCGGGCGCTTCTTCCAACACACGAGCAGGTGGTGACCCTCGTTCCTTCCCGAGCGCGAACGGTCCATCTCCAAACAGTCGCACGACGAACTATGGAGGCCCATTTGCTACATTGGAGGAAGATATCGTTCACGTCTTGGGTGCCACGTCAACGGCGGGTGCTGCCTCAGCTGCAGGTCCTCAAAGGTCGAATGAGGCGGACCCTACGCCCGGCCACCCCACTGAGCGGAGAGGATCGTCTGACACATCCGGTCCGCTGGTTCCCAACGCATCTTCCGCCAACCTGGTGGCGCCACCCCAGACGGGCACTTCGAACCCAGAGAACAAAGAAACGGACAATCTCAGTGACGCCGACGCCGATGCCGACGCGGATGGAGATGGGGATGTGGAAATGGAAGATGTTCCCCTTCCCGCCACTTCCTCTCACAGTGCCGCTGAACAATCTGCCTCTGTCCCGCCGTCTGATGGAAATCCCGCTCCAGCGCAGTCTGGCTCTCGTGGGGAGGAAGAAGCTTCAGGGTCAGGAGACTCTGTACCTGCTGTTGGCACGTCGAAGGAAGATGCGAACGCTGAGGGGGGTGTTTCATCCTCTCAGGCTCATGAAGGAGGGAAGGAGATCGCGAAAGGAGACGTCGGGCCTGTCGGCGAAGAGAAGATGGACAGTATCACTGAGAAAATCTGATTTCCTGGCACAATAGACGAGGTTTTTGGGTCCTCGGACCCGGAGAAGTACGTAGCTGATTCTGTGTTCCATTCTTGATTCTTTGTACTACTTACGTGTCCTGTGTGTTGACTCTCGTTTTCTCCTACAGCATGTGTATGTACGTTAGAATACTTCTATATGAGTACTAATCTTCAGGCTTCAATATTCAATTCTCATCGATCGTGTTCGACCCTCAGGCGTTTCTCAGGAAAATGGCCGCCCAGTTGAAACGCAACGGAACCATATTTGGCTGAGATCTAGAGAAGTAGTCCGCTTACGAGGAACTGGGGCAACACAAACTTGGGACGCCTGGGAAGGACTTATCTTCTGGCGTCACCCTGTTGTCTCTATGGGTACATTAGTAAAATATCTTCGGGGTCCATGGAATATTACCGCTTGCAAGTTAGCGCAATGAAGTAACATCCAACCGATAAGGCATCGAATAGTTCAAGAAGCGGTAGTACAAATTGGACAAGTATCCTTGGTCGTCGTTTCTTTCGATCGCCATTTGGCAGATGCATTGAATAGTAACAAATTATCGGACTTCAAAGTCAAGTCCGAAACTTCAGAGACCCCTGCAACGCATAGTGCATGAAGCGGAAAATTTGCCGAATTCGGGCGAACTTCAACTTTGGCTAATAATCACTGTTTTCCAATATTTTTTGCAGCATGACACTACTCTAGATCTCTCATTTGATCCCCGCCGAAGCCTCGGCGGTGAGCCTGCCAAGACTTCCGGCTAACCGAATGTATCCAGTGCCCTGCCATCGAATTTCGAAGGCCCTCTGTGATCAGCGATTAAGCCAACTACCAATCGTATCTATCTGTTTAGAAACCGTAGAAGAGTCGGCGCTTCGGTCCGTATGCGCACGGAACACCATATCGAGTCAAATATGCTGGCGGCATCCTCAAAAGGTAATTTGATCCGACCATACGGTGGCGCAGGGAGGCGCGCAGTCGACTTTTTGAAAGTTGAACACTTGACGGAACCCGCTCATTACCAGAACTTCCATCATGAACGCACATGGTACTCGCGCCACCGTTCATTAGAGCGTGAGGTATTCTGAGATACGAAGCACTGCCTTTCTACCACTTTCGTTTCGTCGTTGACATTTATGTGAAGGTTTTCAGCAAATGTGGGCATGTTGGCAATCTACGCAGCCTAATAAATATGGTATCTCAGCCAAAATTAAAGGCTATAGGCATCATGGGGACGGGGTAAAGAGTACTTCCCAACACGAATCAGTCAAACTTCTTGATCGCTCGCGCAGCTTCAGTCAAAATGTCAAGATGTTTCGACAGTCGAACCCCTGGATAAGTACACAAACGGAAGAGACGAAAGAATGTTTGCATTAAAAAAAGGTATAAAGCTCCTCTGGTATTCCATGGTTCCTCTAAGGACTCCTCCTTTCTCTTTCTCTGCTTGACCAAATGGCTTTCACTCGTCTTGCCTCGATTGTCTTCTTGTCGCTCGCTGCCTGTCAGGTTAGCGCGGGTGTCACCAGACAAGTCAAGTGTCCGAGCGGCCATTTCACAACCAACGAGAAATGCTGTCGTACGTGTCGCGTTTGCTCTGTTGGTTCCCGTCCCATGTATTCTGCCCAGAGCTCTTCCCCATTGTGGACCTCCTCCAACACGAACTTTTCCATGGCTCGAAATGCGAAGCAGGCGTACGTATACATTTTTTCTTGGATAAATTGGCCGTTCTGATGATCGTATGCCGAATTTTCAGGCTCATCATGCTCTTCGCCTCTCGTTCCACGATGCGATAGGCTTTTCCACCAATGGTAGGTCTTGGTTACAGGATCCTTGGTTTTATGATTACTGACTAATAGTCCGACTATAGGCGGAAAGTTAGTCACAAATTTCTCAAGGATATCTTCTCTAACTTCACCCCCCTTTACAGAGGAGGAGGAGCCGACGGTTCTATCCTTATTTTTCATGACATAGAAGAGAAATATCGTGAGTTGTAACCCCATATCGCCCTTCGAAGTATTCGCCAAGTCTGATTTTGATCTTAAAGATGCAAACGGAGGGTGAGTAACGGCACGCCTACCGATGGTGACCGATGCAGCGCTCATCAGAACCTGATCGTTATCCAGAGTTGCAGAGATTGCGAGACAGCAAATGCCCGTCTTCAAGAAGACAAATCTTACTGGTGGTGACTTGTATGCTTCATCTGCCAAGAGGTTGTCGACAGTTCCTTACTTACCCTTCTTCAATCCAGCGTTCACCTTGCGGCTGCTGTTGGAACTTCCAACTGCCCAGGCTCCCCAAGACTCGAGTTTTGGTTTGGGCGCCCAGCGCCCGCCGCTGCTGCACCCGACAAGACAATTCCCGAGCCGACGGGTACGCCCAGTATCTGTCTATCAAGTCTGACCCGAGACTAATAACAGTGTTGTGATTGAAAATATGAAACAGATAGCGTAACCGACATACTCAACCGTTTCGCTGAAGCGGGCCTTTCGCCTCGCGAAGCCGTCGCGCTGCTCGCGTCGCATACTATGGCTGATCAGGTGAGCCTCTCCTATACCTCTCACCGTGAGGTCTGGGTAATAGGAATATTGACCAACGATCGAAATGAAGGACCGAGTGGATCCGGTACGCATCCCCAAACCCTTATGGGTTGTAGACTGACGTTATGATATAATTGTTAACTGACGGACGCCACTAGACCGTACCAGGGACTCCCTTCGATTCGTACGTACTTACATATTCCCGGTCCAGTCTGTTCTCATAACGCTACAGGACCATCGAAAGATTGTGGGCGAATCTTGCTGCTAACCTGTCTTCGTATCTCATACGACCAAACTAGCGATTCCCAGTTCTTCCTCGAGGTCCTCTTGAATGGGACCATGTACCCTGGGTAAGCACACTTGCATATCGTAAAAAATAACCATCAACTCAACCAACACTAGTCATGGATCCCATGAAGGCGAAGCCCTTTCGGCAATTAAAGGCGAGATGCGCTTGAAGAGTGACTTCTTGATGTCCCAAGGTGTGAGCTTCTCTCTACCTCCCAAAGAAGAATTTGTAATAGATTCATGGTAGATCCCCGAACGGCGTGCTTCTGGCAAGCGATGATCAGTACGTTCGACTTCTCTTCACATCGCCCCACTCCTTCTGTTCTTCGGTCAAGAAAAACAATCACTCACTCCCACACCCCTAGACAACCAGAAATACATGATGGCTGAATTCAAAGCCGCTATGGCCCGCATGCAAGTTCTCGGGCAGGACGTCTCGACTCTTACCGATTGCTCAGATGTGGGAATTTCATTCAACATTTGACTCCAGCTCATTGATTCCCCGACCAGGTCGTTCCCGTTCCTCGTGCCTTCAACGGCCCAATTAAATACCCGCCCAGCTTCTCAGAGAAAGACATTGTCATTGCCGTGAGTATATCCGAGTCCCGTTACCCAAGAGAGACATTGACACATGCCCCTTTACAAGTGCACGGAGACGCCGTTCCCCAGCCTTTCTACCCAACCGGGCCCACCACCTACCGTGTCCCCCGTCTAAGATTTGGCTTCCGTACATGTCTTCTAGTTAGTTGCAGAGTTGGTAATCCCCATTCGCAGGTCGTTTGTATTTACCCAGGTTTGCTTTCGAGTAGACGCGATTGGAAACAATCAAACAAAGTCTGGCCTTTCTTTCACTACCTTGCCCTCTCTCAGTAAATGCTACCGGCTGGTCTTCGAATCATCAGCGTGAGGTAGAAAACGCCAACGAGAACTTGAAGCCTCTCTTGTGACCTAGGTGCGGCTCTGACCCTTGTATCTCGATAGTCTAGCGTCAAGGCAGGATGAAGCTCAAATAAGCGCTCATGCATGCCAAGCACGATCGATCGAGAGGTGCAGTGGCGCACTCGATTTGAACTCAGATCATAGATCCCCGGCTAGTTATTCGATGCATGGAGGATCGCCAGGGTCCACAGTACCGCAAGAACGGGTTCGAGGTGTTGTTGACGTGATCCGTTGGTTTGGTACGGTCTTGAACTCACCGAAGGTCGGGACCCTACCCAATCTCTTGGTAGACCCAGACTTGTGGGTCAACCTCCGTTGTCAACAACATCGACTACGACAGGCAATGTAGCGTAATAGGAACAGGGGGCATGGACTACAAACATAATAAGGCTACTCACGCACGACCTCGACACTTTCCTGATTCCTTCTTCACCAGGTATTCCTCGACCGCCGCCTCGGTATCATAAGCAAACAAGTAATGGTTCAATTTTTCAGGAGTTTTGCCTGCTTGACAGAGACACAGTCAACTATCCGCCGTGCCTTCGAAAAGACGAGACTCACCAAGCCAGCGAATCGCCCAGTCCCTCGACTTCTCGCCCAACCACCCCATCTCCATCCTCTCATCCACCTTCTCACACGGGTCGTGCACCGTATCCGTGATAGCCTTAATAGGTGGCCGTCTGACTTCCTCGAACGCCTTCACAGCGAGGGCGAATGGCATCTCCCACATCCCAGTCTCGACGTCAGTAGGGTTCCTGTAGTTGTACGACGGGCGAATGGAGAGGTAATGCTTCAAGAGGAGCGCGTATGCGAGAGAATCCTTAATGACACACGAGGCTCCTTGGAGGATGTCGGCGGGTATAATATGTGCTGCATCTCCGAGGACGATCCTTCCTTTCGCTTCGGGAGATGTAGTGGCGGCCATGTCGGACTAGTGAGGCGCACCTAGGTAAGACTGCAGGTGTGGTAGAGTATCCAGCCCGATATTCTGGATACCGAAAGAGTTGAATGGTGCACGACAACCCTGTTCGATGATCGTCCGGAAGACAGACCCAGACCTGCTCTTCTCGGAGTCAGGAGCGTCGTAAGGAGACTTCCAGTCCCCGTGGGCTGAGAGTAGTTGGGCCTTGATGTCCTCGTAGTTGATATTCGCAGCGTCTGGAAATTCAGGAGATTCATATATTGCCCACCATTGGATAAACTCCGAGTGAAACGGCAGCGAGAGTTCGGACTCGGAGAGGGTGGAGGGGATGGAGGAGGGTTGAACTTGAAGGGGAGTGCACATCGAGTATCCGAAGTACCCTCGTCGACCGAAGGTGATTGCAGCGCCGTGCTCTTTAAGGCTTTCCCGCAAGCGCGGTGGCAGAGACTTGATATCAATCAGTCCACTGAGGCCCGCCAGGCCGCTGTATGATGTTGTCTAAGTATATAGTCGGCCTCGTAGAAGTGGGAAGACGCTCACCCGTACTTCGCCTGACACCTGCCTTTCGCGATGGTGTCCCTGATCACACTCTGCGGCCATCTGCCCCGAGAACCGATCCGCCCAATCAACTGTTCCACCAGCATACTCCAGCACTACTTGCGCCCCAACCGCCCACGCGTTGATGTACTTCTCCTTCCGTTACTGTGTCTCCTCGTTGAATCCAGCGTCCCCGGGGTGGAGCAGCGTCTCCTACAGGGATGCCGAGTCACCGTGCTCATCCCAAACTTCTCTCCATATCTCTCAGCAGGCCCTGAGGGAATAGAGACTTCGGAAAAGCACTTTCGTTGATATGGGAGAGCGCATAAAGAGCCTCCGGGAAGGGTCGAAGTAGAGGTACGCAAAGGAGGAGTGTAGAGGATGGGTCGGAAGGAACTGAAGAAGAATGAGGCGCGTCGCGGTGTTCAACGAGTCTAACGGTGATCAGGCCGTTGAGCGGCAAAGAAAAGGGGTCGAGGAAGTGTTTTCTGAGGGCATGACATGCAGATAGGCCCGCTATTCCTGTTCCAACGATGATTATCTTCATGACTGTCGAATGGTTCGCCGGGGTGGTAGTTGATCAACGTAACTTAGAGGACATAGTCTTTATTATGCAGTGGCTTCTCGGGGATCCTTGTCGCTGCCGGATAAGTGCGTTGATGAGCTGCGCTCGAGCCAGAGCTCGTCAAAAGACGCATTTTCGTGTCTTCTGCGTGTCGATGGTGTGCCCATTTTTGACTCCTTGCGGAGGCGTGCCGTAGAGATTCGTCAACTGATTCGTACACACTTTCCTACTTGGTACGCGATGGGCGAACCACCAAACATCGAACACGTAGTCAAACGCGCATACATCCGCCTACGTCGGTCATGTCGGTCGACTTCCAGGCGTCTTCAATAGCATTATGTAATCGTCTCGGGAATATCCGGAATCGCCTGCCTGGAGTTTGCTCACAATCTGCTCAAGGACAGGAAACCATAAATGTGGTGGGTTATCTTCAAGGCCTTGTATTTGGCAGCTTCCTCAGAATGTCGCAACACTTTAAAAAGATTCTACCTTTTTTTCTCGCTGACAGCCGGACAGCCGACCCCTTCAAATAGCCCATAGTACTTCCGTCAAACGTCGACAAAACATGGTAAGTAACAGAATGGGTACAGAGCTTTTCTTACTTCACTGAGCATTTGGCAGACACTTTCTGGCGGCTGAGCGTATTATGTTGTCGGCCATTTTCCACGTCGGGGCGATTTGAAAAAAGCTCTCTTTCATTTAAAATTGGCGATGTGTTGGGTGGCCCGAATGTGGCACATACACCCGCAGAGAAAAGGTACTCAAAGTCTGGCCATTGTTCATGGTTTAAGCGAGGTGGCCCAGCGTCTGTGGCTCTTCGACCCCCCAGGCGAGCGAGCCCCGAGACATATAAATATCTCATGCTTGCATATTCGAAGACCCAACTTTGTTTCCTCTTTTCCCCGACCATGGAACAGGCACAGCTTACGCCGCAACAAATTTGGTCCGTTGCAATTCGCGCGGTCACAGCTGAGGGAGACATTCATCAGTACAATGTGTAGGTCTTTCATGTTACTTTGTTCCTGCGACAAAACTAACCTCGCCCTCTTAGCCACCGTCGGGGTTCTAGCGCTCTAAGCGCTCTTTGGGCCACGGCAGACGTGGTACTAAGAAACCGTCTTGCGGCACAGGCCGCTAATAGGATTGTGGCTAGGTGGCGGCCCATTGGCGCTCGTGGCTCTCAGAGTTGGGAGAACTCGTTCGTTGTGCTACGCCGCTACGCTCAAGAAGACCTAAGTGCCGTCTTAGTAAGTGTCTTACAAAATGGTAACTTTTTACAAGAGCTCATAATATTTGTCTAGACCGAGCATCTAACAAAAGGCTCTCCAGTCGGCTATACTACAGGCGCGAGTCCGAAAGGACAGGATGGACCAGACGACGGTGGCAATAATTCAGATGGATTGGATGTCTTTCACCTCTCACTCTAAGCGAAAGTTAAAGCGCCCCGCTTAATTCCTTTGTCTGGACTATCACTCTTGTATGACCCTAGCATTATCTTAACATTTCAAAATAGTCTCCTGCGAGTCAGCTACCAGTTGCGGAGAGAATCTTCACTTCATCGTTTTATTCCAGGGCACACAGTGGCCGTTTCATGTATTACTTATTAAAAAAAAATTATTTTCTTTTTTGGCTACGCTTAATCAAATCAAACATCATTGAAGTGAATACATATTTCGGGCCATAACTGAGAGCCAAATTTCTTACTAAGTGGCTGTCACGCCACATGAATTGTTGGTGCCAGGGGTCCCTTAGTCTCGTCGAGTATAACAATGGGACGAAAAGGTTTGGCGAGCGTCGCTAATTTCTCTTTCTCCGACCATGTCGAATACGGGGCCCTCTGAGCCGTCCACTTTCACATCATACTCTAGCATTGAGACCCCAAACGACTGCGAACCCCGAGAGATTTTCTCCCAGACATTCGAAGAGTCCCTCTGGCGGCAATTAATTGTTTACGACGATCCGTTCGTCTTTAGCTCTCCTTGTGCTATCCTTCTTCAACTGATTACTTCTAATTCAAGTGAATGGAAGAGTTTCTTTTCCCCTTTGTGGAGGGCGCTAGATGCGACAAAGCGGAAAATACTTGTCAGCAAGATCATGCAAAAGATAGAGTTCGATGAAACGATGGACCTCAGCGACCAGGAGGCTGTTGATAGATTGGCCTTAATGTGGGCTTTAGAAGTTATGGTAAGCATTCGGAATCAATCGAAATATTACTTCTAACTAATTCGAATCCAGTTCCAAGTAATTAAAAAAAACCCAAGGTTGAGGCAAACTCTGAGGAAAGCCCCACCAAATCATGAACTCCTTCGAAAGGCAGTTGCGAGATCGGCGTATACGAAGGGCCCCACGCCGGATGATCAAGCCTGAGCTTCTACTCCGTGTAATTAATGTCTGAGTAGTGAATGTACCCGTATATTGCTCTCCGTTGCCTTTCTTTTTGCTGATCTGGTACTTCAAAGCTGCTTCAGAGGTTGCTGTGGTCGTGAGTGGCGTGAACAGCCCCTGCCCGGGCCGCCGGGTCCTGTACTCATTACGTAATCCTTCCCTTTCTCAGGCTCCTAGTTTATTTAAGCTTCTTTTCTGAACCTCGACCGGAGGTATGTATGTGACTTTTACTCAATAACGATAACTGATACCTCGTTGCAGACATGCTATATCTCGAACCGTAAACATGAGCCTTCATAATGACAGACTCTATGACAGTGGCGAGAGCCCATGCGAAACGTATTTTTCTCCGCCTACAGAGAAATACACTCGCTTGCATTGTCCTCGATGAAAATTCCAACGTGGAACTGACCTCTGTCGCTGTTGTCGTTGGCAACGAGCCGTCTTGAGCGTATCATAGTCTTTGGAGTAGTAGACTTGGAGCATGCTGTTGGATGAAAAGTAAGTAATATGTTGGAATTTTCAGAAAGAGCTTACTGTCCATCGCCATAGCAAAGTTCTCCCAGATGTCCGATGCAGTCTTGATGGACCAAATGGCATTGTTGTTCCTATCAAGGACCTTCCATCAGTTCTTATCCAAGGATGTGTCCGACAGCAGGAGCTCAGCGCTCAGCATTTAACGAGAACTGGTTGGCACCGTCATGTACTCGTGCGCGTCAAGTTTTAGCTTCGCGAGCCTGTCCTGCTTCGTACTCCAGCGGAATATCTTGCCACCGATGTTGGATTCGTCGGAGCCGTTGCCCAGGGGGAGGTCAGGTCGAACTTTGAGGGAGCCGTTGATGGGAATCGGATGATCTGAGGCCATGTTAGGTTGGGCCCCTTGACGAAGCCGGGGTTAAAGCGTGACGCGCTGGTGTCGAAGGTGTCGACGGTCGTGTTTAAGGGGTTGCGACCCTCGAGGATGATAGGGCACTTGACCACAGGTTTGGCTAGCACGATGTCTGCCAAGGAGGGAACAAGAACGAAACAGTGAGCGTCACCATTGTGTTGGAGCTGAAATTGTGGGGAGCGAGTCCTCGAGCTCAACGTTATCATTACATGCGTAACAGACGCCGTGGTTTATCCAACTTTTTAGCAGCATGATGCCGCCTTGCTTGGCTCGAGAAAACCTTGTCGCAATCCTGAAATTAGGCAATAAATTGTTTCGACACGCCGGACCGACATATGCCAATATCAAGGACAAGGAACTCCAACCTGTAGATGTCGGTGACTGCTGGAAATGCGGCGATAACTCGGATGTAATAGCGGTTGAAAGCTTGACGGCCCGACAGAACCAAGGTCGTGTGTACGCTCGAGCGCTCTCTAAGGTCAGCCGACTTCAAATTCGACTAGTAAGCGTGGATAGCGTCTTTCCGTTACAGAACGGCATAAAAGTGACACAATCGTCTTTACGCCTGTGAAACGCTTTCATTGTCGACCATGGCTTCCCACACCACCTCCAAAGTCTTTCAGCGCGATCTCGGGGACCATAACATCTGGTTCTGGAAGCAGCGCTCGTCGGATGTCGCCGATGTCCTCGAGGAGCTCGAGCCACACGGAAACGGCGAGACGGGGAGCTTCGTGAGCGAGTGGAAGAAATCAAGCGTCTTTCCGTCCGAAGTCCATGTCGAGTTGCTGACGATAGGCGCCATTCCGCATCCGTATGTCGGGTTCAATGAGCACAAGGTCCAGTGTACGTTTTCTTTCTTTGATTCATGGGTTCGAACTCAAAAGCTGGTAGGGATCGGCGAGGTCGAGTGGCTATACAAATGCTCCTTCAGTTGCGACGCCTCAGGAAGGCACCGGAACGCCATCTTGACCTTCGAAGGCCTCGACACCATTTGTGATGTGTATCTTGTAAGAACACCGTCCGAATCCACTCAGTCGACGGCCTAATCTTCCTCTTCTCTACAGAACCGCAAGAAGGTCCTTTCTGCGAACAACCAGTTCCGAACCTACACCTATCAAATACCGGCTTCGCCTGCTGGACCTGGGTTGGATCTTCAATCGGAGAACATTTTGCTTCTCCACTTCAAGTCAGCGAAGGCTCTGGCCAAGGTGGAAGAGGAAAAGTACGGCAAAGTAAGAGCAGGATCGACCAACCTTGGCGATCCAAGTCGTGTTTATATCAGGAAGGCTCAATACGACTGGCGGTAGGTTTCTCTATACACCCTCTATTTGTATGTTCTAATAACCTCGTAGATGGGACTGGGTATGTTCGTTTCAAATTCTTGCTGATAACACGACTTCATGATAGCGATGGGACAGGGACCTGAATTGATGACCTGTGGCCCTTACCGGCCTATCAAACTCACCACTTACGACGTTCGCATCGAAAACTTCCATCCTTGGTCATTCATCTCTTTCAAGCCCGGCGATAGCTCCCTCGATACCATCGTTTTAAACGTTGATATCACTCTCACAGGCTCGGTCGATTTGACCCAGACATCTGTCCTTGTAACTCTTCTCGACGCGGACAGGAGACCGATTCGGTCTCAAAGCATTCAACTCAAGTGGGGCGAACAGAAGGCAACCACGGCTGTTTCCTGGGCGGATCTACAACTCGATGGGGTTGAACTCTGGTGGCCTGTAGGATATGGGAAACAGACATTATACACGGTCAATGTATCCCTGCTGGACGCTGAATCCGTAAGTCTTGAAGCCTGCAGTGAAACTTTTTGCTAATATCACTTCGTCAGAACGTCGTCGACAAGAAGACCAAACGGATTGGCTTCCGCACTGTGGAACTCGTGCAGGAACCGCTGGCCGAGCCCGATCAATACGGAACGGGCACCACATTTCTTTTCGAGATCAACAAAGTGCGGATGTTCATGGGAGGTTCGCGAGACATTCATTGTACGTCGCCAGCTGACTCTAGGCTGCCCCAGGTTCGAACTGGATACCGGCAGATAATCTCCTCACAACGATAACCGAGGAAAGGTATCGATCCTGGTTGACCTTACTCCGCGATGGAAATCAGAATATGGTTCGCTTGTGGGGTGGGGGGATATACGAACCCGATATTTTCTATGATATCTGTGACGGTGCGTATTCTATGTCTTTGGTCACGAATTACCGTCCAATCTCATTCCAGAACTCGGGCTTCTCGTCTGGCAAGATTTCCAGTTTGCCTGTGGCGTCTACCCGGCGCACGACGACTTCGTCGCTAGCGTCAAGCAGGAGGCTGAAGACAACGTAACTCGTTTGAGGCACCACCCTTGCATTGCAGTATTCTGCGGTAACAATGAAGACTATCAACAAGTGCTGCAATGGGGTGGTCAGTTTTGATATATTCTTTGGTGTGGCCTTGAATCTGATGGGCATCTTTTAACAGGTATCGGGGAGCTGCCTGCGCGCTTAATTTACGAGCATGTTCTCCCGGACGTCGTCTCTCGGCTCACGGACCCACCTCTCCCCTATCATCGGGGATCACCTTACGGTGGGAAAGGCTGGGACACAAGCGATCCTACGATAGGAGACGTTCATCAGTGGAACGTTTGGGGAGGGAAGGAGCTTCAATACCAGGAATATGACAGGCTTGGAGGGCGCTTCGTCAGGTATGTCATCCATTTTATGCTCTTCCCTCCGGCCTTTAATCGGATTCAAATAGCGAATTTGGCATTCCTTCGATGCCGCCGATTTCCACCATCAAGTACTGGATGCAGGGTGTAGACGCATCGCAGTGGTACTCACAGTCTCCGTTGATGGCTCAACATACGAAGGCAGGAAGCTTCGAACGCCGGTTCGCAATTGTGATGAACGAGAACTTCAGGTTGACAAGCGACTTCGAGACGTGCGTTTTATGCCAAGTCAAGGAAATGGGACTAATTATTGTCGCTTTCTAGCCATGTTTACATTACACAACTAATGCAATCCGAAGCTGTGAGCTTTGCGTACCGTGTGTGGAGGCGGGAGTGGAGGGGGCGCGGGCATGAATACGTGCGTCCTCAATAACATTTGAGATATGGATTGATGTCTGACACGTCTCCCAAAGAATGCAGGAGTTCTTGTTTGGCAGTCGAACGACTGCTGGCCTGTTGTCTCGTGGTCACTGGCAGATTACTTCGTGCGTTCTATGTCATACCGTTTTGGTGCCACCTCATCAATTTTTCATTCTAACAGCTGCGTCCGAAGCCAGTTTACTATACGATTGCCCGCCAACTGGCTCCCATATCAGTTGGAATATTCAGAATAGTACGTGCAGGCTTCTTTTCTCGGGGATCAGCTACAGTAACGTTCTTCATAGGTTGTGAAGAACAGGGACAACGACAGGCCCCGTCAGGTCACTCTTACTTTTCAGCGCTATCTCCCTCTTTTCATGGTCCCCTCTAGTTCTACGAATTTGGAGCGACCCAAACCTTTCATGCGACACTTGAAATATGGGGCGCGAATAGCACTCTTTCAGCGCGTCCTGCGAGGCTGGAGCTCCGATTCTTTGACCTCCTTTCATCGGACTGGTCATACTCAGAAGATCACGAAGTCACCCTCCTCCCGAATCAATCAACTGAACTCGTCACGCTACGCTGCCCAGGGCCAGTAAGAGAAGAATACACCCTCGGGGACCCGTTATATGTTGGCTCAGCGAACGTCGTCGCGAGTGCTCGTCTGGTCGACCCGACCACGGGAGAAGTGCTGGCAAGGTTCTCTGATTGGCCGGAGCCTTATCGGTTCTTACAGCCCCCAGATCCAGGTCTGAATGTCGAGGTACATCCTTCGCAGGGTAATGGACGAACAGAATTGAGGATAACGGTAGACCGTCCGGCCAAGTGTGTTGTATTCTCCGCTGCGGAAGAACCGGGGCGCAACGTCAAGTGGAGTGACAATGCGCTCGACCTGGTACCGGGTGATGCACAAGTCATCATCGCCGAAGGGTTGAAGGGCGCGAAGATTAGTGTGGCATACTTTGGGCATGAAAAATCCAGTTATCTATAAGTAGCAACGTAGTTTGTGTTTCCTACGTCAACTTGCTCCCAAGTTTTGGCTTCTGAGTGACAAATTCGTTGCTTGAAGGACGATGGCTACCGCATCCCGGTCGCTGATATTCGACACCAACGTTCAATGTCAATGAATGCCCGCAATACAGAAGTGAGGCTCGGAAAGCAGTCCGCTCACGACAAAGGAGAGATGTCCTTCTATTCGACTTGATTTACTTGGTGATACAAATACAGTGGGGATGTCAGGAGTTGTGCTGTTATTCGGGTCACGCTTTTCCTCCATCATGAAATCACTCCATGTGCTTGTCTAAGGTTCTAGAAAGGTTATACGCAGCTGAGATGAGGGTGACGTGTCTAGTAGAGGGCTTAATGAGCGACGGACGATTACTACTGCAAGGTGAACCTACGTGAATCCTTGTACAGCATTTCCCAGTCTAAATTCCCAAAAGGCCATTGAGCGAGATGAAAGGGACAGAGACACTAGGCTTACGCTTCTCCAGCATCCGAAATTTCCTCCGTGCAAAGTCCAACGTGGTTGAGATACATCAGGAAGTCCTGACGAGGGGGGGACATCAGTGGCGTCCAAGAAATGAACTATGAGTGCCTGTACCTCAAACATGGTGACGGCTTTGGGAAGGAGAGTCCTGTCAGTCGCGCCAGCCCGAGTCAAAGCCTCTATACACCTAAAGTACAGCGATTGTTCGGCATACCAAGACCATTCGACGAGGTTCTGAACATACCAAAGAGTGCACAGGCAGAAAGTGCCCTCTTCCCCACCGACACCATCGGTCGATTTCTGGGTGTTATACCTATAAACAAGGCTCTGTTGTCGAGCGTTAGGATTCGGCCGATAAGGGAATATCTGACTGGCTTACGTTCGAAGTAAGTCCGCCCTTATCAGGCGTCTTCATAATTTGTTTGAGTGTGTTAACGAATCTCGGGTCCGACTATCCAGGTCCGCAAAAAAAAATTAACTACTAAGCAAATCCAGAGAAAGATGATGAAAGGCGTACAGCTTGCATGAAGAACACCAACGGCATGATGAGGACCGCGGCGTCGATGACGTCTGTGTCTTCGTAGCTCTGCCCGAAGTACTTGCCCTCCTTGTTCCATGCCTTGTTCATGATCTCCTCGTACAACTCGTCTCGCGCCTCCAGCCACTTGTTACGGTTGGGGCACGGGAGTGAGCGCTTGTCGGCAAGACGGAGCCCACGGTCGATGGCAACCCTGACAGGATTTTGATTGGATTCCACGGCAGGGTGATCAGACTTGCATCCTGACTTACCAGAGCATCACTTTCGAATACTATGGAACACGACTGTAGTGAGCACTTGGCTGCGGGATCCATCGGGGAACGCACTCACCGTGAAGTGACGCATTCCGTCACGAACCTCCCTAGTCGGGGTAAGGATGATTTGCTAGAAGAGAAAAACTAAAGTTACCAGATGGACCTGTAAGGAATGTCACTTCTCATCGAAGATCGTAGCGAAAGAAGTGGCTACGTACAAGTCGGGGTCACTTCGATGCGCCACAACAACTGTACGGGTAATAAAAACTGGTGAGTGGCGGCTGCCGCAACAATCTCGTTTCACCCACAATCAACTCTACGAACAGAGGTTTGAGATGTGGACGAACAAACAATCCAATCAGGAAGAACTCACAGCTCTCTGACAAGAACCCTACCATCTGTCTGAGTTGATCATTCTTCGACAAGAGTCAGACGATCAGCGTACCAATCATCATAGGCCTGCCAACCAATCAGAGTCAAAAATGCGAATGCCCTATGGGTTCCAAGCAACATACTAGAGGTTTTCCGAACTGGAAGGGGCATGAGTATGTCTGACTCGAAGGCGATGAACCCGGTCGCTTACCTTCTGACCGAGGTAGATACAATCCATCCTAACCAAATATAAACGACGCCTCCCCAAACCAATGCTTCAGCTATGACTCACAATTCGCCATAGATATCCTGCCAAGTTTATGAGCAACGTCAGCTCAATCGACGTTGTGACATCACAAGGAAGTCAACTGACCAATTGGATATGGTTCGCAGCGCCATTGCCAATACGCACCGGCTTCGAGCCCTTGTGGCCGTCGAGGTGGTCGAGCTCAATTTCTTCAAGGTCCTTACCACCGTTGATGGTGTACATGATCTGCAAGCTGCCGTCGGGGTTCTTGTGTCTCAAGCGCTCAAAGATGAATTCCATGTAACCTGGGAAATATTTTGAGATCATGAAGTGGGAAGGGAGTGGGCAAACAGAACGCACTGTTGGCCTCTTCCGTGAAGCCTAGCCTAAGGAGTGCGTAGAGCGTAAACGACGAATCGCGGATCCAGGATGCGCGATAGTCCCAGTTTCGCACGCCGCCTATGTATTCCGGAAGACTGAAAGTGGGGCTCGCGACAACGGCACCTGACGATTGGCATGTCAACACCAAAATTCAGCGACGGGTTGTTGGGCGACTACTTACCTGTGGGCTCGTAAATAAGCAGCTTTAGAGCAAGGGCACTGCGATGCACGGCCTCTTTCCAAGATCCTCTGTACGTCGACTTGCTGATCCATTCGTACCAGTACCTGTTTGTATTCTGGTACGGCGAGATCGTTACCACACGTGGAGATCGTTAAAGTGAAGACCCACGTAGAGTAGAGAAGCCACAAGCTCTGGGGTTATGAATGGGTCCTCAGATGGCCTGCCCTTCGTGGCGAGGCTGAGCTTTTGCGCCGCGCTCTGCTTCACGGTCGTTTCTGCCTCTTCTTCCTCCGGACCTTTCTTCCACTGCGTCGGCGGTGTCCTCAAAATAAACGTGACACACTGCCCCTCGTGCAGCGTAATCAAACTCTGGACTGCGAGCCCCTTATGCCCTCGCTCCGATAAATCTAAAAACTCCAGCTCCACATGGGGCACAGGGCCGCTATCCCCTGGCAACGTGCACTCTGTCACGTACCGTAGGTCGAGGGCGAGGCTGTCGGACTCGAATAACGCTTTCTTCTGAGCCGGCTCCTCCTGCTCGACGGGCACACTGTCGTCGTCGATAATGGAGGTGATGTGCGTAGAGCGGGCGTAGTTGAATGCTGGGGCACATTGCATGAGGACAGGGAGGGTGCCGCGGATGCACTCGACACGTCGAACGAGCCATGGGAGGAGAGGTTTCGAGCGCCCGAGGCCGTTGGGATTCTCGCGACGAGGGCGGGGGAGGAAGTCGGTCACACTGACCACACCTGAATCGTTCAGGTACTTGGTTTGAAGGACCTGGGTAAAGACATCAGAATTGGCTAAGATGAAACCGTGAATATGTCGAGTCCCGTCTTAACATCCTCTCGGGCGGAAACGACAGAATTGCAGAGCCCGCCTCTGACCTGGCGCGACGTCCAGCAGATGGCAGGTATCCACATGCAGTCCCGCATCGTTCAACCCCACCAACCACAGATGGCGAATACTTACATTGGAACTCGGGAGATAGTTCTGCTTTGTGGTGAATGGTACAGTTGGCGAGATGGAGAAGTGCCCGCCCTTGTATTTGTCGAGAATACGTGCAAAGACCGATGGCGAATCGAAGTTCGGGACGCAATAGCTCTCGACTGCGGTTTGTCAGATAACGCGACACTTTTATGAGCTGGCAACTCACTGGACCCATCCAAACTGACCAGAGCAGCTGTTCGAAGATTCCCAATCCTACGCCCATCTCAGCGACTCTCTCGCCTCTCTGCAGCTGTACTTACAAGCCATGGTCAGCGATGGCGACATAGTCGCGGACTTCGTTGGGATTTATGACGTTCATGAAGCGTTTGTAAGAGCGGCGGTGGATTGAGACCTTGATAGAGGAGGATAAGATGTCGATTGCGTGTCTAAGAAGACCATGTCGGTGCATTGGGTTATACCCGTTTCCGTTGTTCACTTTCGGAGAGCGTTATGTCATACGGCCAAATAAACCAACGAGGATCTTGGCCGTGCCAAGATCACCGGTCTACGCCGGCCGACCAATCAGCGCACCATTTTCGTTGTTTCATCGAAATACCTTTTATAGTTAGTTGTGGAAGGAGAGTGAACCATGTTCAAAATTCCCTGATTTCAGAGCGCAGCATTGCGCCATGGGGGACGTGGACGATTTATTTTGGCATATCAGGAATATTCAATCCAATCAATGTGATCTTCCAACCTGAAATCGATCCGTTCTTTCCAGCTAACGGCGAAATTGTAGACATTTATCAAAATCTCCACATGTGCGCCTCTGCTGACGTCAATTGCAGGATATGGCAGCGCCGTATGAGTCACCCCACTCACTGTCCTGAATACAGGAGCGGCTTTTCCCATCTTACCCCATCCGACCTCAAAAGGGCAGGTTAGCGACGAGAACCCCCACAGGCTCCACCAACCACGATCGCGAATAGCAAGCCCCATCATCATCCCGCATAACGATGATGCTTACTGTAAGCATTGGCGCAGCTGTGGGTTTTAAACGTCTACGATTTTGCCGTCATGCTTTCACGCCGCCAACAGGCCTCGTGACGGCCCAAGGCTGTACGTATCAATCGCACCGCTCTGTCCTTGTGATGTGAAACGCTCCAATTGGGTCTTTACCCATCTGAGCTGAGAGTGCGCCATTTACGAAGATCGAAGAGGAGGCAATTGCATTCTGACAGGAGATCGGCCCGGTGAACCACCAAAAGGCGCGCGCTTAAATTACACAGCCACCGATTATCCATTCAAACAGCCGACCGTGCGGCTCGTATTTCCACAATACATCAAATGAAAATTAAGTCATTGCATTAGGGAAATAAGTGACAATTTTAGTCACCGAATCCACCATAAGCATGACCAGAGGACATTAGACACGTTGGTGGCACCCATCAACCGCCCGTCAAAATCCATGTAAGTGCTTATTGTCTTCCACCACAACAAAGTTGAAGGGGCTTTCTATGCCGACAATTTTAGTGGAAGTGAAACAGGCTGCCTTCTCTTCCGTCCTGATTTCCGCCGAGATCGCCCGCGTGACAACGCCTCTTCGATGCTGGCACGAAAGGGGAACCACCTACAATCGACGCCACATGATAGATGTATCCTAGGAGTGCTTAGTCCACTGGAGGGCGCTTTATCGTAGTTGATCCATGAAAGGATTGAATGTGTAGACTTGAGCGCTCTAGTCACCTGGAAGTTCCTGCCCGCACACCTCGGCCCATGACATGAGGTCTGAGGTGAACTAGTCTGAATCCTTCGGGAGAAGACAGAAACGAGGTATTTCGCCGAAGTTCTTACTACAGCGAGGCCAGTCAGCTGAAAAGTGCTGGCGACAAGCCAGAAGTCCTAAACCTCGTTCTAATCCGAGAATCATTGGTTTCCCGTCCGTTTTTGATTCCTCGTGCTTCATGGCGACAGCCTGTCTTTCCATGAAATGCCTTCAGGTACATGTACCAGAGCCATATCGAAAATGGAGTGACGTTATACCGACGATAACGCTCATATTGTAGGCGGAGGTCCCGCTGGTGGGAGAAAAGATCGCCCAACTGGTTTCTGGTGATGCGGGCTCCCGGATGGCCCTCTCGACCGTTACGTTCGTTACTCGATCGAAGGCGCTAATGATAAGAGCTTCAGACAAGCTCGTAGTGCATCGAGAGAAGGACGTATTGATCACTGGCTCTGGAAGAGAATGTATGTAGCAGAAGGTGTATTGTATAGCGCTTCGCCAGAAATATCATCTCTACTGAGCACAGAAACGGATATTTTCTTCCATCAGCCCGATGACACGCCATGACTATAACGGTGAACGCTTCTGGACTCTACTGGAATCTATCAGAAGCAGTTTCAGAGGCATCTCCTGGTCATTTTTACTTATTCCACGCCACGCTCTTGGTCGTTTGAGCAGAGCACTGGCAGAGTTGAAATCTTACACACTAGAAAGACTGCGAATGGACGCGAGAAAGACTGCATGGCACCTCGACTCGAACTCCACGGGCCCAAGGATCTGGAATCATTTTCTTCCAGCCATACTTATAATCATGGGAATATTTATCTCCAATTATACTCGTCAGGATAAAAGCAGCGATGAGAGGCCCATAATTTCAACTTCTGACAGCTAAATGCGATTTCCTTGCAGGCCCCGTGCTCGGAGGAGTCGGTGAAGTTTGACTTCTTTGCTGTTTCGTGCTAAGTTTAGACCAAGAGAAGTGGACAGCATCAATAGATACGCTATCCTGGTTCGTGAATGCTGATGAACAATCACAGAAGATTGGAAAGACGTGAAATCAATGCAGTTAGTTTAAAGACAGATTCCGCGGTGGGGCTATCAGGAATGTCATCCCGAGATTCTCCTGCCAAGGCTCCAACCTACGGCCGTGAAGAACCTCCAAATTCCCAGTTTGGATATCTATCTTTTTGGCGATTTATCGACTGCCCTCGGCTCTCGTTGAACTAGAATTCAATCCCTCTGTGAGTCTACCAAGAGGCGCCAAAAGTGGGACTTATAAGTTGGAAGACATTTGCGTTTCTACAAATTTGAACGGCGCCTAAATTTATTGAGAGATAGATAGCACAGTGACCATCATTCCGGACTCACGACAACATACTCAGCTCCTTACGGGAGGATGATCGCTTCCTCTCCCTGGTGCTGTGTTACCACATCGCGTTTGCAAGGGTCATTAATCACGACTGTCCCACAACCTTGGCTTTCCGCCCTCTCGGGAAAGGAATATAAGAACGTCCCTTAAGTATTACGCAAGCCTCCTCTACCTCGCCCACTTCTCAAGCATCCAACTACCGCGACCCTGGTCAGCGACGGCCGACGACAGACAACGCGAAATGCCTGAGACCTCGCTGCTGTGAGTGGTGATAGGGCGCTGATCTCTTCGGGCTTAAAGCGCTCATATTTCCCTGCAGCTTTGGTCCTCTCTTGATCGGGGCTTGCCTGAATATGATTTTGTACGGGGTGAGGCGGAGTTCGTCCTTTCCATTTGTGGGAGGTGCTTATGAGCGCACCTTCTCTTGGACGTAGGTGGTATGCGTGCAGGTTAGCGACGTTGTCGTCGTCATTGAACTCGACCATCTCACAAGCGACGGCGTCTAGTCGTTTATTTACTATCAAACGTACAAGACGTAGGTTTATTATATTCGGCAAGCTCTATTCGTCGTTTGCTGAGACCTGAATTCACAGCGACCAACCATGGGTTCGATACTTTGTGCGTAGGATTGGTAGCAACGTCGACGAATCGACTAAGAGGACGCACTACAGGTATTATATCTTTTCATCATAGAAACCTTCAACACTGGCTTCAATTTGGGGTTATTGTACGAGCCTCTCGTCAGATACTACGGCAAGCGCAAACGGATTGTCCCTCTGCCAAGTCCTAGCTAACATCGTTTATGGCTATAGGGGAGCCGCGCTCCTTCACGGTGGCACCGCTGAGTACGAGATTCGACTGATTTGGAAGCATAAATTAAATACAGTCCTCACACTGCAGTGCTGATCACTGGTGCGTCTTCCACGGAAACAGAGCTTAACACGGCCCTTACGAGCCCATTCACACTCCTAGATCCCGTCGTCACCGTCAGAATTTATGCTTCGTGCATCCTAAATCTCCTGCACTCACGGACCTCGTCGCCAGGTTCTGATATCCACATCCGTTCAGTTCTTCATTGCGTGGCGAATCAAGATAATCAGCAACTCTCTTGCCATGCCCATCGTCATTGTGGTCCTCGGCACTTGCTCACTGAGTTCGTTTTGTTTTCATGCTTCCGTTTTTTGAGAGGTTGACTCTACCTGCCCCCAGTTGGAGGCGTCACACTCACGGGTTTAGTAATACGTGAGCGAGAATGGGCCGCCTTCACAAAATTCGAACCTGCTGTCATAACCTGGCTGGGGGCTTCGGCCGTTGCAGACGTCTTGATCACAGCCTCGCTCTCTTGGTCACTTGCAAGTCCCGTTTCAAGCTCTGCTGTTCATGATGCGGGGGGCTAATCTAGTTATAGTCAAGAAGGAAGACGGGGATAAAGGCTACCGATGACAAGGTTACCAAAATCATTCGTCGTGCGTACTGCAAGTTTTCATAACTTTAATTTCGTTCATAAACGACATGCCACAGTCACTGTCCAGACTGGCCTCGTCACCGCCATCTTCGCTACACTCGATGTTGTTATTTTCGTAACTGTCAAGGTAGGGTTCCCAATGTAGCCTCGTCCATTCTGACGGGTGTTGGGCAGGGAACAACCCTCAATTTCCTTTGGGACTTTCCTCTCTCCAAGCTGTACACCAACGCGTTGCTTAGCACGTACGTTTTGAAACCATCATCCATCTCATTCCGTTTCATAAAGACTGCTGTGACAGATTAAACGCTCGTGCGGGATGGAACAAATTAACCGGTACAGGGCAATCAACCGATGAGAACAATGTTCTCATGTTCAGGCGCAGCGAGCTTCGACAGGTGGGAGCATCCAAACGTCTCTATTTCTTCCGCTGTTCTCATGTTTGCTCATCAGTACCCAACCACGCACCGTCAGACAGTAAGTCATGATTGTTTGTCCAATTTGCGTACTGAGAGTTCTTTACAGGTCACTGGTGTCTTCGAGCTTGAAGCAACAGTAAGTCAGGCGCAAGAGCATCGCGTTCGGTTAGGCAAGCTGGATAATAGGATTGAGGTGACAACCGCGGCGGAGCGTCTCGCGGACCGACCGGAAGAAGAGGACCGATCAGAGGATCAAAAATATAAGAAGAGCGCCGAAAACGAGGTGTAAAATATTTCTTACTTGTACTTGTAGCCAGATAGTCCATGACGCAATGCACCGTAGATTACGCCTCCATCATGATCGTAATCCGAGTCCTCTTCGAGGTTCGCACAAAGAAACCTGATTGAGCGGTGTGTGACACGTTGGCGGGTAATGAGAATTGCCACTTATCATGTATTTTTCGTCGTTTGTAAGTATACGTCCCGATATTTGTTGGGAGCGCGCTTAAGGCTCCCCCCTATTTCGGAGATTTGGGCACTTATATTGATGATCCGGCGCATCAAGTCAGGGTCGCCGCCTTTCCTGGAGTTTGAATCCTTCTCAAACCTGTCGCCCAGCAGCAACGCACTCATGATTACACGATAATTTTGAGACTTAGTGGGATAGATAATGATTCGTAGACACACCAAATATCAAGCTTGAAAAGATAATTTAGAAATGAGCCAGTCTTTCGAGGACAATGCGCACTTCCAAATTATCGCTGTTACAATAAGATACATCTATCATTGGAGGTGGGGGGGTATGCAAAGAGCAGGGGTATCTAACATGAAAATATGAATACGAAGGCCGAAGAACATATTCGAGTTGAGGGGGTATTGTTTCTGGCTGCAGTCCAATTCCTGGGACCTGATGAAACTAACGTTGTCAGTCCTCCCAAGGACGATAAAAGAAGACCTTCTTCATGCCCTCACGGACGGCTGCTGGGTCTTGATCCCGGAATTCCTCGGTCTTCATTATCTCGTTGAGGCATACTTCTAGGAGCTGGTAGTTTGCAGCGACCGCGGTGTCGTAGTTCTGCAGTGTGATTCTTCCACCTTCGGAAAGGCCGAGATGGGCATTGAATTCCTGTTTTTGTAGCGCGATGCCATTGTATTCCTCCATCAAAGAATGGAACTTGGCGACCTCTTCGTGCAAGAACCGGATGGGACATGGTACACCAGCATTCAATGCGTCCCAGCATTCAATGCGTCCCAGCATTCAATGCGTCCCAGCATTCAATGCGTCCCAGCATTCAATGCGTCCCAGCATTGTTGCAAGTTGATAAGAGACTCCTGCAAAGGCAAGAACCCATCAGGCCAGGTGCCAGTAGCGCAGGCAATGGGCGCAACAAGGAGAGATCTGGTCTGAAAATTGAGCGCGTGATAGTAGAGGGGGTTGACCTCGCGCAGAGCGTCGCAATAGGCATCCTCAAGAAGCACTTCTTGTATGATAGACATCCCAGCGTCACGTTGTTCCTGGGGCATCTTCAGTATATTTTGAATCTCTTCTTGAGTGATTTTGGCGGCATTGACTTCTGGATACCTGTTCTTGAGGAAAGCCGGGATCCGGGCGGAGAAGTAGAGAGGATTTACGACTGAATGTTGCCAGTCAATGAAGGAGGTGAACTCGATGCGGCCAGCTTCAAGCGCCTCTTGCGAGATGAAGATATTACTATCACTCAGATCACGATGAACTAGCGATGGTTGTATGAGGGCTGGATCCGAATGCAATAGGTAAGGCGCTGCACTCATAAGGTGCTGCAGGAGGGATTTATGCTCTTCATACGGAAACATCAAGGAAGCAGGAGCCAGCATCGTTTCTGGTACATTTTGGGGTTTGAATTTGTCCAGCCAGTCATATTCACGTTGGGCGACGGCCTTCACGTACTTCGTAGGATCCTCGTCCCCTATCATAATTGTTAGAGAGCGCCGCAGTTCATATAAGGGCTGCTCACAGGGACCGCGATCTACTCCCTCCATTTCTGCCTTTCCATCACGCCAAAACGAGGTTGGTGTCATCGGACCGAGGACGAACTCGGACTCGCGGACGCCATCCGTGAAGAGGTCTCTGGAAGATTCCGGGTCGATATCTCTGCGATAATATAGGGCCCCGTAACCGCCGCTCAGAGGTATGTCGTATTGTTTTTCGAGTTCGGCCAGCTTTTCAGCGACGTTGCGCTTCATCATGAGGGACATCGAGGGCCAGACGTCTTGTAGGCAAACACCTGTTGCTTTTTCCATAATGATGTAGGCAGAGTCGACTCCATTGTTGTCCGCATCTGACGACCATGCGAGGACGCGTGGTATTGGAATTTGGAGTCGCGTGCGGGCATAATCCATCGTCGCGACCTCACTGGCTGTAACGAGATGACCTGGGCCTGCTTTCGCCAACGGAAGACGCGCGACAAGTTCTGTCCCGTTGTCGAGAGTCAGCAGGAAAGCCTTATTGAATTCCCCCTCCCCGAGCTTCTTCATCCTCAGGACGGTGTTTGCGCCTGCTGCCTTAACTACCGCAACTTTTAATCCATCGACGTTAAATCGAAGATATCGCTTCGCTAGCTCTTGCTTTTCGTTGTGAAGCCAGCGCCCTGAGGTGTATTTGAAGAAAGCTTCGTACTGAAATTCTGGTGCTGTCGAATAACGGCGCGAACAATTTGGGGTAGTAGATCCAGATAGCCAAGAACTGCAACGAAGGGCGCGGTTCTGGAGGAGAAACTTCAGCCTCAAGAGCGGCATATCGAACCTGCGCAAAATCCTAGAATTGAAGTACGTATCAATCAGAACGAACTCGCCAGAGATGCGTGGGAAAGTCAAATCCCTCTCTCGTCATTGGCCAATGGAATTCGTTACGTAAGCGAATTCCGAGAAACTCCGCCGACTCTTCCAGCTCATCGTCATTAACAACGACAACGATGCTGAGGTCGTCGTCTCCGGCGTTGCTCAGAGCATCTGTCTCGACGTCCAGTGTGTCTATCTCCATCTCATACTGGCGCACGCTCACCCATTCTAGGAGTTTCTCGGCCCTTCAGAGGCAAACTTCGAACATGCCGCTCACTTGCGACCGTCGCTGAACCCCCCGTCCGAAGATACGGTGGCCTGAGGGATCAAGACCGCATATTTACCAATGCATACTGCCGGCATGACCACGGTATCAAAGGCGCTATGGTATGTGCTGACCTACACGAAAGTGACTGAATTGGTCTTATCTGCCTGTTTTGCAGTCTCGAGGCGACTGGCATCGTACCAAAGACATTCTGTTGAAGGGCGACTCTTGGATCATCCAGCAAATAAAAGATTCGGGTCTGCGAGGGCGAGGAGGAGCTGGCTTCCCGAGCGGGCTGAAGTGGAGTTTCATGAACAAACCGGGTTGGGAGAAGGACCCAAGGTGTGTTGTTTACACACTCTTCTCTTTTTTGAGTCTAACACCTCGTCAGACCTCGCTACCTTGTCATCAACGCCGATGAAGGAGAGCCCGGAACGTGCAAGGACCGCGAAATTCTCCGTGGTGACCCTCACAAGCTCATCGAAGGCTGCCTTGTTGCCGGCCGTGGCATGAACGCGACAGCAGCCTACATCTACATTCGTGGAGAGTTCTACCAGGAGGCCGCCCACGTTCAGCAAGCCATCAATGAGGCGTACGCCTCTGGCTTCCTTGGCAAGGACGCGTGCGGCTCAGGGTATTCTTTCGACGTGTACGTCCACCGTGGTGCCGGAGCCTACATTTGCGGAGAGGAGACAGCCCTCATCGAGAGTATCGAGGGCAAACAAGGAAAGCCGCGTCTCAAGCCGCCTTTCCCCGCTGATGTTGGCCTGTTCGGTTGTCCGACTACCGTGGCAAACGTCGAGACCGTTGCAGTTGCCCCAACGATCTGTCGGCGTGGTGCGAGCTGGTTTGCTGGTTTCGGACGGGAGAGGAATCAGGGAACGAAGTTGTTCTGCATCAGTGGACACGTCAACAACCCCTGCGTCGTGGAGGAGGAGATGAGTATCCCATTGAAAGACCTCGTCGAGAAGCATTGTGGAGGCGTCATCGGTGGTTGGGACAATCTGTTGGGTATCATACCCGGTGGATCCTCCGTGCCGGTCCTGCCAAAGGACACCTGTGCTGAAGTTCTGTGAGTCCTGTCGTCTTCTTTTCTCTTTTTTCTTTTCTCTGACGTGTTTTCCAGAATGGACTACGATTCACTCAAGGATGCCCAATCTGGTCTTGGAACCGGCGCCGTCATCGTGATGGACAAGAGCACCGATATCGTCAAGGCCATCGCTCGGTTTTCGCACTTCTACAAGCACGAGTCGTGCGGCCAGTGCACGCCCTGTCGTGAAGGTACAACCTGGATGATGAACATGATGGACCGGATGGTTGAGGGGCGCGGGCATGTTCGCGAGATTGACATGCTCCTCGAGTTGACGTACGTTCTTTCCTCGTCATTGCTTACCCTTTCTGACATTTATTACCTAGTAAACAAGTTGAAGGACGTACGATCTGCGCTCTGGGTGACGCCGCTGCATGGCCCATCCAGGGTCTCATGCGACACTTCCGACCAGAGGTTGAACGTCGCATCGCCGAGTTCCGCGCTGCGAATGGCGCTGTTGGCTTCGGTGGTCACCTTGCAAGTGCTGCTGACGATACGCTCGCCCTTCCTGATAACCTAGGCTTGAGGCTGCCCAAGGTTGCCGCTCCTCAACCTCAGGTTGCTCAGGCTTAGGCTGGCCGTAGATAAGTATGACGTTCACTGTACCCTTTTCAATTCATGTCACTTGCTTCTTTCCATTCCGCTGGAACATTCTTTGCCTCACACATTCCCTCCACACTCACAAATGCCGCGGACACGGCCACATTGCACACCCGACAATCGACCTCTGTTCCGTCGCTCTCCCTTCGCATCGACGACCCCATCCTGCCAGTCCTCTTGTCCCTCTTCAGTATGCGCCACCATAGAGATGAGCACGAGACCATGAGACAGTACGTGCCGTTCCCGTGAGCTTCTTCACACCGCCGACTTCTTTCCAACACCACCACCACTTGATGAGAGTCGGCCACTCACCTCAGAGTGACGACGACGCACCCCCGTGCCTACAACCCACCAGAAACCAACGGCGGCACCATCTCTCTTTCGTCCCTATGGTCGTCACAGCTGCGAGACGTCAAGACGGACATCGGCCACGGGCATGCTCTCGTTCCCCGAGTCAACACAGGGCCACGGTGCTGCGGAGGACGGTGCTGGGAGGCCGGGGATGGACGTCTGAGGGCTGAGGGATCCGTGTCGGCGACGCGATGCAACAAACTACAAGGGCGGCGTCATGAGCGGCAGGATGCGATGTTCAAACAAGGTGCGTACCTATGCTCTTGTCTTTGCCCCCGCTGATCCAGTCGAGTCACGACATCAGCGCAGGGATATGGGTGACGAGCGAAGGTCTTACCTTGAATCCCACTGCACGGGTCGGGAAACATGAAAGCTTCGAGGGCGGAAGGTACATGGCGTTTTCGCCTGCCAACGGAGTCTCTCGAGAGCGGCGGCATTCGAGGGAAGAACCTCCTTGAAGGTCGGCGGCGCGAGTCGGGCAATACCTTGATGAAGTAAGTCATCTCTTTTCACGAGCGTGGACAGACACTTACCATCGATTATCAGCCTCTCGTTCGCCATCTAACCCCAGGGCGAATCCCTTCTGCATCGAGGACGGCGTCAGCGGGCGTCGGGATATGTGACGGAAATGGTACGTACGGATACCTGTTGGGCTTCGTGGAGGATTCAGCTCATAGTCGAGCGCTTAGGTCGACGGCGCGAGTCGGGGAATACCTTCAAGAGCGATGGATTCAAGGATCATGAGCGGCGGTACACGGTGGTCGATCAAATGAGGTACTGACCTTTCTTCGCATGTTCGTGCCGCTGACCGAGATACCTTCCAGCTGTCTTGACATTCGCAGCAGCTCACGGGGCATGAACGAATGCCGACTTACTCGAGTGGTCGACGGCGCGAGTCGGGCAACACGTTGGAGGACGGGTACCAGGTACTAAGTGCTTTCTTCCATTATGCCAAGGGTTACTCATGTCGTGGACTAGCCCTGTCCTCCTCTGTCCAACAGCCCAGCGGGTCATCCATCCCCTTCCACACCCTGGGCATGACCGCAGCAGACACGAGCGTTGGTGTCAGAAGGGGCAATCCGACGAGGAGACGAGCCCGGCTGGGTTGAAGGTCGACAGCGTGGGTCTGGAAGAACGATGAACGGGTCGATGGCTACACGGGTGGCAAGGTCATGAGCGGGCAGTATGGCATGTCCGAGCCAAGTACGTACCCGTGTTCCCGTGTTCGCGCCCATGAACTGAGTCGTTTTCCAGCCCACAAGTCCCAACGTTAACTTTGGAAACACCGACTGACGTGAAGGTCGACCGAGAGAGAGTCGGGCGACACGTTGATCTAGGAATTGAGGTCAGTCGCATCCTCCGAGCACGTGGATGAATATGTTTACTGACGTTGCGGTTGGCGCCCTCCTCCCTTGTCCCGCGGCATGCCAGGTCCTCCAACTTGAAGACGACGACAGAGCATGAAGCTCCTCGTCAGCGGCACCATTTCAAGCAAGAAACGAAGACCTACGAGGAACGTCGAGGGCGCGGGTCGAGGAATACCTTCATGAAGGTCAAACCTCAAATCAGGGTGAGTGCGCAGCTTTGGAGCACAACACGAAGACTTACATCGTGTTCTAGTCCTCCACGCTGCGGCCAATAATACTTTCTCCTTCAGGATGACGTCGGCGGGCGGGTGGATACGTGGCAGAGTGAGGGGTTTGAATGAGGGCGGTGTGGTCGAACTCCCTCCCTCTTCTCCTTCGTCGGCGAGCGCGGCCTTCAACACCTCGCGTCAGCACGGCACAGACTAGCAAAGAATGTACGTACCAAGTTTAATAGTCCCCGTTGACGTCGAGCTCATGACTGAATTCTACAGTATGGAGGTGTCAGTACCTGTGTGTGAGGAGGTGAAAGGAGACGTACGCAGTGTTGGTCATGCGCCCCGCCTGTGCGCCAAAGGTAAGTCAGTTGAAAATGTCGTCAAGAGACAGGTGCTGACCCTTACTCGACGTGTAGGATCTCGAGGCTGCGCTAGCACATGTGGGACGGGTGGTTAGTCGCGGCCATAGTCAGCGAGGCCTGTGTCCAACGTGAGTCCATGACCACCGTGAGCTTCGACCTCGACTTACCGATGATGAGCCGGACTGCTCCCTGACCCCGGTAAATCCCTTTTTTCGACCTTCATCATCACATTCTCGTCGTCCCCTCGATCCCCGACACCTTTCCCATCGAGCCATATGATTCCTCGACACACCCGGAGATCCTCAGTCAGCAAAAGCATCCGTCCCGTGACTGGCACCGCCTCTTTCCCTCTGTTTCCCGTTTCACCGAGACGCTCGGCGCGCCTCCCTTTCCTTGTTAGGTAGCCTTTTCCCCCATCAACGCAGTTGCCGCCTCGCCGCCTCTCCCCTATTCCATTCCTGTTTCATTCTTATCTAAAATTTTCTGTTTTTCTTTCTTCCTTCACCCACGGCTCGGATATCTTCCTTGCCGGGCTCTTCTTTCTTCATAGATATAATCCATGTCTACACACTCACACAATATAGAGAATTTAGTTCGTTTTTCCGTCTCTCACCTCCCTCGTTCCTCGCTCTCTCACTCGTATTCCGGAAGCACCGTTGCCTCATTCGTCCCGTTCCCACGCTTAGCGCCCGCATTCGCCATCCGTCTTCGAGTCGCGCGCGCCCACTGGTTAGAGCCGCACAACCACGGAACTGTCCTCGCACCTCAGAGCCACTCATTGCGGTGTTTTGGGTGTGTGTTTGTCATTCATTATTCGCACGATCACCCCACCGTAGGCACATCACCGAGCACCATTGCAGCCGTCGCCGCCATCCGTACGAGTCTAGAAACAGGCGTCAGGGCGTGGCGAACACAAGAGGAGAACGGGCTTACCGAAGAGGGCAGAGGAGAGAGGAGAAGAGAGGAAGGGAGGAAAGGGAGAGGAGGGGAAGTGGGATGATGATGGTAGAAAGCCACGGTGTCATGGCCTTCTTATACCAATCAACAAACCTGTGTACGTATGCGTTCGGAATAACAAATCACGTTGGCCAGGAAAAGGAATGGGCTCGGCTGCGCCACCTAAGCGAGGTTGAGATTCCAAGATAGGAAAGTATGTTCGCTTTCGATCATCTCCTCCCTCTTGTTCTGCACGAGCGTCTGCGCGCTGCAGAACTCGATCGATGACTAGACTGGAAACGTGAAGCCCAAGATAATTCCCTCAAACAAGTGTGTTTTCAACGGTAAGCATAAACGACACGCAAACGATTTGGTACACACACTGATTCCTCCCGTAGGTCCACCCTCTCGAACGAACGTTGCCATCCCCAAAGTTCCCACCTATCCGTCTATCCGAAGGTCCAGACGTGCCAGCTCACCACCCCACGGCCTGCCAAGTCCGAAAGAAACCCCAAGAAACCCCCCAGAAACCACGGAAATACACCCAAACGCACATTCTGCATCTTCTGTGCAAGCGCGAACAGGAACAGACCGAGTTCTGGCTGGAAGAACTCGTATCCGTGTCGACCCTTGATGGTCTGATGGCGCTAGGCGAGGGCCTGGGTGCTTGGAAATGAGGTGGTTTTTGGGGATTTCTGAGCGAATCGGGGGAGCGGGAGAGGGTCGGGAGAGGGCTCGGTGCTTCGCTCGGCGGTACGTTCCTTCGTTTGGGTTGCATGGGGTGCTCATCGGCTGATATGGTGTGTTCTAGATGGCTCTTTCTGAGGGTTCTAACGAACGCACTTGTGCCCCGTTTCTGATGAGAGGATGAGATGAGGATCTTCGCCTCGTTCAAATCTACCAACCAAAGAGCCTCGCCCAAAGGAAATCTCGGAAGTATGCATAGTATCTCCGAGCATACGTGATCTTGCTGAGAGGTAATGTACGTTTGTGCCCCGAAACAGTCAGCTGAACGAGGAGATAGGAAACGGGGCGAAGATCCCTGCCTTTTGGATCTCTCGCACCTTCTCTCTCAAATCTCAACGGATATCTCGGCGCCCCGTTCACGACTACCGAGACCACGATATCCCGCCTGGAACACACGGTATCAATGTATTCGAGAGTCGTCTCGTGAAGGAGGAGATCGTGATCAAATGTGTACGTCGTTTCTCACTTCACCCCTTTTGTCATTCCAACAATTATGTCGAGCTGATTTTACCCCATCGAGTGATATTACAGAGTTCATGTCATATCTCCCGAGTGGGTAATTGCCCTGTAGGATCTCGAGCGATAGCCAGTACGATTTCCTCGTCATTCATTCCGCACAGAACTTCGGGCCGTCTTTCAAATTTCAAATGACATAGATCTCAAAGAGACTTTAACTGATTCATTTCCTAGTCTTTCAGGCCGTCAACAACTTGCTTGACGAAGAATCATAAACAAGTTGTGAGTCTTTTACAGCTCTCTTGGTATAAATAGAACTTCGACTACAATTTCCTCGTACGTTCCTCTAATGATCTATCCACCCTCTTCTTTGGCCGTTGAACCGATTCTCTATTCGGTGGCCTGGTCAAAGATAGCTTCTACAGAAGACAATTCGCCTTCCTGCACCTCTCAAATCACATTCAAGCCTGCATCCGCTGTTTATCTCCTCGAAAACACATCTTAACAGTCATTTACTGGCATTCAATTCAAATATATTGCAATATCTACGATTTAGCTAGCGATTCGAGGGTGCGCACTCATCCAAAAACAGCACAAGGTACTAGGCAAAGTAAAATCTTGCCGGTCTTGGTCTACATACGAAACTCGACGTATTGCCCGCCAGTGCAGTGTCGTGGTCGTTAAGGAGAAGGGGTATACATATTTGTAGAATCCTGCGGAACGGAACGATTTGTGTGGGGACCATGAAGAAGACGGCAAAGTAATGAAGTCGCACCGGGAGAAAGCCTCGTAATGGCAAGCCAGATGATGTGGGGCGGGTCTGAACGAATGGAAGGTCAGAGTAGAAACCGTGCGGATGGGATAGGATGTCACCAGCCAATGACAACGGCTCACCGTTCGAATTCTTCCCCTCCTCGAGTCCCTGGGCGTCGAGTTGACAGAGCCTTCTAGGTGCATTTCTATGCGGTGGACACTCGCGAAGGGGAATGAAGGGCTCCAGGGAAAGATATCAACCGAAGGAAAACGTCTGGGAAAGAGGTTCCACCTATGGGTGAGCCGTGGAGGATGCTGTCGGGGAAGAAGGGCAAGCTATATAGATTTGTCGACTTGTTAGTGTCTATTCTATGGTGTGAGTGACAGCTCACCAACATTCCTGATGAGAGATTCAAGAGAGAAGGAGGTGACTCCTTCGTTGACGACGTGGTTTGGGAGGCTGCTCACCTGTGCCTGCAGTGAGAAACCTCGAAGACACGAGGAGAGGGGCAGAGTAGTCGCATTTGCGTGGTGAATGAGAGGTAAGCAGCATAAACGTTGCGAGATACGAGTGGGCCACTCACTGGCATGAAGATGGGGGGAGTTGGGAGGAATTATGGTGCAGCCAGGGACGTGCTGGAATGGTCACACGAACTGAAAGGGGATTGGGACGCCCCATGAGATTGATTCTGTCAGAATGAAAATTCTGAGCGCTTACCTCATGCGAGAATTGTTTCGCCTACCAACAGAACCTTCACCTGCGGACGCTCGACCGACCGGGAACCAGGGTCAATAAGTGAATTCTTGAAGGTATTGGTCTCGAACTGGGCTGGAATGGAACAATTGCTTGCTCCCCCTCTTTTCCACGGCAAGGGCAGAGATCCTGGAGGTGGTAAATCAGCTATGGAGTAAGTGCTAATCTCAATGTAACTAGCTTGAATCTTTCATGTTATTTCACCCAAGTATCAGCGCCAAGCTCGCCAATGAAGGCAGAAGGGTTGTCAACGTGTTCCAAAAAGCAGATGTGTTCCTCGCTGCCAAGACCAAGCTTCCCGACATTATTCGGAAAGGGCGGCTGCTCTCTGTGTTTTCCCCCCATATTGTTCTTAGAACACGTTTGGAGTGAGTGGGATGTTCTTCGTTTATTGACAATCCATTTCTACCTCTACTCTATAGACGCTTTCTACACACGACGGCACTCGGGAGCTGGATTACGAGGAATTTCTGGAACAAGCTTGAACAGACGTCGGTGCGTTCGATATCCCATATCATTTATTCCACGCGCCGCTGCTGAACAGTCTCATCAGTTTGACTCTTTCGCTCTCCCGAAAGACTCGCCCCTCCGTAATACATCCTCCAACTTCTGGGGAATTCGGATCAACGATGAAGGGAGAGTGAACCCCAAGAACTACTACTCCCTCGTGAATGCCGGTCAAATCGAACTTGTAGCGCCAGCACGCGCTCTAGGTTTCACAGGGGATGGGAAATCGGTCAGGCTCAGCAATGGCCAAGAAGTTACCGCCCAAGTCGTCATCCTCGCTACGGGATGGAAGAGCTCGTGGACGCAGATATTTGACGGTCCGTAGTCATGCCTTTCGTTCTGATAGTCCATTTGAATTCTTGCCCACTACTTAGAAAGTACAATGGAGGAGCTTGGGCTTGGACGACATCCTCCGACTACTGACGTTAGCATAGCGGCACACAGTTGGGATTACAAGACACTGGAAAGCGCTCCTACTATGCATCCCGAGAATCAAGTACAGAAATGGGTAACCTCTGTTTATCGTGGCCTTGTCCCTGGCAAGAACATCAACAAGCGCGACTTCGCAATCGCCGGCGCTATCGTATGCCCTTCGTTGCATTTCCCGGGAATTCATAGCTGATAATTAGTTAGTTCACCGCGAATAACGGGTACACGAGCGAAGTCGCCGCCCACTGGATCTCGTCCTATTTCCAAGGAGATCCCATGCGCATTCCCTCTTCGCCGGAAGAAGCCATTGCCGAGGCTGAACTGAGGTCGGCTTGGATGAGGAGGAGGTACCCGAACATGTGCTCCTGGGTAAACGAGAGCTACAGCAGCACGCTCGACTTCTGGACGTGGGTCATTTTCTCCATTTATGCATCGACCCTTTCTCACATTTTGTTCGCAGCTGGCCTCAAGCAGTGGACGAGCTGCTGGAAGACATGCATCTCCCGAGCATGAGAAGTAGCGGGAACTTCTTCACTTGGCCATTCAAAGTCATCGACTTGAAAGAGATTTCGACGCTCGGAGAGGAGCGGCGGGCTAATCGAGAGCGAGCACGAAGTTTATGAGCTGAGTCGAGGTCCATCATTAGCCTCAGGAGACAAATGGTGTGGATCCATGTCGTGCTAGTGACAAAGTATTGCTGTGGATTTATTACCCATCAGGACCGCTTCTCTGCTTTGCGCCGGCCTTCCCTCCAGAGGAGGAACAAAGACGCCAGAATTCCGAAAAGAGCCAAAGAGCTTGTAATCGAGAGCCCGCCAATGATCGAGGGCGGAATCTCACTAGAAAGTGGCCACAATGAGGACAAAACCTTGGTGAGGAGGCGATGAAAAGAGCTCACGATATGTACTTGATCGAGTTCGACGCAGAGTTGATGTTCACTTCAAGATGGCTGTGCGAATATCACAGACTGCACACAGAATAAAGCTGCAAAGCTTACTCGCGAGGACGTCCTCCAAGAGAGTGCGTCGTATATACGTTGGCGAAATCGATAATGAAATCCCCCATCCGCGTTCCGTTGGCTGGCTGTTCGAATTTGAGGCGCATGGTGTGTAGTCCCGGTCCGAGATTGGATGCCATGTACAGAACTTGACGGGCTCTAGCGACTCTCCTGGCCGAGAAGGTACCGAAGAGACCGTTGTCCATTGAGACGGAAAATGCTGCCGTGTTGTTGGGACCCGACGGGCCGTATAAAAGGATGGTATCTCCTGGCATTTCGAGGTCACAAGCTTTTCAGATGAGATGACGTCTGACAGATACCCTGTAAATATCAGAGACGTTAGGGGATGTTTCGGTTGGTCAGAGATGTCGCGCGAATTGCTTACTCTGAATTTGAATTCTGCCCTCGCAGATGGATCGCTAGTGACCCTGGTGAACGAAATCAACATTGGGTAAAAGGAGGACTCCGACGTCAGACATACATTGCGCTACTGCAGGAGAATGCACCTGGACGTGGCGATGGCCTCCATGCTGAAGCCGGCAAGAACGAGAACGGGAGCTCATTGTCTTGCGTGGTGACCGGGATAAGCTCTTCATCGTCCCTCCCGGTTTTGCCTTCGAATGCGACCTTGGATCGACGTCAAGTGGAGCACTAAGGAAGACAGCAAAGAGAATTCTCACAGAATCGACATCCAACGTGGTGTTCCCCGCGTTGACTAATTTGATCGTATGTAGCCCATATCTCAAAGAATCGGCACTGAACAGCGTCTGGTTGAACAAGGGCACATCCGAGTAAGCGCTCGAGACTGGGTATTTTCTCCCATCGAGCTCGATCTGATACAGCCCATAGCCTGGCCGTTTCGCTCCGTATATTCCGATGAAAGTCCCGTTGAAGGTCAGGGACATGGTTTCGCCAGCTTGCCTCGTGTAGGTGTAGGTAGACTGCGAATACCTGTTCCTGATGTAGCGACTGGATACGAGATGTCAGAAAAACCCACGTACTTACCGACTCATTAGTTGATCATTCGCCGATGATCCACCTTGCCATCCTGGCGAGAAGTTCAAGACTGGGCAAGTGTCTTTGAATATCTGGACGAAGCGGGGCATGTTGGGCTACTCACAAGAAGAGCACCGCTGTCTGAACCTTTTCTTATTATAATCCGGCCGCCGAGCTTTGGCAGCTCAGAGCACGTCCACTGAGTGAACTTTGTAATCGATGCACATAAGAAGTACTTGGCGCAGACGGCGTTTGCCGGTCAAACACAACGTTACCGCGGTCTGTCATCAAGGTGCCATGGGAAAGAGCTTCTCCCACGAATACATGCACTCGCAATCGAGGATGTATCGGTACTTCAGAGGCTTGGATGCGCTGAGCTCGTTCACTTCCTGGGCGATGTGGTAAGGCTCGGCAATGCCGGGCCGAAGTAAGCGCCCGAATGACCAAGCCTGGAACCTGCTTGGAGCTAAGGTTTTCTTGACATCTCATTTGCTTGGCACATCGCTCACACTCCTTCGGGCAGAGATGAACAAACGGGAAGTTGACAAGTATCCAACTCAGCGACGGGATGAGGTTACCTTCGGAAAACGGTTCCGGTGAGTCTTCAGGCAGCCCTTTGACAGATTTCACGCTACATAGAGCTATCTAAATATAAATTCGGGTCGGGTTAAACCTTGTTATCCATGCTCTTCTTGTATACACCATCGCCCGTGCGTTCCACAACGGTCGTCACCGCGATGCTGCTGCCAAACTTGACGCGGTGCTCCGATGCCTGGGTGCCAGTGGGCTCGAGCTCGATGACACCTGACATACCGCCTGAAATCTACGGAGTGTCCCCAATGGTATTCAGAGTAACGAAGATGATGGTCATAACTTACGGAGTGGTGTGGTACAGCGTTTCCAGGCTGTACGAAAGAGCTTAAGTAAGTTGTGGATTCGAAAGAGAAAATGTGCCTTACCCGTCTACGCTCACTGCGTGCAAAGAGGACGTTTGTATCTTCCGTCGATTGTCCTGTAAGGTTGCCCCATCCCGCACGGGAGTTCAAGCTATTACCATCGTGAGTTAAATTGCAGCGAGACTAAGTGAGAAAACATACGTGCTAAGCAACGAGTTAGTGTATAGCTTCGATAGCGGCAAGTCCCAGATGAAGTTAAGCGTTGTCCCCTGCATGATTGTCGGGACAAAAATTGTCTCTTCATATTAGAGTCGCACCTTCACTGTCAGGAATATCAACACGTCCGCGAGTGCGAAGATGGCTGTAATAAGGCCGGTCTGCACCGTAACTAGGGCCCATTATACATAAGTGCGAATATAAAGCGAGCCACACAAGGCATATGCTTACGACGGATGATTCTTGAAACCTTGTCATCAGTAGCTTTGATTCCCGTCCGCCTCCGGTTCTGGGACACAGTTAGTTTCTAAACTTTAATGCGGTGAAAAGACTCAAACCAGTGACCACGAGAGGGAGCCTGTGATCAGCAAGTCTGCTGCAGCTGCAGCCGCCAGCCAGGTGATAACAGCGCCCTCGAATTGCGTGAAGCGAGACCATTCGCGCATGTAAGACACGCAGACAGTGAGCGCAATGCCTCCAACTTTGAAGAGCGGTGGTGATGAGATTGCTTGGGCGATAGAGAGGAGAATGTGACTGACTGAAGGCGCACGTCCCGAGGAAAACAATGACTATGGGCATGATGAGAGAGTTGCCGATGACTTTGATTCTCCATGCGATGAAAAATTGTACGGGCGTAGATACCATGACCTGTGAACATCCTTCGTGATTACGGCGCAGTTAAGAATAGGCAAAAGAGGTTCTGACCGTGACAATAGGGTCTAAGAGAGTTTAGAGAGATGTCATAAATAATGGGGCATCTATTCCCAAAGAACGTACCCGCAATCAACACTGGAGAAAGGGATCAACAGAGGGAATTGAAATGAGTCAGAAAGACGGAGTACTTAATGGCGAGATGATGAAGGAACGCGGGTCCCCTTTTATTCCAAAACACATCCGGTCAGTTTAGCCTCGGAATGTGACAGCAATTGCTTACCATAGTGGAGGACCAGGGGTTCGTACAGCAAACCTATATTAAACCCAGTATTGGCGGTTTCTAGAACGAAGAGATAGAGCACCTAAAGGTGATCTTGCTAGCACCACTAAAGGAAATGAAACAGGAAGACAGCGTACAAAATATCGTATCCAGGCTGCATCTCTGGAAGGAAGATGTCAACGGGGGCGGCGAAAGCAGTTGAAAAAAAAAACCGGCTCACTGCTTGTATGTTTGGTAGTAAATGAATGACTATATCAATTCGTGTCAGGACACTGCAAATGCACCCAAGGCGACCTACCTGTACAAGTGACACCTTGGAGAGGCAGCGATCAGTTTCGACTGTCACGACACACAAAAATTTCCTTACCCCGTATAAAATCATATTGAGACAAACTCCAATCAGGAGAGGGCCGAAACTTGTTACTAAGTCAGCCGCCAAAGAAAATGGACCAAGGAACGGAGACTTGGTTAACACTAACAGCAGCGAAGTGTCAGGCATCTTAGTGACAACGCAGTGGTGGTTCTCGAGGTCTGGGATCCTGGACTGTAGAAACCTGTGGAGGGGAAGATCTTTCTTATATTCGTCTGCCCCCATGGAGTGGAAACTCAGGGTTGTGGAAGAACATATGAGGCCCTGCATGCGCAAGAAAGTAAGAAGAAGCGACAACCGGCACCAGCGATTAGCCTAAGGGCTTCGCAGGTTTCGCAAGTGCAGTATCACAGAACCTGTATCAAAAGATGGGAGATTTAAGGCAAGGATCGATAGAGGTGCTGTTGACTCGCCGAAGGTTGAAGGCCGTTGAAGGCCGCTCCAGCATAAAATTAAATGTCGTGTGATATGGCGCGCTTTGCTTCAAGTTCTCTATATTTGAGATGTCCAAAGACTTATAAAGCTCGTTGTCTGGGAGTCCTGAGATGCATGAAGGGAACCGAAAGGGCAATCATTTGCGAGAAGGATGTTTGTGGAAGTAGGGAAATTTCCTTGGCTTTCTTTGCGTGCGAATCTCGGGAGAACAGCCACGTTGACGCCACCTCGTCATCAACAGGGTATCATTGCGCCTCCAAATTTTAAAGCTTCAACTTTTTTCCGAGTCGAAACTCGGTACGTACATTCCCGGGATGAGATGGAAATGCGCACTGAGCTCTGCTACTTTTAGATCCACAAACGATTGGAGATGGTAAGTGTCCGGAAGCTGGGTTTCTGACATGGGTTTCAAGTTGGGTACGGATACCGCAGTTTGCGATTCTGGCCTAGTGAGCAGTGTTGGCTGTTTCTTTAGGAAGTCTAAAATCTGCTCACGATTTCCAGAAATCCACACGACATCGCTACAATCGGTCGTAGATTCAGATAGATGATCTCGACTAACAGGGTCTGGTCCGTCGCGGTACATGAACTATCTGACACTTAGATGCGCCGACCTCGTTACGGCATGAGGGGGCTGATCGTCCATCGGCAGCTAAAAATCGTTGTATGAAATCTTCTGGGGAACCGACGGTCGCCACTATTTATACAAGGACACGGGCCCAGACCAAGGCGTGCCCCACATCTGAAATTGCCCTCTAGGTTTATGTCCACACCCAGCAGTACAACTATGTCCAATATCTACTCTGAACCCATTGGGATTCTAGGAGCTGGCGTTGCTGGAATCATTAACACGTACGTCTTCCTCCAGGACGGGTTCACGAATGTCACCGTAATTACGAGAGATCGCTCGGTTGGTGGAATCTGGTCGAGAGACAGGGTATATCCAGGACTGCGTATCAATAAGTAAGTTTCTTCCGTTCTCCTTAGTTTCCTTAAACTCTCCGGTTTCTCAACAAAACATGCTAGCGTTCATGGTGAATATCGCTTCTCGCCCCTTGATATGCCACCCCCAGATGACTCCGTAGAGACCGGAGGGCATATCACGGGAATGGGGATGTGCGACTACATCGAAACTTTCTACGAGAAATTCCTCCAAGGCAAGGCCAAGTTCATCTTTGAGACGGAGGTCCTGAACGTGAGGCGCGACGAAACGAAGGGATGGGAAGTCAAGGTCGAAGGAGTTTGCTCGAAGGAGCCACGGGTCCTTACATTCTCCCGTATTATTCTTGCCACTGGGGTCAGTCCGTTCTTCGCCACCGATTCATTTTATTCAAGCGCACTATCAGGGCTGCAGCAATCCGAACATTCCTGCGAATCTCTCCACTGAAGCCGCGCAGAATGCTCAATTCAAAGGCCTCGTCATTCATTCGTCGCAGTTCCGGTCGCGGCTCGATGACATCTTTGAGCTCGTCAAGCAGAAAATGTCGGACGATGACAAGACCAAAGGGACCGTGGTCGTCGTAGGAGGCGGTAAATCGGCCATGGAGTAAGTCTAGGATCTTTATTTATCAGGCCTTCATTCTCACTGCCGACAGCATTTGTGCGAAGCTAGCCAATGAAGGTAGAAGGGTAGTCAACGTGTTCGAAACGGCAGACGTTTTTCTTGCCGCTAAGAGCGCACTTCCCGATTTTATTCGGAAGGGGCGGCTTCTCTCCTTGCTTTCCCCTCATATCGTTTTGAGAACGCGTCTGGAGTGAGTCATCATGACCTCCTCTCGGGTTCTTTAATTGACAGCATTCATAGACGCTTTTTCCACACGACGACACTGGGTAGTTGGATCACCAAAACCTTCTGGAAGTTCCTCGAAGCGTCGTCTGTGCGTTCCATTTTTTTCGGTCTTTATTCCCTCGCACACCGCTAACACTCGTTCAACCAGTTCGACGCTTTCTCTCTTCCGAAAGACTCTCCTCTCCGCAACACCCCTTCCATTTTCTGGGGAATTCGTACGAATGACGAAGGACGTGTCAACTCGAAGAACTACTACTGCCTCGTCAATGGAGGACAAATCGAGCTCGCTGCGCCGGCCCGTGCACTCAGATACTCGGACGACGGAAAGTCGCTCAGGCTCAGTAACGGACAAGAGGTCGCTGCAGACGTCGTCATTCTTGCCACGGGATGGAAGAGCTCGTGGACACAGATTTTCGACGGTGCATAAACTCCTATTCCGATACGATTGGTTCATGACTTATCATCGTCTTGGGAGGCACCCTCCCACTTCTGATCTGGATATCGTCATCAACAATTGGAACTACAAGACGCTCGAGGACGCTCCTCCCACCCACGCCGAGAACCAGGTTCAGCAATGGGTGACGTCGATCCATCGTGGACTTGTACCTGGAAAGAACATCGATAGACGCGACTTCGCGATCGCCGGCGCTATTGTAGGCAATTTACCTCTCCGTGTTATTCGTACGTTAAAAATATTTGCTTCACCAGTTCACTTCGAACAACGGCTATACGAGCGAAGTCGCCGCCCACTGGATCTCGTCGTACTTCCAGGGCGACCCGATGCGTCTTCCTTCCTCACCTGAAGAGGCTGTTGCGGAGGTCGAACTCAGGTCTGCCTGGATGCGGAAGCGCTATCCTGACATGTGTTCCTGGGTGAACGAGAGCTATAGTTGCACGCTCGACTTTTGGACGTACGTCATTGAGTCCTTCGACACTCGGTTATTTCTGACATGTTCCACCAGTTGGCCTCAGGCCGCAGATGAGTTGCTTGAAGACATGTTCCTTCCGAGTATGCGAAGCGGGGGTAATTTATTTACCTGGCCATTCCAAGTAATTGATTTGAAGGAGATCGCAACACTTGGGGAGGAGAGGCGGGTGCTGAGAGAGAAAGCAACTGCTTCGTAATGTTGTATAAACCATACGCGTTATTTACTAATTCTCCTTCAACGAAAGGTGCTGAGAAAATCCGAACCCCTTTATTACGACGCCAGCTTCCAAGCGTTATTTTCAGCGAACTCAAAGGTAATAGCTCCCTCTACCCTACGTAGACCTGATGATGACCAAAGTACTTCCCTCCGTGGATATGAAGACCCCTTCGCTCAACGATATTTCTCTCAACGATATTTCAAGGGCATCTAATCTTATCTTGTGTTATTTTGGAGGTTTCAGATCCGTCCTTTCTCCAATCACAACAAACCAAACAAAGTGCGTAGGCCCCTGTAACGTTTCGCCCATGCAGTTCTCCTCGACGTGCCGGTATTGCCTATCTTTTGAACGCCCTCGATGAACGACCCTGGTCTAGAGGTCTCAATTCAAGTCTCTGAAGATACTATTCAAAGAAGAGCCCCTCCCAAACGGCAGGTTCGCCGAAAAGAAGCACCACCTCATCTTGACGAACTTGGAGAGCATGGACGCGATCCGCTTGAGGCAGCGACGCCGTCAGTAACGAAGAAACCCCATAAGATACATCATAGCCACCCGCGGCGTCGTCGTCAAATCTACGAAGACGAAGAAGAGTCGAGCATCTACCAACCCACGTATGTATGTTGAATCTACAAATATGTTCTCGTGTATTCAATTTGTTATAGGCACTGGTGGGTCGCGTCAACCACGTTCCCGCTAATTGCGGGCACGTTCGGACCTATTGCAAACCTATTTTCTGTCTGCGCGCTGGCCCAGTCCTGGCGGATACGAATATTGGACGGTAGCCGCGTTCCTGACCCTCCTTGGTACGCCTTTTTCCTCCTCGGACTTGTCATGAGCTGAGGAAACGTATTAGGCTGATAGCTTGCAACACATGTTCATTGGCTTTTGCATTAATAGCCAACATTGTTCTTTTGTTCAACTTTGCCCGACGGATACCGTATTCGAGAGCACAACCTATCACAATTTCGTTGTGGTGCGTGCAATGGAGTAGTAATTTTACTTCGAGTAATTGACTTTGTCGAACACAGGTACCTCTCTTGCATCCTCCTGATCGTTCCTATCGGCTTAACCCACGACTCCGACATATACATTGAAGCCCCTTCCATCATGACGCATTCTCAAGCATATTATTACGGCCTGATATCTGGAATTCTCTACTTCACAATCTCGACTCTCCTCCTTCTTTCGACCATCGGCGCGGTCATATTCAAGGCGTACCCTGCATCTTTCTCAACTCTCACCCCAGCCCAACGCACGTTAATGCTCCAAACTGTCTCTTTTTCTCTTTACCTGGCACTGGGAGCCGGCATCATCTTCTCGAGTATAGAAGATTGGGGATTCGCAGACGGAGTTTACTGGGCCGACTACACCCTGCTCACCATCGGTCTCGGAACCGACTTTCCGTTGACCACGACTCTCGGACGTATGCTCTTGATCCCATATGCAGCCTTCGGTATAACCCTCGTTGGTCTGGTGGTCAGCAGTGTGCGAGGACTCATGCTGGAGCGCGCGAAGGCTAAGGTGGCACGGAGGCATCTCGGGAAGGAAAGAGAGAAGTGGAAGGAGAATATCAGAGAGCGTAGGCAGCTCGCGGACATCGCAGCGTCGACTATGGTGTCTACTCTTCCGCGCTCGGTGCTGCAAGACCAGAGAGAAAGGTTGCACAACAGACGGCTCATGAAGCTTCCCCAGCAGCTCTCCAAACACGTTTCAGAGCCCTTGAAACCGGAGGATCAATACGGCCCCTGGCATAGAGCTGAGTTCGAGCTCATGAGGTTCATCGAGGCTCATGCAGAGAGTGCCGAACGATATATCGCTCTAGGAGCGTCGTTTTTGGTGATTCTAATTGTCTGGTTTGTTGGTTCAGTTATATTCTGGGTCTGTGAGCATGTATGCCTATATCGATTCCCTGATCCAATCTGTGAGCTGATTATGTACCCAATATTCAGAGAACGCAAGGTTGGACGTACCCCGAATCGATCTACTTCACCTACACCACCCTCCTCACAATTGGATACGGTGATTTCTACCCCAATTCGCCCGCAGGAAAGCCCTTCTTCGTCGTATGGAGCTTGATATCAGTGCCTGCTATGACGGTTCTGATCTCGAATATGGGCGACACGGTCGTCAAATGGGTGCAGGATGCAACATTGTGGGCTAGTCGATGGACAATCTTACCTGAATGGACGGGGCCGAAGGGGCAGGAAAAGCGGATGGATAGATCAAAGGCCCACAGGATTGATGGAAGAGGGAACCCCAGCCTCGACCAAGTACCCGAGAGCGCAGCTTCGACAGCCGTGGGTGACCCAACCGACAAGACCACCTCTCACATGCACACGACAGAAACGCTACAGCGCTTTCCTCCCAAGAAACATCGTAAACACCGCCATGAACCCAACGACGCCAGACGTCCTAACAACAACAACATGGACATTCTCGAGCATGACGTCGAGAAGCTCGGTGGAGCCGTCGCCCGTTTCGAAGAAGGCGAAGGCCGGAGTAGTAGTCTCGCCGCGCAGATCTCGAGGGAGATATCTCACCTGGCGAAGGACCTCCGTGCGAATCCGCCCAGGAAGTACTCTTGGGAAGAGTGGGAGCGTTGGCTCCATATGCTTGGGGAGCGAGAGGGTGCGGTGGGCAGGGTCGCGGAAGGAGAGAACGAGGAAGAACGGGAAAGGAGGGAACGGCTGTCACCTGTACCGATTCTCAACTCGACTCCTAATGAACGATTGCCTTCGCCGACAACGGCGAACTCACATGCGCCGACGTTGATCCCACCGTCAGCAAACGGTGATGCGTCTGTGGCCAAAGCCAAACAAAGCTCTGTTGTTCAAGCTGCAGACGATGCTGAACATGGGACGGATTGGCATTGGACTTGGCTTGGAGATCACGGACCTCTGTTTAGTCGGTTGACGGAGACTGAGTGGTTGATTGAGAAGTTCTGTTTTCGACTAGAGGAGGTGCTCGAAGATGAAATTAAGGAAGCTCGGAGAGGGAACAAGGCGAAGTCATGACACTGGTGAATTTGTGTCCGATGTGGAGATAATGTACAATTGTAATTTAGTGATACACATGTAAGATAGTAAGTTAACGTTGTGCTCTTGAAAGTCCCATGCTTTTGGAAGTCAGAAAGAGTCGTCGAAAGCAGGCAGATCGAAAAAGGGAATAAACGTTCCTAATATGGAGTGAGGAATCATTATGTCGAAGCGAGAGTCTGGTTTAGCATGATCTGGTCGAACATCTGCGAGGAAGCTTCTCCGTAGTCCAAGTTCTCGAACTACGTGAATATGGGTGTATAAGTCAGTGATCGAGGATCCGATTGGAGAATGTGTGAACGCACTTTGTAGGCAGGGACCTCATGACCAACGCCGTATACCCGTAGGTATGTAAACGTTCCTGCGCTCTTGTATACGCCTGCAGTCTGGTTTTCGACTGTGTATGTCGTATAATTCTGCGCGTGGTAATCTGAGGCGGATGTAAAATTGAGGGTATCAATCTGATGGAGAGTCAGCACGAGAACAAACGAAGATGACTCGGAGAAAAATCCTTACCATCTTCTCGACGCCCTGGTAGTTGACGGCGTCGTCCTACGGTGGACGTTAGTACAGAGAGGATAAGTTCGAAAAGGACGAGTCTTACAGCGTCGCCATTGTATAGCAACACAGTGATCCCCACGTTGATCATATTCTCGAGTTCTGGCTGGACGGTCTTGATAGAGTCGCCTAGAAGAGACAACCTGCGTCAGCAACATTTTTAATCGGTAATATGTAGGACACAAACCGGTTGACAAAATATTTACCAAAACCTCTTGATTTAATTCAGACCATCCGCCGTCTGCGCCGATCTCCCTCTGGACGTTGTTGATGTACTGGGTGATGTCGGATGGGAAATCGTCTTTCTCGGAGAGGACATAGTATATCTGGTGGATCCTCTCAGTTTAACTGAACCCAAATTTGGAAGGGGCGAACATACACTGTAATTGCCCGAGAGCGGACTCGTGACGGTGGCCTCGCAGAACTTGTGCGCGTTAGCGCAGATGGAGTTGGACTGTGTAGTGTAACATGCGTCAATCTGTAAAAGGGAAATTGGGGTCAGAGTTGCCATGTGGACAAAGGCACTTTTCTTACCTGGTCTTTGCATCCGCCCTCCATGGTGTAGTTCTGGCGTGCTTCGTCGATGATGGATTGAGGGACGAGAGGGTGATAGGGGTTGCTCTCGGCGTAGCTGATGTATCCTGGGTATTGTGACCTGGCGTCCTAAAAGAACGCTCAGACGATTGTACGCGAGTGCGTGGAGAAGACGCACTGTAAGTCCGTTACCAATTCCGATGGTTTGGAGGTTAAGGGGCAGGCCATCAATTTCGCCATTGGAGATGCGGTCATTTTGCCGCAAGATAAAGCTGTAGTAATATTAGCACCCATTCGCAAGCTATGGTTGGTGAATACTCACTCTCCAAAAGCCGGGATATAGTGACCAGCGTATCTGCGAGGACGGACAATTCATCAAATCAAAGCCAAACGCGAGTATAACTTACGACTCTCCCCAAATACCCAACGATGTGTTCTGATACTTCTGGAAACGCTCGTCTTCTAAAAAGAGCTGGAGGAAAGTCCAGACGTCCGCTGCGGCTTGCTGCGAAGTAGTAACCAGCGTCTGTCCGGACGAGAACCCGACGCCGATAGGTTGATCTATGTAGAGCATGTTGACTTTGTTGTTCCAGGAGTATTCATTGTGCGAGACGGTCTTCGAATCGTTGTTGATGAGGCAAGGTCCGTTCTCTTGGAAGAGGCCGATCATACTCGACGCTCCGGGTCCGCCGTTGAACCAGAGTGCAAGAGGCGCTGAGTCGGGGTTCTCGCGTGCCTCGAAGAACCAGAATCTGTCCGAAGCCATTCAATATCCAGTGTTTAGATATCTAGGTCGAAGATACGTACCACATGCTACCTTCTTGAGTCAAGTCGCAATAGCCAGACGCTTGGTACACGCCCGGTGTCGTTTCTGGGTGCAACTGTTAGAATGTGCCATCTAGGAGAGGCGAAGGTTACGAACCACATATGCCAGAATTCTCGACGATGCGCAACTGACTAGAATTCGCATCCGCCGTCTGAATTGGGGTGGCCGAGGACGCCGTACCAGATGAAAGATCGCCTCTGCGTTGGACAGCATCGCGCGCTTCTTTGAGGCTGGGTATCGACACGCCGACGACGTGAGAAACGCGAAGGAATGCAGTGAGGGGAGAAGGCAAGCATCTTGGATTGAATCAAGAGTTGAAGACACTGGAGCCTCTGAAGTCGTGAGTAAAATGAAGACTTCTGTTCGCTCTGTTAGGCGAGCTTTTATATGCCACAAAATGAACGCACCGTCCACGGTAATGTTTTACTTCGACAAGAGCCGCCGATTGCTTCCTCAGTGCCTCCGCAGCGGAATGTCTCTCACACCTCCGTCGTTAAAACGTCTTCATCGTTCACGAGCGCTAGCGCGGCCTTTCATGATTGATGTCATTCGGACCCTTGACGTCAGGACATTTACCGCAAGTCCATCGAGACCGCCTGTTGAGTCTGCTAAACTTCTTGGTGCCCTTTCTCTTGGTCATGGTAAACTTTCCATGCTTCCGGAAAGATCCTCCACCAGAAGCTTCGCTATCGCGGAATAGGCGCCGACAGGTTTCGGGAAGAGAAGGTTTGTTGACAACCGGAGGCGGAACCTCTTGGAGGGGGGAGAGCATGGTCGTGAGAATATGGATGATGACATTACGAGTGGCACGTGCTTCAAAACGCTCGAATCGGGAAGTAGTATACCCTGCAAGAAAGTCAAAACGTGCAAAGCCAATGCAAACCACCTTCTCTGGCAAATTTTTGTTCCCCTTCCTCCTTTTTATTCCAATATAAAATATGCCGGGTAATTTTTCGCAGCTGAGTTTGTGCAGTTCGCTTCCGCTGAAACATGCAGATGAGACAGCACAATACTTGCTTTCCGATGTTTGGGAGAGACCTTGGAAAACTCCTTATGTTCGATGTCCGCGAAAAGCCAAAGCATCGGCCTCAAATCCAAAATTTCGAACAGAGGTTTTCCTGAAAAGGAAAATTTTTCGGGACCTGCGGCGCCACACTCGGGTCGGGGTCTTCATTTTCCGGTTGATGTAGGGCGTTTATAAATCTACAACTACGCATGCTCGATACTTGGATTAACACTGCCTCAGGCCCCCGATTTTTATCCAAGACCAGATTCCAGATATAAAGTTTTCTTCGGTTCTAGGCAGCCGCATAGCTCTCTGGAGCTATCAGTGTCTCCGATGCTTATTTCGCGTCCCAGAAAGCCTTATATAGGGTCGCAAAACGGCCAAGGAACCAGAGAACAAGAACTCGCACCCCCCTCAGTCCATTAACTACGCTCACACTTCTGGTAGTTCTCGTCTTCGCATTTTTTTGCACGAGCAGCCCTCAATGGCCCTTGCTCTGTCAACGGCACGGCAGGCGTCTGTATCGCTACAACTTCCTGTTCTTCGGGGGGTGGAACGTCCTACACAGGGTTCTGCCCAGATGACCCTACCGACATCAAATGCTGCACTAAAACTTCGTGTGGTACCGGCGGAAACTGTCGCTTCACGAGCGACTGCACGATTGGAAATATAGCGTCAGGTGATACTCCCCTCATTGTTCAGAAAATCTCATACTGAACGCTTACTGTCATTCAGGTTTGTGCCCTGGCCACGCCGACTTCAAGTGCTGTCTCCCCGCGGCATGCGGCCCTCCACCAGTCAACGGCGCCACCGTCAACCTCATTAAAGAATTTGAAGGCTTCGTCCCGACCCCCGAGCCAGACCCAATAGGCCTACCCACCGTCGGGTATGGACACCTCTGCCAAACCGAAGGCTGTGCGGAAGTGCCGTACCCCTTCCCGCTGACTCTCGAGACAGCTTCGGAACTGCTCAACGCGGACCTCGTAACCTACATGATGTGCATCGCGAGGGATATCGTCGACACCGTGCAGCTGAATGACAACCAATACGGCGCGCTGGTTTCGTGGGCGTTTAACGTTGGATGCACGAATACGGGAGGTTCGACTTTGATTAGGCGCTTGAACGCCGGTGAGGACCCGAACCTCGTTGCTGCTGAGGAGCTGCCCAAGTGGAGGTTAGCTGGAGGAGTGATCCTTCCTGGCCTTGTGCGTCGTCGCGCTGCAGAAGTAGCCCTGTTCCAGACGCCGTCATTTGTCGTCGCCCACCCGCCGCCTTGCTAAGTGGGTTTGTCTCGGCTCTTGAGATTTTAAGCGCTGACGGATCTGACATTTGGTTTGGTCATTTCAGATGTCTCCTTTCCTATAATCTGTATAGCGGATGTTCAAATTTTGTCGTTTGTACAATGAAGGTGTGATAGAGAATTTTATGTTGAACGCAGTCCTTCGTCTCGCATGATCTGAGTAAACATCTGGGCGGCTGCCTGGCCTACCTCCAGACTCCCAAACTAATGCACAATCCAGGTCAGCCTGAGAAGCATGCTATAAGGCGAGAAACGCACTGTATAAGCAGGTACCTCGTGTCCTGCACCGTATATCCTCACATAAGAGAACTTGCCGGCGTTTTTGAAGATGCCAGTCACCTGGCCATTGACTTTGTACGAGGCGAACTTTTGGCGCTTGTAGAGAGGCGACCAGACGGTCTCGAGCTTGTCAACCATAGCTTCGACGCCATTGAAGTTGAGGATATAGTCCTAAGACGGAGTCGGGAATTTTAGCCATCGACGGTGATTTCAAATCAGAGGAACGCACGGCATCTCCGTCGTAAATAATAGTTCTGACTCCAGAGTTAATGACGAACTCCAAATCCTGCCGGGAGTTCCTCATCCAATCACCTGTGCGCCACATTTAGATCATTAGGACCTGACTCAGGTATGAAATTTGAAAGCTTACCGGTCAACGAGAAATTTCTGTACACATTCCGATTCGACGACGTCCACGTCGTCTCCGCGCCAATCGTCGACGCCACTGAGTTAATATATGTTGTGAATGACGGCGGGTACGGATCGGGTTCAGCCGTCGGGACGTAGTACACGTCCCAGATTCCTGCAAGCGGCGACAGGATATTGTTGTTGCAGAAGCTCTGGGCGGCCGAGCAGACGGTCGTGTTCCAAACTGGGGCGTTGCAAGCGATAATGCGGTCTCGACAGCCGGTGACGGGGGTGAACCAGGAGGTGTTGCCTGCCGCGAGCTCTTCGGGTGAGACGAGAGGGTGGTAGGGGTTGGCCGCAGCGTATGCGATGTAGCCTGGGTATTGAACCAAGGGGTCCTGGTACGTGAAGATATTTGTCAGTAAGATTGTCCAGTTGAAAATGGCGGGACAAACGGTGAGGCCATCTCCGATTCCAAGCGCTTGAAGGTTGAGTGTAATTCCTGATATCTTCTTCTCGAGGATGGCAGCGTTTTGCCTCAGGAAATACGCTGAGAAGACCGGGCCGTAATGACCGCCATAACTGAATAGCAACATCATGATCAGCACTCAAACGTAACTCTAAAAATAGAACGACACTTACGACTCCGTCCAGAGGGCCAGCTTATTGATCCGATACTTCGCAAACCTCTCGTCCTTGAAAAATATCTGCAAGAAGGTCCACACGTCCGCTGCGGCCTGCTGCGAAGTTCCGACATTTAGGTCACCATGCGAGAACCCCACCCCGACTGGTTGGTCGATGTACAACACGTTCGCCTCGTTATTCCACGAGTGGGGGTTCAACGTGACTGACGAACTGTCGTTTGTAATTCTGCATGGGCCGTTCTCTTGGAAGAGGCCGATCATGCTGGAACTTCCAGGCTAGTGGGATTGGTTAGATTCGTCACTGATGGTATTTTCGAGGAATTTTGCTTACCCCGCCGTTGAACCATAAAACCAGAGGAGCATTTTGTGGGTTCTTGCGTGCTGCGAAGAACCAAAACCTGAACAACGTCAACGTGAGTTTGGTTGACGAGACAACGCTACCTTCAACAATAGACGCACCAGATACTTTCTGTCGCAGTCAGATCGCCATATCCGGAGGCTTGATATACTCCGGGCGTGGTTTCTAGCGGCTCGAAGCATGAGTAGGGGGTTGTAACGAATGAATAGCGGAAAGGCGCTTACCACACACACCGGAGTTTTCCACAACGCGAAGTTTTCCAGGTGTCGTAGCAACATTCACGCCTAGAGTAGCATCGAGAAAACCCTCGACACCCGACAATTCGAGGTCTGGGACACCTCCAAGAATTCCTCCGACAACAGGGATTTCACCTGCGCGGGTCCATCTCGAAAACACGAGTAAGGGCACTGTCAGCCACGAGACGAGCATGTTAGTGATCAGGTGTAAGGAACCCTGCGATCGAGGAAACAGCGACCGCTCATTTATCTGACCCAGTGCAGGGCTATTTTTGGCAGAACGCTAAGAATAGACAGAAATTGGGGAGCCGGGCCGTCAAGTTTGGGTTCTGTGGATTACACTCGGACGCGGAGAAGGCGTTTCCACATGGAAAACGGGCACGCGATAAGGGCAAGACTGGGGCGAGCGATGAGACTAGTAGGTGCAGCAAGCCAGATATCGCCTTCATGACATGATCAGAGTCAGGCGAGAACAGAGCGAAGGATTGATTTCTCCTGAAGGATTGAGAGGGGTTACGGCAAGAATCATTAGTGTCAAAGGAAAGGTTGTTTCCTCCGCGGAAGTCGACTGATAAACGATAGTCAGAATCACCCTGCTGGAAGGATCTTCTTCATCAAGTGAGCTAGCGAATCGCCATCGTCCACGAGATTCCGCCGAAAGTGCATAGCTCGAAGCGCGTACGGCACCTGCTCTTTGTTGGTGAATGACTGAAAGAACGCGAGAACATGGTCAGTGACCCATAGTGGTGGGAGGCAAAGAGCGCATAGGGCCAATTCATCCGTTGTTGTTTGGAGACCTTTGCGAATTGTGGCGCATTGATGGGAGGCCGAGAACACAGGGATTTTCATAGCGAGAAAGAACACTGTCGCCGTGTTTCGAATCTCATGTATGTATGTACAAAAGATAGCACATAAATTGGCATAAGATGTTCACGTAGGCGTGAGCGATTGGTTGGACATGATTTGTGTAAACATCTGCGCCGCGGCCTGCTCATACGCCAGGTTTCCGAACTACGAAGACAGATGGTCATCGACCTTGATGTTTCGGCTGCCCAAAAAAATCTCACCTTGTAGGCAGGAACTTCGTGTCCCGCTCTGTAAATCCTGACGTAGGAGAAATTGCCGGCATTTTTATATTGCCCAGTAGCTTGCCCAGCAACTGTGTATGTCTTAAAGGTTTGTTGCTTATAGAGAGACGTGAACTGGGTGTTCAGAGCGTCAGCCTAGTAGAGCAAAATGAGGAAAGCATTTATAGCAGAACACAGGACACATACCATGGTTTCGACACCAATGTAGTTGAGTATGTAGTCCTGTAAAACGCATGAACGCCGGCGCAGTCCCTCTCAGAGCCTGAAACGTACAGCATCGCCATCGAAAACGATTGTGCGGACCCCAGCGTTGATGACGGTCTCGAGATCGGGACGCGAGTTCCTCATCCAGTCGCCTAGAAATCGAGCATCAGTCCTACGCTACTCGGCCAAAGTAAGTATTGAGCACGAACCTGTGTTTGCGAAGTTCGAGTAGACCTAAAAGTTGGTCTCCTGCCAGGTCGATTCTGCGCCGACGCTCTCGTCGATCCTGTTGAGATAGGTCGTCAGATCCGGAGGGTAGGGGTCTGGGTTCATAGCCGGGACATAGTAGACCTAGGGGAAAATCAGTCACAAATCACAATATAGGAATGTAACAGAGGTAGTCAAAACGTACGTCGTAATTTCCGGCCAAAGGTGAGAGGATGTTGTTGTTGCAGAAGCTCTGAGCTTCAGAGCACACAAAATCGGTGCCGCCGTCATAACAATTTGTTATCTTGCAATCAAACCGTGTTGTTCAATCCTGACATGGAGCGTGTGATTGTCTTTGCTTACCTGCTCCTTGCAGCCGGCACTACCGGTCGCAGAGGTCCTAGTCCAGGACGTATTGGCGCGACTGATCACTGATGAAGAGACCAAGGGGTGGTACGGGTTGTTAGCCGCGTATGAAATATATCCCGGGTATTGAACGAGAGGGTCCTAGGGGGAGATGAAGCGTGGGTAAGGCTACGGAAGAGCATTTATCTTACCGTCAAACCATCTCCTACGCCGAGGACTTTCAAGTTCAATCTGATACCAGAAATAGCACCAGCTGCAATGGCTGCATTTTGCGAGAGGAAGTGACTGGGAGAAATACCCCTTCGATGATGCGAAAATGAGAAACGATACGGCACTTACGCAGCGAACGTAGGCCCATAATGACCTCCGTAGGACTCGGTCCAGATCGCGAGATCATTCGTCGCATATTTCGCGAACCTCGAGTCGGAAAAGAATATCTGCATGAAGTTCCAAACGTCCGATGCAGCCTCTTGCGATGTCCCGACGTCGAGGGTTCCATGCGAGAAACCCGCACCGACGGGTTGGTCGATATAGAGGACGTTGGCGTTGTTGTTCCATGAGTAGGGGTTCAAGGTAACGGAAGCACTATCGTTCGTGATACGACATGGGCCGTGCTCTTGGAAAAGCCCAATCATACTGGAGCTGCCAGGCTGGTAAGGGGAAAGGATAATGAGGATGAAAGCTGGACAAAGGGGAGATTTCTTACACCACCGTTGAACCATAATGCCAGAGGGGCCGTACTTGGGTTTGACCGGGCAGCAAAAAACCAGAACCTAATGGTGGAATTTGAGTTCCACAAGAGTCGTCTGATATGGATAGATCGTACCAGATGCTCTCCGTCGCTGTGAGGTCGCCATAACCCGATGCTTGATGCACTCCAGGGGTCGCTTCTTGATTACGTTCCTGTCAGCAAACGTTCCAGGAATTTGGAGAATATACCCACCACATACCCCAGAATTTTCGACTACGCGCAGCTTCCCTGGTGTCGTGGCTGATGTTGTAAGAACTTTCGGTCTGACGGGTGCTGTGTCGGCCTTAGGTACACCGCCCACGACGCCATCGATAACGGGGATTTGCGCTGCCAGAACACTTGGCCATGGCAAGAAAAGAGTGGCAAGGGCAGCGATAGCAACGACAAGCATGATGAAGACCGTCCAGCGCTGGCATAATTCACTCTGTGCAAGTTATATGCCCTGGCCGAAGATGGATCTCCTATTTTTAAGCCCTGCATGCGGTGCTGGCAAGTGGCGTGCTTGACGATAGTAAGACCCTCCGAGGTGCGAATACTGGAGAGGATGAGAAATAGAATTGTGATCCGCATATTTGTCCATGGCATGGAGGATAATGGCAAGATAAGAACGGCGACACGCGGCGACACCTGCTTCGAGGCCGCGTGCCCTTGAATCGCTATGAATAGCTCCCAAAGCGACATGTGCACGCGCTCTGTGCTGGTTTCTTCAATTGATAACCAATTCGCCAGGTCAGAGAGGTTATTGAAACTTAAAGTACTGGATGATATACGGTCGAATGACTAGCTCGCCGCAAGCTCGCCGTCGTCCTGCAGCCACCATAATCAGCATAACATGACACCCAGAGTAGATTATTTTGTTTGTATACCTGGTAAATGAGCGATTTATTAGTTTTGAATATATCCATGCCTGCGAAGATTACTAAGTAGCTCGAAGGTTGTTCAAAGGATTCGAACAAGATTCGGAGTCCGGACGTCAGAGCCTCTCGAGCGGTGACGACACGTGATATGTGACAACACGCGTCTTCTCAACTTGAACCGTGACGGAACTTGTTTTACTTCTTTGAACCAGCGCCCTCCTCTCCACGTTTTCTCTTCTCTGGATCAGCAAAACCGAGGCACCGGCACGGCTCACCCGCAGTAATAAGATGTCATTTTTCAAATTGGGACTCTACCAGTAGTATTTAATGTTGGCAAGTTGCTGGGTGTTTCCTTTGCAAGATGAACTTGTGTTCGCGGTTGGGGATGCAAAATTGTAGGTACATTTTATAGTTCAATACAGAGTACTGTGGCCTCTGGAACTGATGAAAGCCACCTCGAGCCACCCAGGCGAGGCAAATGCGCCCCATTCACGCAGCTTGGGTGCATCGCCAAGAACTTTGAGAAGCCACGGCCGCTTGACCACCCTCAATAAAAAATCCCCGCTCTCCGCTGAATCCGGCCCACCACCCCCCCACCCCCGGAGGGTTTGTGTCCGGTGATTAAATCCTCGCCGCCTCTTGCCTGGCACCATCATAAACACCGTCGCCTATGTACTCTTATTCTGTTTTGATGTAAGCACTTACGTGTATATGTGACAGAAGGCATGTATGCAGGTAATCACCCGCTTTTCATGAAAGATGGAAGTAGAAAATCTTTGTCGTCTCCTGGACGGTGTTGACGATGACTCGGTCGATTTTCCCATGGCAGATTACGTCGTGAGTCTCTTTCATTTCGTATCCCCTTGCACAATTGCTAAATTCTCAAAAATGACTCAGAATCCATGGGAGAGATCGAGAACCCAGACATCGTGCCTCGGATGCCCCTAATCTCCCAGACGTCCTCGAGACGTTCGAAGCTTATTGCGAGTCACTTAGAACGGCAGCAAACACGATGCTGGGGAGTTGCAGCAGTATAAATGCAGGTCGAAGCAGTCGTCCGTCCCTCCAGACACTCGTCTACTAACCACGATGACGACCGCCTTACACCGCCTCCCAGCCTTTACCAACTTTCAGGATGCAGTCAAAGGAATCCAGCGGGTTTCTTATTGCACTGGCGCTATTCCTCTTGATGCAGATACCTCCACTATCTTCTACCGCACTGACGGGAAGCCCTAGTATATTGCACTTCCTTTGGATTTCTCATACAGGGAGCTGAATCGCTCCTAGTTACATAGATTTCGCCAAAGCCTCATCCGAAGATCTCAAGGTCCTTGCAGAATCGTGCCAGCCCGCCACCTTTGGAGTTAACAAACAAGATGTCTTCGACGAAACCTATCGCAAGGCTGGCAAGATGGACGCTGCTAATTTCGCCACCCAGTTCCACCCGTCCGCTTGTGGTGTTGTAGATGCTATTCGCGACGCAATGCTCCCCGCACAGGATACCGACCGTGGCATCAAGATCGAGATGTACAAGCTCAATGTTTACGGTACGTCATTTTCCTAGTTTTCAACGGATGGCCTGCTCATTCCTCTGCAGGACCTGGCGCGTTCTTCAAGGCTCACGTCGACACACCGCGGAGCGACACTATGTTTGGTTCCCTCGTCGTGGTACTCCCGACCGTGCATGAGGGTGGTTCTCTCGTGTTTCGCCACCGCGGGACCGAATGGACCTTTGATACGGCTCATGCTATCTCCACCACATCGCCCCCAGGCTTGCGAGCTGCTTTCGTCGCCTTCTTCGGGGATGTCGAACACGAAGTTGCTGTTGTCACCTCGGGATACCGCGTCACCCTCACCTACAACCTCTACTACGACGATACTCGAACGCGACGCCAAGATCAAGCCAAAACAGCTCCTCCACTCATTCCCGTCGCGATTCCACCCACTCCACGAGGGTCCGACTTAGAGCCCACCCTATCTGCCCTCCTTACCGACCCCAACTTCCTCCCTGAGGGCGGCCTGGTCGGGTTCGGGCTGTTCTACAAGTATGCGTTCCGTGTTAAGTATATTTACCGCATCGACTACATCACGAAGCCAACCCCACTCTCTGGTATCGAGAAAAGCCTCAAGGGCTCAGATGCCGCTGTCCACGACGTCTGCAAGACCCTCCAGCTCAAAACCTCGCTCAAGACCCTCTATCGCACCAACAAGAGTGCGGCAGAGTTCTGCCTCGCTGACGAAGTTCTCTCCTTGCACTTCCCGGCAGAATATGGCCTACTGGGGTCTTTAAAGGATATGTACCGAGATGCTATTCTCGCGTACGGGTATGGAGATGAGGCCAAGCTGGAGGGTGATATAGATATTTCTGAGATGCAGCCCGTTTTGTGGGTCGCAGAAGCTGGTGAGGTAAATAGCTTTGAGCCTGCGTACATCGCGTATGGCAACGAGCCAGGGTTGGACTGCGCTTACACGCAGCTTTGCCTCATCGCGAAGGTTGGGCCATTTGGCAAGCGAGCTACGATCAAGTAGCCTTGAAGATAGTACTCGTACATTTTATAGACTGCCAGAGACAAATCATTGAATATCTTTTCCATACTCAATTTCAGAATAATTGTTATTTCTCTCTCTGATCGTTCTCTTCTGCCTAGAGTAGCAAATCCCTGGGGCAATTGTTTGCTATCAATGATTCTCAGTGCTAGTTGTAAATTACAAAGCGTGTCTCGTCAACGCTCGGACCGAATAGCATCTTGTGTCCAGTCACTCCGGGGGAGCAGTGCAAAAGGAATAAAATACAATTAAAGTCAATATTGAGACCCGTAGGTCTACACTCCGGGAAAGCGTGACACCCTTGTGCAGAGCTTCTCTTTATCGTTCCAATTTTTTCGTATTTCACCCCGAAGGGGACAGACTCATAGAGTTGAGCTCTGCCCCAAGTGAGTGAATATCGCATTTGTCTGGCCCACTGGATGGCGTGCGTCTGCATACACGTCGTTCCTCTTTTGGCAACCACATGACCAAAAATAGATCATTCTAATGGAATCGCCTCCAAGACTAAGCGACGTTGAGGACGTTACACTTACAGATATAAAGCACATATCGGAGACATACGTGAAACCATTACTCATAGGCTCGTGGCATGATTCTGTTTCTCTTCAGAAGAAGAATTACCACGCCGACCATTCAGCAGTTGTGTTATCCAGCAGTGTAGGTAGGGGGATGGCCAACGATAGGCTCCCCATTCTGATTGAGCCGTATGCCGCTGTCCTGATGAACGACCTCTTTAGGCTGGACAAGCGGCCGCTGAGAGGATTGACTTGAAGACCCGCCAGAATTCGACGACACAGTAGACTCTGGTGGGGCAGGGGGATGGAGCGAAGCATCCATCGGTATTAGCCGGCCATTTCTTGGAAGTGAGGGGCGGGGTGGGGATGACGGTGCTTGATTGGATGGGTTGGATAGTGAATTCGATGCCGAGGCGTCGAACACGGGTGTGCCTTTTCTTGGGCGTTGCAACATTGGTGGTGGGTGGTATATCGTCGGCCCAGGCGGGATACCCTCGGTGAAGGGTTGGATGTAGGATTCTCCTGGTTCAGTTGGTCGAGACGGCTGTCGTCTCCGACGGAGAAGATACCAGACGGTTAAGATGACGATGAGCAGAGCCGCCAGACTACCAAGAACAGCTCCAACTATAGTGCCGGCTTTTACACCACCTCCCGTGTCATTGGCAACTGTGTTCTGTGTGTTCGAGGTGGCAGGGACGTTGGACCCAGGGATCGACGGAGTGTTTGATGGCACGATCGTCGCAGTACTCGATGGTGCGCTTGTCGAGCTCGAAGGTGGGCTTCCACCTTCATCGTTGTTGACCACCATTGACGAGATAATGAGGGGACAACGGGTACTTGGGTCGCCTGTTCCGATGTACTTGACTGTGACGGTATGTGATCCGATTGCGCGCTTCGGCGACGTAAAGTATCGTTGGTTGTACATACTCGGCGCACGGTCGAGAGTGCCATTGGGAATATTAAATGACACTGGTCCTTCGTCGTCTATCTGATACGTTGCAGTTGTGAGACCGCGAGGCAATTCGACGGATGCATACCCCCAAAGGTCCACAGAGGATCCTGGATATTAAGGGGACGGTCAGCGTGTTTCATGTTGATCAGGAGGGTATGGATCGCACCGACATAAGCAAGCGTAAATGTCGCACCCGGACCTCGCGATACCATGCCCAAGCCATTCGCGAAGCTCCAATTCGAATCGTAGTTCAAGGCTGGGTCTTGCGTAGACAGACTCCGAGCTTGGTTGGGAGGGGTCGTATCGATGGTTGGCGTATACTGGATGCGATCCAGGTAGAATGCTGCATTTCGGCTGGTAACGTTGAGGGCAACAACATGAGGCCCACTGGCCAGGTCCTCCCAATTGCAGAATGTCCATGAGTTCTCGGGAAACCGGAAGGGATTGTCCAGTATTAATTGCTGGCCATCCACGAAGCACTCCCAAGTTGGATCGGTGACCCCATCGGTTGTGACGACGTTGTTCGAACCTTGGATCAGGCCATTGCCAGTCCCTTCATACACAGTTCCGTATAAGGAGCCCAGAAATAAATGCAAAGGGATAGGAAACGTACCATCGAATCTGAATGCGAAACTACCAGAGGCCCCGCGCAAGGAATGCAACGTGGTGCGATATGTTGGACCGAAGTTCCCCACATTATCCAACGGCAGCCCGCTCACTGTGTTCCATGACCCGGTGTACTCGATGCTGGGATCGACGTCATCCACAATCACTCTTCGCAGAGCGGTTGTCATTTTTTATCAATCTATTATTTTCACAATTGAGTTGGAGTGTGCAGAAGATCTTCACTGTCACTGACCGTTCGGGTGCCCGCAGTCGCTTTCCGCTTTTCGAGCGAAAAGAACGATAGCTGGAAGAGAGAGGCCCTGGCGCGTTCGCCGCCAGCGGACTCCAAGGACGAAGAAGGGGAGCAGAGGATTTGCGCAGCCTTCAAGTTGGTAAGCCATAAGCAAATTCTATATATATAAGTTCGTAGCAAGTAACAGGAATCAATCAGACTACTCATCACTCAAACAATGATAGAAACGATGATCGACACACCTCTAACGTGTCCAGAACCCGCTGAAAATACTTCCTATGTGAGCCTCTCTGGGGAAGACATCAAGGGCCGGGGCTTCACGGCCCGGGCCCGCCCAGAAACAGATAGATTACATAATCCACTGTCGGATCGCTAGGAAAATCAGTGCCAACTTGGATTCGACCGTAAAGGCGAAGAATATGCCCCACAAACGCGCCAAGAGCAGTGTTAGGCGACATATTCGCAACGAAAAGTGAGTTTTCACACACCTGAACAGAAACAAACGGCCTAATTGCGCTCTTCAGAGGCACAGATCTGGCACCGGTGAAGAGCTCGTTGCAGAATGAGCCGATTCCCAAGTCCGCAGCACGGATTCTCAATGCCCATTCAATACGGGAGGAGTGGAAACAGAGGAAGCGGAAGAACGAGGAAGAGCAGAGCGGCCGTGACGGGAAGAGGCGGAAAACTGGGCCAGCGGATAAAAAGGCCACTCTGACCATCCAGCCCGGAGAGTCGATTCAGCATTTCAACAAGTATGTAAAGTCTTTTCTTCAAGAATTTATTGACTAACCACTCCGTAGGCGCGTGGAAGACGACTTGCGTCCTTTGATCAAAACTGCGGTCGAGACATCCCGCGCCACCCACCGTCGTACGGAAACACAAGAGAAGGAAGCTAAAGCCGAGGCCAAGAAGGCGAAACTAAAGACGAAATCCGTCGAAAAGTCGCGGAAAAGCCGTTCGCCGTCGCCGGAACCAGACAAACACGCCAACCGGCCCAAGGAATTCGCTAGTGCCTCTTCTTCCGCGCCCAAGAGGCTGAATGACATCGCGCAAGCACCCCCGGAGTTCAAGAGACTCCCTCGGGGGGCGTCGTCGAGCGCAGGTGTCCTGGGGAAGAAGGATGGCGTTCTGTCGATGTCGCAGCAGCTGATGATGGAAAAGGAGAGGGAGAAGGCGATTGCACGGTATCGCGAGCTGAAGGCGAGCAGGAGGCAGGCGAGTGCTGGAGACAAGCTCGGAGGCACGTAATTTCTGGGGGTATGAGTGTACGTCCTCTGGTCGTGTTACATAGGCTTCATTGATATTCATTCGAGAAATCCAGGCTTTTCGAACTGTAATGATCTTCAGCATCGCAAGGCCTTTATTCTCGGAGAGCTTCATTGTCGACCGTCATGCATGCCTCGGTACTCGTGTCGACATGCCCTCCTACTCGCTTCATACGACCTTCTCAGCGCGAGACCTCCGAGGCTTTGGTGTGGAGCCCACACAAGCGGTCTATCTCCTTATCCGAACATTCTTCGCCTGCTACATCCTTGAAATAAGCTTCCCGCTCGCACAACTATTCTATTGGCGAAGAGTAGAATGACACAGACACTCGGGACTCCACTAAATTCCTATGCAACACCCGACACCGACTGTTCAATTATGTTCTGGGTCGTACACCCGCTCGCCTAGAGGCATATTGCTTTTCGGGTGGATGGGACAGGAGCAGCTTATCACCATGAGGTCTTGTGGCGGTATTCTCTTTCTCATTTCCTCGTCCTTCCAATGTTCCTAATAATAGCTGGTATTCTAGACGGTGGAGGGCAAACTTCAATCAATACCTTTGGTCAAAGGCTGATACCTCAATCTTACCTCAATCTTTGACGTGGTACTTTGTCGTTTGAAAGCTTCTCACAGCCTGGACTCTGCGAGGACAAGCATCAGATGTAATCGAAACGGACGCGAACGTTCTCCCACGAGGCCCTCGTCGCTTCCCACTCCGTATCTTCATTCTCCATCCTGCGCAGCGCCCAACCCGTCCTCTGAGTCAAAAAAAAAATGAAGCTATTCCAGCGTATAGTGGTCATGTGGACCACCTGCGGACCCAATACGTGCTCGTCGCAACGACGGCGGGTGTCGAGAATCGACAAATGATACCTTCGAGCCCGACGATGGCGGTGGAAAGCACCATCAGCCGAAATTGGCAGCTGGCGTGGTAAGTGATGTTTTAGGGGCATTTCGGAGCCGTTTCCCAACGAGTTCGTCTTGCTAACGACACCTTAAAGCATGGCCAACTTCCTGGATTACCGATTACACGCACTGCGTTGCGCTGCACTGTATGCTGGCATCTCGGGAGCCCCAGGCAACGAACGGGATGAAATCTCACAGTCGATTCATATCATCATTTCCGAGATTATCAAGGGGGATAAAACATCTCTCAACTGGAAATCAATTCAGATGAAGCAACTCCAAGCAGCTACGGACGGACGTCGACGCTGGAAGGCAAGATCCGAGTTGGCGCTGGACGGCTATAACAGGAAATGACAAGAGACATCAAAGCTGTGCCCGAGTACACCAAAGGTTCCGAAAACGAGTTCCAGTGACGCTCGTCCTTGGACACGCATCGCTACGATGATATTGGCTCATTTCTAATCATTTATGGGCCCTTCGCGAGCGAAGCGACGTGTCCGAGGATGCTGGGAATCAATATTCAATGCTTTCCGCATTTTACGGCGAGCATGATGTTATCAACGCGAAGGACTTCGCTCGATTTCGAAGAGCACCATTGTCTAATTCGACTCATTCTTCGTCCCCCCAGGAACGCAGCTATCGTACGTACGTCACACCCTCCTAACGGGCTTCTATATCTAATCAATTCTAATGCACGCCTTGGATAGGTGCATCCGCCATTGACGGGACGAACACCGCTCTCTTTCCGCTGTCCGCCTCTCTGGATGTCAACCAGCGTACCCACGCACTCTCGGGCGATCGCTATATCTGGTTATTATTGGCTCGTTTTCGCCTCGACATGGGATTACCATAAATCAGCTCGTCTCCACCTGTCTGCCCTCTTTGCTGATCCCCCAACTTCGCCTGCACGCTACCCGCAAGTATCTACCACCACTGCGCACCCTACTCGATGGCGGACGACGAGAAGCACCCTTGTAATCCCCCGCCTGCGTACCTCAGCTTCGAAGAGGTGTCCATGGATCCGCATGTCTCTTCTGATCCTTTTGGCTCCGCCAACCCCTCCTCGATAGAGACTGGCCGCACTCACCACACTCTATGCGACGACACGTACCCAGGCAGGGGGCTGAAGTCGTGCTTGACGGTCTTTGGAGCCTTCCTATCTCTTTTCTTCACATTTGGGCAGATGAACGCGTTCGGCACCTTCCAAGCGTGGTACGCCACCCACCAGCTGCAGCACCTGCCACCGTCTACAATATCATGGATCGGCTCTCTGCAGCTTTGGATATTCTTTTTTTCTGTGCGTTGTTGTTCTATTCTTGTGGCCTTCGACTGACAGATGTCTCCTTCGCGCCAAGCAGGGTGCTTGCATAGGTCGGATGTTCGACGCGTACGGGCCGACCGGGTTAATGACGGTCGGAACGTTGTGCTACCTCGCGAGCATTATGTTCACGAGCGTGTGCAAGGAATACTATCAGTACATCCTCGCCCAGGGCGTGCTATTCGGCCTTGGAGTTGGCCTGCTGTGCGTCCAGTTATCATTCATTGCACCACTATTCATTAATCACGCGACTTCTTCAAGGTTCTATCCTTCTCTGGCTAGCGTTTCGACGCACTTCTCAAAATACTGCGCGACAGCATTGGGCATCGCAGCCGCTGGATCAAGTCTAGGTCAGCACCCCGCCGCCCTGTCCCCGTCGCTGCCACTTATCATTCTGATGCACATGCTGTCCTAATCATAGGAGGCGTCGTATATCCCATCATGCTCCAACACCTGTTCGAGACCGTTGGTTTTGGCTGGGGCGTCCGAATCTCTGGCCTTATCAGCGGCGTAGGGTGCGCATTAGCGACGTTGATGACCACTAGCCTGTCTGCACAGAAGAAACCTGCACCTTATTTCGATCTCAAGACCATCGCAGACGTCCCATTCGCACTTCTCGCTGCAGGAAGCTGCTTCGTCGCGTTAGGTGAGGCTTCCAGATTAAACCACCAATGGGCGTCCGATCTGATCAGAACTCTACTCTCCGCATTATGATTTCCTCGCGTCTTCCATAGGTCTCTTTATCCCATTTTTCTACGTTGTGGAGCATGCCAGGCATCTCGGGGTTTCAGAACACATGTGTTTCTACGTGCTGGCGGTCATGAACGCAGGCGGGGTGCTCGGTCGTATCGCACCTGCGTATCTATCCGACAGCATCGGGAGATACAACCTCCTCACGCCCGCCGCCTTCCTGTCTGGGCTCGCCTGCCTCACCCTCTGGCTCAACGCGCACACCCTCGCGACGCTTATGGCGTTTTCTGCAGTCTACGGGTTCTTCTCCGGCGCATTCATCTCACTCGTCAACCCTTGCGTGGTGCAGATATCGGAGATAGGTCAGATCGGTGCAAGGATTGGGATGCTGTATAGCATCATTTCGTTTCCGTGAGTACTGTTTGTACTCTTTAGGTGTTTTTCCGCGTCTCTTCCATTCCAGTCTGTTCTGTTCTGTCCTCGGTGGCAGATTGGGTGGTATGAGCCCCAGATCTCGTTGCACCGGTACTTGGCTACCCCAGTCCGCTGGCGAATCTCATCTCGCCTTTTGTGATTTGTTCCCCGAGTTGTTTATAAGGAACATCGCGCCGAATTCTCCATTCATCCCGTATGAGATAGACATGCTGATCGCGTCTTTCTATATTTTTAGGTCACTTCTTGGCGGTCCAACCGCCGGTGCTTTGTTGGCTCGCAGTCATGGATCTTTTTCGTCCATGATCATCTTTTCCGGGGCAACGGTCATGACTGGGTCTCTGCTCATCCTGGCTTCGAAGATAGCCAGTGATCCTCGCATTCTAGCGAAAGTATAGACAGCGACGAACATCTTGACCCGAATACGACTATGTATAACTTATCATTATACCCTTCTTCACGATGCATATCATGACCCAACATCATTGTATTCTTACCGCACTTTTGGTTGTTTTGTACTAGTATAAGAGTTATTACGGTCGAAGTAGAAGCCTTCTTTCATTTCGTAGTAGAGCTCAGGCTATGGGATATGGGGATGGTACGATGACAGAATTAAATGCTGAAATTGAGTATAAGGAGGCAATCAACTCGATCGATATCTACAAGAGATACTAGATCAAAGGTGAATGAAAGAATAAAGTGTCGATTGTAAGTGATATGAATGAGCGGGGTGATATAGCTCAGCCAAGAAAGAAGACATGATCGACAGCACAGTGTTCTAGAAAGTTTCCTCTTCGTCAACAGGAGCATTGGCATCAGGAACCTCAAATCCATCCTGTAAAAACCAAATGGAAAATTTTTGAGTTCAAGACGGTTCCGATGGATCGACAGACGCACCTCGGTGGAGTATAGGATTTTCTGGATTTCTTTCAATGTATGGTCGTCCTTTCCTTCTGCCTCCAGAACTTCTAGCTGCTGTTGCACCATGATCTCGATATCGCGCAGCTAGGAACGAACGAGGGTCGATTAGCGAATGCACAACATAAAGACGGGGCACGACCTTACCTTTTCGAAGTAGAAATCGCGTTCCTTCTCTAGCCCTTCCAGATGTGCCGATAGTTCCTTCACTTGGGCTTGTAGTTGTTGGACGGCTTCATTAGGCTGGGCCGAGCCAGAACGATGCCCGCCTATCGGAGTCCTTCCACCCGCTCGGCTACCACCGGCGGATAGACCAGCAGATGGGTTCGTTCGACTGGAAGAGATGGGAGCCACAGTCGCTGGAGCCTCCATCGGCGCGCCTTTCCGTCGTGCAACCGCGTCATAACCCTGCCCGCCGTAGTTCGCGTCCCAGAAGCGCTTGATCCACTGCAGGAACTCGAGATTGTCCCTATCCGATAGTACGTCGATATGGGCTGATGCCACTCTAGAAGAACACACGACACGTACTGCATTTTGCACTTCACGAGTTTCTCGACTGGTATTGGCTATGAACGATTGGATATATGTCGGAAGACGCGTTTGGAAGTAGGGAAGGGTGTACGACGGACCTTGTCGATCTTCTTGGCTTTGAAGACGTTCTGCATGACCTTGTAGTTTGCCACATATTCGTACTCGTGCTTCGCGTTCATCTTGACCTTGCTCATAGGAAGATCGCCTAGAGTGGGACGAAGTATACAACGAATTTAATATCCTTGAGTCCCAAAACATTGCAAAAAGAACGCGATTGTGCACTTGCCATAGATTGAGTCAAGAACCTGACAGTAGGCCCCGCCGGTCCCACATTGCTCGATCTTCGTATAATTGATTTGAAGGAGCTCGTTGAGCCATGCCAGGAGGTCTGTTCTTGAAGCCGTCATTGTTGTCGGCGACGAGCAAAGATGGATAGCGTAAAGGACGTGACGGTCAACTTGAAGGTTGCAGGGTCCAGGGAACTTCGGGTTTGTCATAGTTTAACGTTAACCCTAAAGCGGGGTTGGCCACTCTATCAGCAACCACAACGTCCTGCATCCATCTGCGATAAAAAGGGTTCAAAAGCACGCATTTTACGCGTTTGAGAGAACAAAGTAACGTATATTATCTCATTGCGCATTTATTTGAGAAATTCTGAAGACCAGATCCGCGAAACTTCACCTAGCTCCTTCAAAAATAACAGCAAAACCCTTCCAAAGCCAATGCGTTCGTACCGCCATTCGCATGCATGGGACAAAAGAAGGCAATGCTGACCTAGTGGCTCAGAAATGCTCGCGCTTTCCCCAGAACTATGCGGGAAGATCATCCAATTCACGAGCCACAGGCGGCGCGATCTTCTGGCACTCTGCTTAACTTGCAAAGCATTTCAACGCGAAGCAGAAGCCAGGATATATGCCCAGCTCATGTTCTCAGATCCAAGGCGGGCCCTTCAAGCATGTACAACCGTAGTTCACAACGAGCGCCTTGCCCTACATGTCCGGATGTTCTGTTTTAACCAAGAGGGCACCCGCCATCCCGTCGACCTAGGACGCGAGTTCTGGCTCATATTGCAGCGGGCGCTTATCAACATGTCCAACCTGGAGATCCTCATCCTCTGCGACAACACGTACATGAACGGCTGGGTGCTCGATAACCCCGCTATCCAGTTCCACCTTCAAGAGTGCAAGCTCCGTTTCAGATGGGAAGCACCAGTCATTCGGTTTTTGCAGCACCAAGACGAGCTGCGGTCCTTGTATTTGTACGACCCCCTTGACGATTTGAGTCAGGCTCTTCCACAAGGAGCGCTACCTGTTCTCCAAATGTTCGAAGGTACCTTCTTGGTCGGCATGCAGGTGGTCAGGAGCCCAATCACGCATATGCAAGCTATGATTGACGTTGAGGCCGCCTCGACACTTGCTTTGCTGCCGCGGCTGGCTCATCTGAAGAAAACATTGCGTGGGCTCAACCTCGTCGACGTGATGGAGGAGATTTCAATACCAGCGCTTGAATTGATAACGCGGGCGCTTCCAGACCTACGACACCTCGGGCTGTTTTCCTACCCGATGACCAACGTGAGCAAGGTCTTTTACTTTTTATACTGTTTATGACTCTCCTGCAGCGTCATGAATTTCATAAATACCTCCTGCCAATGCATAACCTCCGGTCCATAGAGCTCGACGTCAGTCGATGGAACCCACCACCTTCTGTACCCTCAGGTCAGCGTGCTTTGGCGTGCGAACTCCAAACATTTTGTTCCAAGATAGATAAAGTCCTGTTCTGGACGGGGACGTCGAGGTTTCGCTGGATCTACACTACACATTGGATGCACCGCGTCGAGACTACTCAGCACAACGCGTGGGCGACGGTGTAATGCTCGCGATGCGAAAGCAGAACTAGGTCAACTATCTCTAAGCATTTCCGTTTTATTTTCGTCCGTTTCTCTGAACGTCTATTTGTTTAGAGTTGCTATATAGTGCTTTTCGGCTCCTGTGCGCTTTCCACTCCTAGAACTTGAGCCTGTATCGATCTCGACCCCAAAAATAACGACTTCCAGCGCCTTAGATAAATCCCTTGGTCCCAGGCTAATTTCGTCGGTAGGGTAAGATACTACTTATCCATTACTGGTGCTAGGTTCAAATATACTGTTCCAGAGTTCCACTCCGCATAGCAGTGGATTTCATGCCACTACTGCACTGCATTTCTTCAGTTGTTGTCCAACATTTTCCCTGAGACAAGACAGGAAGTTCCCCTTCTATCCCTCCCTCTCTTACGAAATAACCCTTCTTGTCTGACCCGTCCGTAGTGGAATTTCTTCTTGTGTTGTCCTTCTTCTGCGGCGGTGCCTCTAACGACGGATTTGGAAACAAATTTGTCCTGGTCACGGGCGTGACCGAGTTCAGCCACGACATCTTTATCACGAACTACGATGGCAGAGCCCACAAAACAAGAGACTGACCAGGTCTTCAAGGTCCTCAAAGGCCAAAAGGCAAACAAAGTATGTCACTTCTTCATCTTCTAAGCATTTCTGACCAAAATCAGTCGTGTTTCGACTGCAATGCACGCAACCCGACGTGGTCGAGTGTCACGTTTGGTGTCTACATTTGTCTGGACTGCTCGAGCGTGCACAGAAACATGGGTGTACATATCAGCTTTGTACGGTAAGAGATAATCTTGCATGTAGTATGTTTTGTTCCTGAATTGTCTCCTAGATCTACCAATCTTGACAGCTGGCAACTCAACCAGTTACGCACGATGAAGGTCGGAGGGAATGCATCGGCGACAGAATTCTTCACGAAGCACGGCGGTGCTTCCCTGCTGAGCGACTCCGATACAAAGAAGAAGTATTCCAGCCGATACGGAGAGTTGTATAGGGAAGAACTTGCCCGCCGTGTGAAGGAGGACGCTGCGAGGTGTGTTGGCTCTGTTGCCCGCCCGCCAACCAAGGACTGAATTGGCCTCAGATTCGCTAACGGTATCTTCGTGGAAGGAATGGAGGCACCAACAGCCTCCGTTGCGAAAGAAGAAACTGAAGACGATTTTTTCGAATCATGGTCGAAACCCGCCACGCCTAGGTCATCTAACCCCGGTACGCCGCGTATTTCGACCCCGCCCATCATCGGTAAAACACCTTCAGCCAGCTCTGCCACAAGCAGCACAGCGAGCACCCCGGCTGCGGCACTGGCGGCTCCGACACCTCGTACACTCACCTCGTCGGCGGCTGCACGCCCCGCCCGTCTCGGAGCAGGCACGTCCCGTCTCAATTCCGCGTCTTCGGGAGGATCGGCCACTTCAGCACCGAAGAAGTCGAAGCTCGGTCTCGGAGCCTCGAAAGCCAAGCCTGTCGATTTTGCTGAGGCCGAGAGGAAGGCACGGGAAGAGGAGGAGAGGATCAAGCAGCTGGGATATGATCGCGAACGTGAAGAAGCAGAGGCGAAGGCGAAGAGAGATGCCGAAGCGTTGAAGAGGTCCCAAGAGCTCAGCTCGCGTGCTGTTGTCGCTACCACTACCAGCTCAGTAGGAGGAACGAACAAATTCGCGAACACTCCAGACCCTACGAAATCCGCTGCTTTCCCTCGTCTGGGCTTTGGAGCAATTCCTGGGGCCGGTGCTGCAGCAGCTGTCGCGGCCGTTTCTGCTTCTGCTACCACAAGAAGGTGTGTCTATTCTCAATCACGGCCACTTGAAATTGCTAACTTTGGTGTATGGTGTAAAAAGTACCTCCATCGTTGACGACGCACCCACCACCGCCCGCGAGAAATTTGGCAACCAAAAGGCCATTTCGTCTGACATGTTCTTCGAGCGTGGCTCATACGACGCGAATGCGACCAGCGAGGCCCAGACACGACTACAATCCTTCCAGGGTGCCACCGCTATCTCTTCCAATCAGTATTTCGGACGCGAAGAGGAGGACCCGTTGCGCGATGACGTGGAAGGCGGGCTATTGGGCGATGGGAGTTTGGCGAGTTTGGAAGGCGCGGCGAAGGAGGCGATTGCGAGGGTATTGGCCAACCCGGACGTCCAGAGTGTTGGAGAGAGCATCAGGTCTGGAGCCCTTAAGGTGCGTTGCTGTTGCTTTTGCGTGATCTTTACGAATCTCACCCCGCGTGCTCGCAGCTCTCTGACTACTTGGCGTCGATGTCCGAGCGTTGAGTCACCCCTTTTCCTTATCATTTGTTCTTGTTCTCAGGTTGGGCTTGTGACCGAACATGTTCTACCTGCCCTTCCCTTCCGTTGGATAGTCTCGAAACGCCCTTTCTGGTTTCTACAAATCTCAGTCTAATGGCACATTTTTTCTTTTCGATTTATTTATAATCTCTTCATCTTTCTGGTCCCTCAGGTGCATGTCAGCTCCTCAAATATGTCGATCCTGTCCTTTCCTCACCGCGTTCGCTTGAAGGTTCTTCGCTCCGGCCCAGAATTTTCATAACCAAGAAGGACAGGAGTATTCCCAATGTCTGCAAACTGCGCAGGGAGCTTTCGACACTGTACCGGAGTTTAGCGGAATCGACTGGTGTATCTTGAAAAGTTGAAAGCTTCAACACTTGGAGCACAATACCGTCGTTCTTCGATCTGACAACCAGGCTTCTATCTGCTTCTATCTGGCGAAACCGAGATGTCAATGAGGTTTACGCCTTGCTCGTGAATCTGTTGGCCTCAGGATATAGATCATTTCCGTGATGGCGTCCTTAGGCGTGCAGCCAATGGCGCAAGTTTTGTGATGTTCAAGAGGAGATGTGTGAACGATGGCCTGACTTCAGACTCGAGTTTGAGTACGTTATGCCTTGCATTCCGTGTCATTTGTGAAAGTGAGTGGTCACCGCCTTCGAGCCTGTCGTAATCTGTCTCATGACACTGCTCAAGATTCAAATTTAGGCTGACGATTATCTGCAGGCGTTGTGGGCGAGGGCAAATATGAAATATTAGCGACAGTTTCTCGGTAGACCGGGGCACACGACGGCATATTGCCACCTGGTGAAAGTTTCTGTCAAGCTCAAGCTTTTCCCAACAGACGCCGTCGCCTCTCGGGCTGAGAATCCTTGATTGCGATGACGGCCCAAACCTCGACTATCTCGGAGATCATCTTATCGATCTAAGTTGTTTTTGCCCGTCTTATAGACCCTGTCGTTCCGGAATTTCCGCATGAGGTCGTTGACTCGGATTTCTGGTAAGCCTAATTGTGCTAATCAACGGGATACTGTGATATGTTGATCTGCGGTTGCCCTTCATAGGATCTGTAGGGCCAGAGCTTGTGGCCGAAGCGTGCGTGGACTCGAACGACAGTCAGGCGGTCTGGCCGGTCGGTCAATTTATTCCATCTGCAGGATGAAAAATGGTGGACGTCCCCGGAATTGTTGGTTCCGTCAATTCGGTGGCTTGGAGGAACATGAATGGCTGTCCGACGAACGTTCTTGACACCGCACCGCCCCAAGCGTCAAGGATTCTGCCTAGCGATATCTCATTGCATGTCTATCACCGACATCATGCCCTCTGGCCTCGCACATAGGGGTTGTTAGAACCTCGAATGATTGTTTTAATATTCAGAGGCCCGAGTCAGACGATGTCCTGCGAGGCTTAGTTCAAGACTCTAAACAAGGCTAGCGCCTGCTCCACAACGAGCGCTTCTGTACTAAAATGCCCTGCCGACGGTAAGGGAACCAACTCCACAGAGCTTATTTTATTCGGGATAATTATATGTGTGATCTGCTGGCGGTGCAAGTAGAGCCAGTTATGTGGAGGAGATAAGGCTTGTAAGATGAAGCTGATGACCCTATTTCCTACGCTCCAAGTGTCTGGTACAATTTCTGAAGGTTCATTCAGGTATTTTAATCTGCATCACACAACGATAGGCTGGTGCGCCTAAAAGAGTAAATTCTTTGTGGGCCCATCAGCTACTAGTCGCTCCTGTTGTAAGTAAGAATGGGAAAGACTTGCGAAAAGCGAGCTCAGTGGATATCATAGGCAGAGTCCCCGCAAAGGAAGGAGGTGTTTATTCCCTGACACAAGTACAAACATGTGCATCGTGACGGCGGTCCAGGTCCGAGTCCTCCCTTGACCTTCCATCCACGTACCAGATTATTAAAAAAACCTGTTCGCCCACTGAGAATCAGTCCAAATGGGAAAAGAGAATTTTGACGGTGAAAAATAACTGTGATGTTCTACGCGTCTGCTGACACTGATTTAGGGTCGTGGATTCAACTGGATAAAATCACGGCGAATCAAACACTCTTACTCCGCCATTCAGTGCTATGGCCGGAGAAAGATATTTCAGAAATGGTTTTGCCCGAGGATAAAACAGGAAAACACTACGGCGCCTTCCTACCTCACACAGGTGACCCTGTGGCCGTCATTTCGCTCTTCGTCGAAGAGGCACCGATCGATAAGAACTCGGACCTGGAGGCAACTGCCCACTCGTCGGCTATGGTCTACAGACATCCCCGTGCGGTACGGTTCCGAAAATTTGCTTGCGAACAGCAATATCAGGGAAAGGGAATTGGAACACGCCTCCTCACTTATGCCTTATCGATGGCCCGATCGGAACTCGATGTCGTGATGGCTTGGTGCGACGCTAGAACAACCGCACTGGGGTGGTATCAGAAGAGAGGCTTCGTCGCCTTTGGGGCTGCCTTTTACAAGGGTCCCGTGGAGTATGTTCGGTTGAAAATTGACCTGGATGACGTCGCCTTGCAGCAGCCTGGAAGTACGGAGGAGAATACAGTTATGAAGGCCTCGATTGTTCAATAGAAAATCCTGTACCTGCCATGTCGATGATTAATGAGTCTGACGACATTCGAACGACCCGGTGCTCTTCTAATTTGCTCTGGAAGGCTAGAGCCCTGCTGTTGTTATGGACATAACCAACATTCACTTGCAAGTATCCCTACAACAATGTCCGCGAGCGCGGTGGCGTAGTCCCTCTGACGTAGGTTGTACGGTTTCACCAACTAGTGCACTTAATGCAGTGTGGGCATTAATAGCACCAAGACGCCGGGTTATCCTCCCTTGACCAGCGAGTTTTGGTGATATGGATCGCGGGGAATACCAGTCGCAAACGAAGACTTCCCTCTCGAAGCTTATCAGCCCATCCAGGATCATACTTATGCTGCCAGATTTATCCTTCAAATGCGGTCTGTTGTGTCCTTCGAAAGAGGTTCTTCGCGCGGAACAGCCCGTCGTGGTGTGACTGTCTAGAAAACGCCCGTGTATTATGATAGCCGTAATTTACAGTTCCTGTTCTGAATACCCTCTATTAGTCCTCTTTGGAGATGACATGCTTTCACCACATGTTGTACCAAGTTCACCGCAGCTCCAGTGGGATTTAGAGGGCGTATTTCTACATTCTGGACAAAGTTATATTATCAGGAACCAAGAGGAAGTAGCATATTTGCTCTGCGGTCCGACATGCTGGCGAATCTGATGTCACTGTCGACGTTCAATGGATCGACTCGCCTTAAGCGATTAATGCATTAAACAAGCTCCTGGGATGCACCGGCCTTCGGGACAGAAGATAACATATTAATCGCGATGTCCCAAAGGCTTTTGCGCGTGCACTTCCCTTTCGCCACACGGCGACTCGGCGACTTGACAAATAAGCAGAAAGGAGATAATGCTAACGTTATTGTTTCGCACTGATTCCGAAGCTCCTCTTTCGTCCTGCAATTTGCGAAATTTGCATTGTGAATCTCCTATTCAGTCGTAGAGGGGCTCTAATAATTACCAACGCGAAGTTCCGGCCGTTTCTCGGGAGCCTGGCCTCACAGGATCGATAACGGATCAGCGCAACGGTCGTCGCACATGATGCTCTCAAGGGTTAAACGATTTCCGGCTTCGGGAAAGTAAGTAAATGATAGCGAGAAACAAGATATCGCTCAGCGGATTCCGTTGGCTACTTGGCGTAATTTTGTCATGCGATGCTAGCTAACAACCGGGACCACGAAAACATATAAATGCGACCAGCCTTTGACCGTCAGGAAATAAGACGCATGTCGTCAGTGCCCCTCCTCCCCGCCAGAAGATCTTCTCGCCTCTCGTGCTCGTTTTCGGCTGCTTGTTCCACGTCCACTCCGGCTATTCCTATGAATCACAGAAACGCAACCCCCATGCTGAGCTTCAGCTACCTGGTTCCTTCTCTGTTCATAGCCGAAATAGCTTGGGGTGGGCGTCAACTTAACCGAACCCGCGAATCACGAGCGCTTCCCATGATCACCATCGGTTTTCTTCTGATACATATTCAGAGACCTTTCGATCTATTTCTTGTCGCCGTGGTCCTCTATGTGTTCACAGTCGCCGTACCAGCACCCTCAGACGAAGTTAGATGGTCCTTCTCTTGTCCGTCGACGAGATGGGCCATCGTGGAAGTGAAAATAGACCCTCTGTGCTGCCACGATGTCAGAATGCTTGGGAAGCCAGGCAAGGTGCCTCATGAGAATTATTCAGGTTAGATGGCTTGATCCCACTTTCGTCAGTCACACCCGTGGAGCCATTTCATGATGCTTCCGGTGGTACCGGTCCTCGAAACTTTATTTGTTTGAGGTTCGCACGCCAACGCGTTCCAACTGAACGCCTGTAGAAATGGCTAATTAATGTCGCCGCTGATAAAAGCATACTATTGACCCTTTAAAGAGCTATTCGGACGCGATGGAGCTTGAAAATTGAAGGTGAAGGACACTGAATGTCCTCCATATTTCATTCATGTGCCGTCAAGGAACCCTGAGGCCCGATGCACAGAGGAAACGAGGTAAAACACGAGGCCCCAGAGTAGGCTCTATATCGTGTATTTTAGGGAGCAATAAGTTCCCCCGCTCCGACGAACTTGTGGTGTTGGAACTAGTAAGTCGTCTGGGGCGATAGAGTTTTAGCGACACCGCAGTCAATGCAAATGCGAGATTGAGATTAAGTTTGCGTCCGTCTAGTATTGCGCCCACAGAATTAAATATATATTGCTGCATGCCGGCCCAAATTCCCGAAATTCTTATTATAAATCGCGGTGTCGACCGCAAGGCCATTGGTGTCATTTCTTCGAAGTCTAATCGGCAAAGACCGAAAGGTCACGCTTACTTACGTAATCAAAGTCATCACAACAGTCCTCGCGCGGTGAGCGATATTTGTCTTTTACGCCCACCACATCCCTGCGCTCTTGTTCTTCTCTTTATTGTATCGTAATGGACGCAAGGCTTCGTAGAGTCAACAAGGAGATTGCAGGTAAGACTCTGTCTCGTCTTTGTACCATCGCTGATGAGAATGACCGCTCGAAGATTGCAAGAACGACAAGACTTCACAAATCAAGATCGAACTCATTGACGAAAACCCGTTCCATCTGAAAGGATCATTTCCTGGGCCTCAGGATACACCCTATGAGGGAGGTCACTTTGAAGTGGTGCGAGAGGAATCCAGTTTATACTACCCAGTCTGCTTACGCCGCTGTGCCACCGCCGCAGGACATCGTAATCCCAGAATCATATCCGTTCCAACCCGTGAAGATGAAATTCATAACGAAAGTCTACCATCCGAATGTTTCCTCTGCATCTGGCGCGATCTGCCTTGATATCTTGAAAGACGCGTGGTCGCCGGTTCTGACGCTCAAGTCGACGCTGATTTCGTTGCAAAGCTTGCTTTGCTCTCCGGAGCCAAGCGATCCCCAAGATGCGGAAGTCGCCAAACATTACATGACGAGCAAGAGCAGCTTCGAGGACACTGCGACATATTGGACCCAGATTTACGCCGGTGGGCCTGGGCCGAAGGGAAAGGCGGGGAAGGGAGGACCGAATGGCAAAGACGAAGTGGCTATGGCTGGATTAGAGAAGGCACATGTTGACCGCTTTGAGGCTCTTGGTTTCCCAAGGAACAACGTGGTGCGTCCATCTATCTTCTTCAAGGAGTCCCCTTGCGTGATAGAGACTTTTTTCCTAGATTGATACCCTACGACGTCTAAACTATCGTGGGGCTAATGTGGCTCAGATATCGGATGACAGAGTGGTCGAAGAGCTTCTGAAGTGAAATTTTCGCAGTTCGTTTTCCTAATTTTACGGTGTAATTCATCCTCGCGCTATCTCTTGACATCCAGTAATACACATCTGTCTTCTCAAAGCCCCATTGGACTGAGCCGCCTAGATTCCGCATGCATCCTATTTCGCGCTCGATGCCAGCCTGAAACCTCCTTCGGCTTTTCTTGTACGCGTCCAAGCGCAAGGCATCACTTGCGTCTCTTCATTCCAAAGACATGAGAAAGAGATCTTACCAATCATGGAAAGCCTCTACCGGTTCTCTCCTGATACCAGTGCCGCTGAGTTGTTTTTTCCTGCCTCCTGTTCGTCCTCATGATCAAAACCCGAAATAAATTACAGGCCTTCGCAACCCGGCCGCAGATTCATGCCTTGTATGACTTCACTTGTTCTCCCATACTTTGCGTGAACTGCTATTTATTCATTGTGAAGGTAGTCCCCATATCTTGGCGTACCGTTGGTAGTGGATCCATAGGAATCTACATCGCCCACAGCGAATCGGCTAAATGCCGTGAGATGACAGCGGCACATTCATCTCACTAGATGATGACGCGCCGATCATGGAGCAACGAGGCTTTCTTCTCTCTGAGATCGCAGGATCTCCTCGGCGGCGAGAAGTGAACTCAAAAACATATGGGCGCTGGCCTGCACTCCTCGACTTCATGGTTTCCTATAGAGGCTCAGTCTTTTCCACGTTCTGCGTGCTACTAAATGGACTTTGCTCGCTCCACGATGGTTCAAGTTGCCTATCGCAGACTCTCGTCGATCCACAGGCAGCTTCACATCGGCTACAGAGGAAGATATCACGTAACGGCGTGAGGCGAGCTGCACTGCTGACTGGGTGCCCAGCCTGCAAGGGCACAATGCGGGATTCACTTAGAGTTAGCCCCAAACCGTCCAGGAAGTTCCAGATACGAGGGAGCCTGCTGCAAGCTTTTATTGCTTCATACCATTGCCAACGTTGAATGCTGCCGAATGACAGCGCTACTCTTACCATCCTTCCTGACTCGCCCGAGCACGAGCGAACTTGGAGCCCTGTGTCCATTTAGCAGTGTTTAGCTGGCTGCCGCTGGACCTTGGTTTCTGGGATGTTCTCCCGAGGTCGTCTTCCTTCAGCGCTTCGAAGTGAGCCACAAAGCGGGAAAGTCTGGTGATCTGGAAAGTCAATTCCGTCAACGGGATGCGGATAGCTCTACCGACGCGGGGGTGTGGAAAACAGAGAACTAGGCTCGTTATCGAATGGCTATTTCGTAAGGGAACAATCAATTATGGCTTCATTCATATCTAGCCATTTGGATATTCCTCATGTGCTCATATTATGCATTTTTGAGTGTTTCAGATTTGACTAAAGTGCTATCGATGGAACTTCGGTTCGTGAACATTAGCTCATCTGCAAGGCCGCCTTTTCCGTAATTTTGGTGTTAAAAATACCGTTTAGCTCTATAGATAAATAGGTAGAAGACAGTAGTGATTATTTATAGGTGATAGCGTCGAAGGCATCATGAAGTCGTTTAATAACGGGAGGCGCTCAATAGAAGAGTCGGTTTGCAGACTGTTAGCAGACTGCAGCAAAATCAAGACAGGGATGTGCTTAGGAGTGTCCTAAATAGTTTCAAAGGCTAGTGGAGATTGACGCCATACCTGCCGCATTTGGCGTAGCCTTGCAATAACCCCCGCCCTGAGTGATGGTCCGCCAGGAACGAAAGCGGCATTAGCGCCCAAGCCGTGTGTCACGTGGCTCACCCAGTGGCCCAAACAAAATGCGTAATCCGTGTTTCCTCATCATTCCGCGGCCCATGACTGTTGTCCCCTTCGGGGTGACATACGAAAAAATTGGAACGATACAGAGAAGATTAGCATGGCCCCTGCACAAGGATGACACGCTTTCCCGGAGTGGTAGACCTACGGGTCTCAATATTTATTTATTTTTCTCTTTTTGCACCACTGTTCTGAACAGAATAAGTTGTGTCCGCCAGGCACTCATGACGAAGCTAGTCTCTCAAAGGCGTTGTTTCAACCTTTGTCTTTCTTCTCTCAAAGACGAGGCAAGGCTTCATGACTACAATTAGCACTGACCAGTTAGGAATGTATAGTTAAACAAATTATTTTCCTGCTGCGTCATGCAATGATCCTCTACTTTAATAATCACAAGGGAGGAATGATCACTGCAAAGGTGTACAAGAAGTTGGCTTTGGCAGTAAAATGAATATCTTCAAGGCTGCTCGCCTGTAGCTCGTTTGCCAACTGGCCCAACCTTTGCGATGAGGCAAAGCTGCATGTACGCGCAGCCCAACCCCGCCTTGTTGCCAAACGCATCAATGTAGGTAAGCTCGAACTTATTCACCGCGCTGGCCTCCGTGATCCATACAACCGAGGGTATGTCGGCTGGATTATCACCCTTCAACCTTTTCTCCTCCCCATATCCATACGCGAGTATAGCACCATCCGCCTCCATTAGATACCACAACAGGCCATCTTCTGCTGGGTAGCCCAAGTCGGCGAATTCATTAGCGAGACAGAACTCTGCTTTGCGCATGCTGTCGCGGTAAAGGGTCTTGAGCGAGGCTGCAAGGTGGAGGGATTTGCAGACGTTGCGTACGGCGGCATCCAAGCCTTTCAGGTTTCTCTCGATCTCGGAGAGTTTAGTCCGGGGGTATTCGGCGCGGAACGCATACTTGTGGAACAGGCCAAACCCGATCAACCCACCTTCAGGGAGGAAGTTGGGATCAGCAAGAAGGGCAGACAGGGTAGGCTCAAGGTCAGACCCTCATGCAGTAGGTGGAGCCACGACCGGCAGGGGCGAAGGAGCCGGTTCTTCGCGTCGCGGGTGAGAATCTTCGTAGTAGAGATTGTAGGTGAGGGTGACGCGGTATCCGGAGGTGACAACTGAGACTTCGTGCTCAACATCACCGAAGAAGGCGACGAAAGCAGCTCGTAACTCTGGCGGCGCGCCGGTAGAGACAGCTTGGGCGGTATCAAAGGTCCATTCGGTCCCGCGGTGGCGAAATACGAGAGAACCACCTTCGTGCTTTGTCGGGAGCACCACAACGAGGGATCCAAACATAGTGTCGCTGCGCGGAGTGTCGACGTGAGCCTTGAAGAATGCGCCAGGCCCTGAAGAGGGGTCAGTGGGCGATTCCATGAAAATACGAGCTACTGCGTACCGTAAACATTGAGCTTGTACATCTCGACCTTGAGATCACGGTCAGTGTCCTGTGGGGAAAGCATTGTGTTTCGGATAGCGTCTACAACACCACAAGTGTACGGGTGGAACTGAGTGGCGAAGTTCGCAGAGTCCATCTTGCCAGCCTTGCGATAGATTTCGTCGAAGACGTCTTTTTGACCGACTCCAAAGGTCGCAGGCTGGCATGAATCTGCAAGAAGCTTGAGATCTTCCGTCGAGGCTTTTGCGAAATCTACGTGGCTGGGAACGATTTAGCCCTTCTTGTAGGAGTAGTGCGAAGGAATCGGGACATACAAGGTCTTCCCGTCAATGCGATAGAAGACAGTCGAAGTGTTCGCATCGAGAGGGATAGCGCCAGTGCAGTATGACACCCGCTGTATCCCTTTAACTGCCTCTTGGAAGTTGGTGAATGTTGGGAGATGGTTTAAGGCGGTGATCATGATCGTGGCTTGTCGACGACTGAGAATGTCTGAAAGAGACAGACGAGCGTCGCTATCAGTGGATGACTTTCCTTAACGATCTGGAATTTCTAACTCCTTTTCCAACACAAATTCTTCGGGATTGCCCGAGTTTTGAAATCAAGCAGAGTGCTTTACAGAACCGTAACCACTTTTGTATCTAGAACTCGCATGCAGGCGTAAGTTGTTTGCTGCATTCTGTGGCTATGCTGATAAGATAAGAGATCGCATGGCTTCAGGCCTCCTGCAAGCCTCGCTACTACACCCATGGGCAATCTCATTGACACCTTGCTCAGCCATCTCGCTCTTGAGGAGGACGAATATTGGGATGAAGAAAACAATCGCCTGCAGAATGCAGGCCTCTCTGGGACTGCAATCTACTTGGAAGCACAAGAAAATCGGCAGCACCACTCAGAGAACCGCAAACGCCTTTACCTCATCCAAAATGAACTGCTCCCAAATCCACGAGAAGGAACACCATGGCAGCACTTGCATAGCAGCTCAAGTGATCGTGGATTTATTATGACTATGGGAATTGATGTCAGTACATTTGAGTACCTCCTCCAATCTGGTTTCGCTCTCCTTTGGAACACTACACCCATCCCCCGGCCTGATCAGCCTATGACAGCCCCGCCTCGGGTGAATAGTCGATCCCTTGATCCTGCTGGAGGCTTGGGGCTGATCCTTCACTACCTCAATTTGACAATGCGCGACGTTAGCTTAATGGAGATCTTTGCTCTCATTCCCAGCACCGTCAATCGCTACCTTGACTTCTGCCTCGACATTCTTCTTTCAGTGCTGCGACAAATTCCCAAGGGTGTTATCAGGTGGTTAGAAGGAGATGAATTCCAGGAGAACAACTCTCTTATTGTAGCCCGACACCCCCTCCTCATGGGGGCATTTGGTACCATGGATGGCCTCAATCTCCCTGTCCAGGAATCACCCGATCAAGAGATCGAGAACGCGACTTTCAATGGATGGCTCCATGAACACTTCGTGAGTTCTGTCATTGCTTTTGGAGCTACTGGTATGTAAAGTGCTTCCTTTCTCAATCTCGTTCTTACACAATTCTAACAGGGTCTATTATTGCTTGCCGAATGAATGCGCCAGGTAGTTGGCATGATGCACATGTGGCTTGCCCTATTTTTGAAAAGCTACGCACGAAAACACCAGAGGGTTATTACCTTGTCACGGATACAGCCTTTCCTCGAGGAACAGATTAAATACAAGGTCGTATCAAAGCCCCAATGAAGAGCGGAACTCGTCTTCCAGCAGATGAGAAGGAAAGAGCCCAAGTCAAGGCCTTTGATCGTCAACTCCTCTCACTTTGCCAGGCAGCAGAATGGGGGATGCGTGGAATCCAGGGGTCCTTTGGGCGTCTCTGTATACCTTTGGACATAAATCATGTGTCTCGCCGGGGTGACATCTTGGAGGCCTGTGCACGGCTGTATCAAATTTGGGCTCGTCAAGTCGGCATCAATCAGATACGCAATGTGTACATGCCAATTTGGATGGAAGGAGATGAGCAAAGGCAAATATGGGAGCATTTCGAGGACATTTTGTTCAAGGATCAACGAAAACTTGATCACGTAGCCCGCTTTCACTTGATAGAAACAGAAGAATAGATATATTGGTCTACATACTTTCCATAGTCTAGGGTGGGTATTCAAGAAAGTAAGAGGCAAAGGCGAGAGATACAATACTGGTAAGAAAGATAAGAGAAAGATGGTTCAATAATGTAATCTAAATTCTAAGCATCAGTGTTGGTGTCATCACGAGGAAGACCCTCTTCATCAGAAGGAGGGGCCCGAGGAGCACGGGTTGGGGTGTTGTCAATGGTAAACCGAACAGCAGGGGAAGTGTTGCGATAAAGTGTGGTGAGGGGATCTGTGGGGTCATCATCATCACTCCCCCCGGCCCAAGTGACATGACGCCCACCATCAGGATAAAGAGTTTCAAGGCGAACACGATGGCTGGGACTAGTATACCGGGGTGTATCACGACGATTGCTGAAGTGTGGCGAGCGGCGAGAGGTGCGATGTGGAGTCCTGAGGAGATGGTGCTCTCGACGGCGACGAGAAGCTGATGGGCTTTCAAGCTCATGTTGAGTGAACTGGCGGGTAGCAGCTTGGTAGGGATGGCGATCACGATCTGCATTGTTGTTACTGCAGCGAAAGAGGGACATCAACTCGATATGATCCGCCTGACGTTCCGCTTCATATCTTGCTCGTTCGGCCTGCTGGAGCTGGGTGCATAGGCTTTCAATTGTGGCATGTGCATCGCGGAGTTGTTGGCCCATTGTGAGCAGCTGAGTCGTGTGCAATGAACGCGAAGCCCGATCCTCGTCGCGGGCAGCCTGAGTTGCGGGATCAAGAGCAGTAGAGATTGAGGACAGTAGCTGCTGTGCATCGTTCCGGGATGAATTCCGAGCACGAGGCTGAAGAATCTTGTCAGCTGGGGGGCGGCGAGCCATGGGCCCACGCTCTTCAGTGTCCTTCTTGATCTTCGACTTGGTTGCACGCTGCCGTTGGGTGTTGGTAGAGTCCTTGCGCGGTGGGTCGGCATCTTCTTTGTCGGTCTCGTGGTCCTCATCCTCGTCCTCAGATCCAGAACTGTAAACAAATCAAGACAGAAGGAGTCCAAGATAGAATCACCACATACCTGAGTTCGACAACATCGACAATCTCCGAGTCATCCAAATCTCACGTCTCGGCCCTGCTGTTGATGAGACTCTCAATGTAATGAGAGTGCTCGACGTAGGGTGGGCATTCTGCATCTCCTGTTGGCTTTGTGGCATGAACATACTGAACAAGAGATTAAGCACTGCTACATCGCAAATTGAATGGAGCCACACCTGTTTGTATTTCAGCTCTAAGGACTTAACCGTCCTCTCGGGCCGTCCACAGCTGTTTGCCCACTCATTGTACGCAGCGCCAACGGTGTTCCACCCATATCCACCGGTGGGGAGGTGGTCTTCAAGAAGGTCAAGCAATTGGTCGATGTCATCGTCATTGTAGTTGACAGCCCCAGCAATACGGCCACCACGTTTAACATGTTTGGCAGCCAGTTCGTTGTCAGCATGACCAGCTGCCTTCCACTTGCTGACAGTCGCTGGGGTGTCGGCTTTCTGTTTACCCTTGCCCTTTGAGGGAGCAGGGCAGCGGCTGCCGGCCACCTTCGAGGCAGGTTTTGCAATCTTCGGGAGCAGCTTGTGAGCAGGTGGAAAGTCGTCATTGTCATCCTCAGGGAGGGGTAAGAGAGCTGGGTCGATCGCGGGTTGGCGAGATGGGCCAGCAATGGGGGGCGGAGGGTGGTATGGTCCATGCGGGGCATCGTTTGGGCCAGAGGTGGGTGGGTAAGGGTTCTAGATTCGAGAGATCAACACAACTGTGAAACAACGCAGAGTAACATATGTACCAGTGCATATTGAGTGAGATATCCTGGAGGAGGGTACTGCGGCATGGCATGTGGTGCGTGGGGGTGCTGAAAAAGTAGTAACCTGTTAGCTGTGGTGAATAAAGGAAGGTGAAAATACATACGGATAGATTCGGCCAGTCCATCCCTCCATAGCACTGGTAAGGCCCTGCTGTTGGGTCATTCCAACCGACAGGTTGACAGGTGTTGGCGCCGGCGTGGCTGGGGTTGGTAGTTCCACCAGAAGGGGGACCAGCTGGGTCGACTGGGGGGTTGTTGGTTTTGGCGTTGGCATTGGTGCTGGCGTTGGTGTTGGTATTGTGAGACATGTTCGCAGAGAGGGATCGACAAGTCAGTTAGCAAGGGAATGCTGGAGAAAAGGGAGAGAAATGCACCTGCTTTTAAACCTTTTCACCATTCTTCGCAACGCCCTTGAGCAGAATTTGGACAAACACGAATACGCCACTGGGACCAGGAAGGGCGCATTTTTGATGCTTGGGTCACTATGATCAGGTACTCAGACACGACGTAGGTGATATAAATGGTGAGTTTTCATGAATACGCCTGCGTAGATGTTCAAACTACACGAAAAGCGCTAAATTGAGGGGGTGAACAAGAGGAACCAAGGGATGCTAACCGTTCACTTACCAGCCTCAAATCCCCTTTCCGTGACATTTATTGTGTATTTCCCATCAATACGACACGTTGTAAACCATCAAAAAAAGCCCTAGAGGAAAGGGCACGTCTACAGGGCAAGGACATGTCTGAGTGTCCTGATCAGAACGCGTCATCTAATGAGCGCGTCTGCCAAGCACAAAAGTGCGGTGATCGTGATGATGATGTAGAGCGTGGTCTTGTATGGCCGCAGAGTTGAATTTTCGGTCTGGAATGCATTTGGGAACGGATTTGGAGTTGAGAGGGGGGTAGAGAGGGTCCTTCCAAGCGAAGGTTTGAGACGAGGTCGCTTTGACAGGTCGGACCTTGAATCTGAAAGATTTTGATGTGCCTGGCTGTCGGCACCTCGGCTTATGAACTTAGAACACGCATCTGGAATTGAAAGCGTTCTAAATCGTTAAGGAAAGTCATCCAGTATTTATACTGCTGGCTCCCCAGCACTGTGGCTGCCTCGCTGTTTGCGACCGTCGAAAGTGACTCGCAATAAATTTAGGGGCGTACAAAAACTTAGGGAAAGAGGAATCAGGATATGAAATGAAAGAGTCTCACAACGTCGGTCAACTTTAATACAGGAGACGATCTTTGGAGACTGCCGACTGAGTCCAAAGGTGGGTGATGGCTATGCACAGTCTAGGTCACGATAAGTCCGTAAAGCGGCAGTACGTCGGCAGACTGGCGATCAGCGCAACCAGCTGTCCCTGTCACGGTGTGGGAAGGAAGCAAGCCCCTCCCCGTTGTGAGACGATAACCCCCCTCAACACCAGTTGGATTGGGGTCCAAATGACGCTAGATATTATATATGTCATGGAATCCTTGGTTGTCGAATTGGGAGTGACAAAAGACAAAGAGCAAAAAACTAGGTGTACACCTTTTGGCCTAGTGGTTCAATCGTGCTGATAGCTGCTTTATTGTGTGAAATCCCACAAAGTCGACACTCTAAGTCATCGGTTCAATTCCTGAGACCTACAACATACATGAATTGGAAACTGCGGGCAAAACTGCGGCAATCACTGTGGCGATCACTGCGGCGGCACCTCCCGACTACTTTCCCACCTCATACTGGCGACGACGAGGATGAAGACTCTGAGCAACACAATGCTCAGATGCATCGCAATAACGAAACTTCCTCATAGTATTCACCTCAGCCTGAGTGCCCTCCTGCCCCGACCTCCTCGTCTCTTACCAACAGCCTCAATGGAACACCAATTCAAACCACATCAAACTACCCCGCAACATGCGCCATTCAGCAACTTCCTGCCACTTCCCACCTTTGAGTCTGACAACAAAGGCGATGTGGGTCTGTCCTTAAGGAGGAGGGAGATGAACTGATATGCAGGAATGTGGTGGGGAGTTGGGACAGCCACCTGATCAAGACTAGGCAGTGAGACAAGTGAAGAGACCGCCCATCCTGGTCCTTGCCTCTAGTACTAGGTGCGTCGCCACCACACACGCTGCAGGCGTAGATGTAGATGCCGATGAAACACCTCCCACAGGCTTCTATCCATGTCCTGCCCACAGTTGTGGCAGTGAGGGTCAATGCCATCAACGATCTTCACCTCACTTCACCCTATACTCTTTGCCCTCATCCAACACTTCCTCGCCCACTTCAGTGTCAGCCTCCATCTAATCCTGCCTCACCCTCTCGAATACGCTGGCACGGAAGGGAACATGTGCTCGTCGCTGAGCACGGCGAGTTTGAAGTCAATTGGAAGGGGTCAAAGGGCGTCGTTGGGGAAGGAGTTCTATTTACTCGAGGCTGCCGCGCCACCTTCTGTATGCCGCTGAAGGACTGATCGGGTGAATAATACACAGCATGTTTGTACTGGCAGGCATCAATTCATGGACTCAGAAACTTGCGTAGGTGAAATTTGACCACCATGGCCACCCCTCAGACAGCAAGCGCGTCGCGTCTAATTGGTGTGACTGATCATGTTACCGCATGGCGGGAGTTGCCGCCGCTGTGATCGCCGCAGTCTGGCCCCGCAGTTTCCAATTCCGAGATCTTCTGGTCACATCAAAGGGTAGGTCGCATATAGTCTTGTCCCCAGCCGTTTTGGGTAATTCGGCTGCTTTATGAGAATTTGATGGCATGGCCTACCCTACAACGTCTGGTGCATTTGAACCGTGCGACCCCCCTTGCGTCATTTCGTGACAATCACGAGATCACGTGCAAGCCATACCGGACGCGTCTCTTACTTCTGTCTTGCCTCTGGTACCTCCAACTCCCATCGCTCTTGCTTGTCGTTCTTGCCCATGGTTCCTCAACAAGATACTCACACTTATCTACACCTTCACTCGTATCGCAATCTTGAGGATGCTTGGCAAGCCGCCTTCGAGAAGTGCAGATACAACTCAACATGAACTCGAGCCATCATCACCTTGCTTTTTCGTGAACGCCACAAATCCGACCCCCATCTCTGGCAGCTCGACATCACGGAGGCAATAATTCTCGGGCTTGACAGCATAGTTATTGCTGGAACAGGAGCCAGCAAGATGATGCCCTTCATGATGCCCCTCCTTCTCGATGACAAGAAGAAGGTGATCGTAATCTCACCTCTCAAAGTTCTCCAATCAGAGCAGGTACGTCTGTTGCTCTATTTCTCTGTGTGAGTCTCTGATGTTCTGTTACAGGCTGAAAGATTCGAAAAAATGAAGCTGGCAGCTGTTGCTGTTAACGGTGACACATGGAATTCCGAGCTACAGAAGGTGTGTAATGGATTTCTTCTGTGGTATACTCGCATTTACAGTCTGCAGGATCTCGAGCAAGGGAAATATCGCAGCATATTCATGTTGCCTGAGATGTGTCTGAAGCATACTGAATTCCGTAACCACCTGACCTCAAGCTTTCAAGATATATGTGCCGTTATTGTCGATGAGGCCCATTGCATCGCGCAGTGGGGCGGAGATTTCCGTACCGCCTACAGCGAGATTGGAAAGCTGCATGCCTTCTTTCCGCCCAATATTCCCATCCTCGCTACCTCCGTGACTCTCCCACAAGCTGCCCTCCAGGAGGTTTGCTCTCAGCTCGGCATCGATGCCGCAGACAGTTTCTTTCTCAATCTCAGCAACGACCGCCCCAACATCGAGTTCTCTGTCCACAAGATGAACTCATCAACCGACTTCAAGGCCCTCAAACCCCTCCTCACTTGAAAGCCCAACCCCTCAACACCTGATGACTTCCGCAAGAGCATTGTCTTCATCGATTCAGTACAGTCGTCCCACCAGGTCCTTTGTGAGGTCCATTCGTGGTATCCATGTCACCTCCGCAAGCACATTGACTTCCTCCATGCCCACCGATCACCCAAGGCCAAGTGGCAGGCGATGCGGCGATTTAGGAATGGCCGCACAAGAATCCTCATCGCTACCGAGGCAGCAGGCATGGTATGTGCCTTGATTCTTTCTTCCTGTGTAGCCTGACTTTCCCTTGTAAGGTGCCGACATTTCTGATATCGAGCAAGTCATCCAGTTTGGCGTTCCCTTGTCACTGTCAGTCTGGATGCAACATGCGGGGCACGCAGGCCAAGACCCAAGCATCAATGCACGCGCCATTCTTCTGGTGGAAAAATCAATGTTTGAACAGCAGAAAATACAGAAAGGCCGCAAGAAGAAGGGGGTGGGTGATGAAGCTGTGCGCGAGGTGGAGGAGGAAATTGGTGGTGGTGACGAGGTTGAGGTTGAGGTTGAGGTTGAGGAGATAAGGAATGAGGAAGATGCCGAGGGAGCAGGTGATGATGTAGCAGGAGCTGTGGGGGGTGATGCCGAGGGGCCACCTACTGTAGACAAGCATGCAGAGACACCAAGACCAGGTTATGAGTTTTGTAAAAAGGTTGACAAGGACCTTCGATGTTGGATTGTGACCAAGGACTGCCGGAGAGATGTGGCTGATGATTACTTCGGCAACCCTCCTCGAGAGAAAGGTGCGTTTCTTGATTGAATCTATCTTTCTCTATGCTCATATGTTGCTAGCACCCACCAGAGCATGCTGCGACAACTGTGATGGCCTACCGGCTGATCTTGAATCCTCGTGGCCTTCAACACCTGTTCAGTCAACACCTCCGGGCAGCAGCCACTCAACCCCTTCGAAATCCATCAACAAAAATGGCAAGCGTCTGATGACAGAGGGCAAGAAACCGTCAACACGATGTGGCGACCTTCTCCAGGCCACTCGGGATGCTCTGATCAACTGGCGGTTCAACACGAAGCGAGCAAGATACAACCCCAGTTCCGTCACTGCTGAGTCTCTCATGCCAGAGAATGTCTTGAAAACTCTCGCCTCTTCTCGCCGGATCTCATCAATCAAGAATATCGATGTCAACTGCGTTGTTGGGCTTGTCCGGTTCGGAGTTGGGTTTGTCTTCGACAGGGTACTCATTTCCCTCAAGATCATGGTTATCAAACAAATTGTCCTCCTGGGGCAGTCTCGGCATTTCGTGTGCTCAGAGAGGAGGTTGTATGATGCAGTAAACCAATATGGGTTGTATGGGGAATAACCTCAATGTGAAGGATAGTGTAGACCATCTTCGGAATCTGTTCGTCCCACTACCAAGTTGTCTCAGATTTTGAAACATCCATCTCCTAACTCCTATATCCTGCTAGGAATACAATCCTCTCATGTAGTTAAGACTGCTGAATCTATTCTATCATAAAGGAATGTGGATATCTCCCGGAAACTCTTGATTGAGTCACGAACACTCTTGTATGGGGTATGAGGACGCGTTTAGGGGCGCGTTTGATGGGATCAGCACTGTGACTATGATCACGAGCTGTGACCATGGGGGGTCGCACGGTTCAAATGCACCAGACGTTGTAGGGTGGACCGCGTCCATCAAATGGTCAATAGCGGCCGAATTACCGAAAACGGATGGGAACGAGACTAGGTCGCATATCACGTTCCACTGCCGTGCGTGTACTTGAATGGGAAATTAGGGGTTACTGGCAGCTCGTAAGCTAAAAAATCGAAATAACATGGTACATTCAGAGTCTTGCTATATTTTTCACGAGCCACCACTGGGCTCCATCTCAGACGTTTCTGCTTGCGCCTTAGGAACACGCTCTGCGAAGGGCGCAACATGGACGACCAGACAAAGCTGGCCATAGACATAAGCCAACGAAGCCTCATTCCCATGCGCAACATACGCGGTCTTCAGAGCGTTCCTCCGATCTAGGAGCGACCTCCCCACCCACACCATCAACTGCGGGTTGTACCTGCTATACTCCTCCTGACGCCATTCCTCTTCTTCCGTGCTCTCCGCTCCGTCCTGGTGGACCACCAGCCTGCCCTTTGACATGCGGGAGAGCGAGACGGTGATGGACGAATTGTCTGTGTCGATGTTCCCGTATCCGGCCCTATACTCGACGAAGCGGTCGATGAGGGTGTAAACCTGTTTCTGCTGCTTGGAGCGGCAGTAGAGGACTTGCAGGGCGGTGTCGAGAGAGAGGGAGCGGCAGACACGGTAGATGTCGGCGTCGGTTCCTTTGAGGTTGCCGGATAATTTGGAGAGTTGGAGGTTGGGGTTGACTGGGTACTTGTGCGATAGACCGAAGCCGATGTAGCCGCCGTCCGGAAGAAAGTCGGGGTGCTGGAGGAGAGCGGAGAGGGTCTCGCGGAGAGGAGCGTCCCTATCCAGGCCAAAAGATATATTGGATGATGGAGAGACTGCAGGTTCGGAGTAGATGTTGTAGGTAAGGGTGACACGATATCCAGAGTTGACCGGGGTGACCTCGTGCTCAATGTCGCTGTAGAAGGCCGCAAAGGCGACGCGCGGCTTGCCGTCCTCATAAACGAGCTTAGGAGAATCGAATGTCCACTCTTGTCCTTCGTGACGAAGGAGGAGCGATCCTCCGACATGAACAGTAGGAAAGACGATAACTAAGGATGCGATCATTTTGTCACTGCGAGGAGTGTCGACATGGGCCTTGAAGAATGAGCCAGGACCTTGGGAGAACAGCAATGTGAGTTGGGGACAAGCCGAAAGATATGAAGCAAACGAACCGTATATGTTTAGCTTGTACAACTCGAATCGAAGGGATTGTGGAGTTGATGGTGCCTCAAGGAGAAACTCGCCGACTCTGTCTGTGATTCCAGAAGTGAACGCCGTGAACTGAGCCGCGAAGTTGGCGGCATCCATCTTCCCTGCCTTTCGGTAGGATTCATCCAGTATGTCCTGCTGACCGAGGCCGAAGGTCGCTGGCTGACAGGCGGCCGCTAACGCCTCGAGTTGGCCCTCTGTGGGTTGACTGAAATCGACGACGCCAGCACTAGAACCGGTCGACCCTATCAGCCGATGGTGTAGTGAGACTGCAGGAATCACACACCCAGTTAAGCCTTCCTTGGAGAAGAAGAGCTTGGAAACGTTGGGCTCCAGTGGGACGGTGCCGATGTAGAGAGGCTTTCTTTTCGTCTCCTGGAACTTTTCCTGAAGAGCGACGTAGAGCGCCTCAACATCCGTGCTGCTTTCTTGAGAGGCCATGCCGTTTTATAGATGGAAGAGAGGGTGGATGAGGCCGAACGGGATGCGGGGAGAATTGGCGATGAAGAGAATTAGCTTGGGGCCTTTTATCCCATCGCGAGGGTAGCCCCTATCATGCCCCCCAGAGGACCTCGAGGCAACGACAAGAGGCACAGTGAGTCAGAACAGTTTATCGATGGCCAGGTTCATATCGCGAACAATGGACGGGAACGTGCTTCAATATGCCTGTGAACATTCCAAGGCAGGCGGTTTCGGCCCTTGACAATTGCCCTGAAAATGGTGCTTGTGGGTCCATGCATCGATCTAGGATAGAAGCAACCCTGGAAATTTGGGTTCCTTGGAAGTTAAAGCGAGGCAAACACCCTTCCTGGAAGAGCCCCGATTTGCAAAATGCGACAGCGATCTACGCTGGCAGTGCGGCCGATTCCGACAAAAAATCTAGGAAGAACTACGTCAGTCCTGGAGCCCCTGACTATCCATAGTCAGCACGTACGTGTACTATATTCTGCGTACTCCGTAAATGTAAAGTAAAAGTTTGAACTTTGAACTTCGAAGGTGATGGTGGCAGGAGTCAACCAAGGAGCCGGGTTCAGCACAGCCGCGCAGACGCTGAAGGCGTCGCCAAGCTGAACCAAACAACGCTTACTCCTTCACCTGTACCACGACGATGGCCGACGAACAAGCCCCAGAAATCCAAATCAACGTCAAGGGTGAGTATACGTTATTGCTGGGAGGCTGGATTGAATCCAGAAACTGACTTTGAGGTAGGCCCGAGCGAGCTAAAGCTCCAGATTTCAATAACAACAGACAAGACGGTGTTGGAGCTCAAACAGGCGATTGCAGCAAAATCGGATGTAGAGGCCGATAGACAACGGTTGATTTACTCAGGTATGTTTTTATAGTGTTCCATTCCTTCGAATTTTCAGAGACTTATGTGGTGTAAACCCATCCAGGACGCGTGTTGAAAGTCAGTCTTTTTATTCCAGTGGCGTTGCGCGGAACCACATCCTAATCGCCCAGCTTTCTTCGCTTTTCTAGGACGATGACCAACTATCCGTCTACAAGATCCAATCCAACCACACCATCCATATGGTCAAAGGCGTCTCGCGATCTGGAGCTAGTGGCTCTTCTTCTGGGTCGGCAGGCGCAGCACCCCAACAGCTCCCAACTATGCAGACAGGGCAGAACGTCCACGACCCGCTCACACAGCTCAACAGCCACCTAGGCTTCGGTGCTATGGCGGGCTTGAATCCGTTCGGGGAGCTGGGTCTGAACCCTAACGATCCCAACATGGTACGTCGTGTTGTGGAGCATTACTCTTTGACGCCAGGATCTGATTGAGGGTGGGTAGATGCAAAGCATGATGAACTCGCCCCAGTTCCTCCAGCAGATGTCGGCCATGATGTCGAATCCGGCCATCATCGACCAGGTTATCGCTAGCAATCCCCAGCTCCAGGCTATGGGTCCACAAGTCCGCGCTGCTTTCCAGGACGAGGGTTTTCGGCAGATGATGTACGTCACCCTCTCTCTATCTCTCTATGAAGCTCGTCTAACTATACACATAGCTCAAACCCGGAATACCTCCAACAAATGCTCCGGATGTCCTCCATGCTGCGCGGTGCCGGTCTCGGACCCGAAGCAGGCTTTGGAGGCGCGTTCGGTGCCCCCCCTGCCTTCCCTGCCCCCGGTAACCCCAACTCTTCCTCCACGAACCCGTCTTCCGGGACGTCGCCAACGACCCCGGGTGGTGGTCCTGCAGGCACGCAACAGCAGCCGCCGATAAACCCGTTCAACCTGTTTGCTGGGTTTGGAGGGGCAGGTCTCGGGCCAGGCCTTGGCGGGTTCGGCGCAGGCGCAGGTCCTGCCACTGGTGCAGGAGCTGGCGTTGGTGGTGCTGCAGCACCCGGATCACCTGGTGCGCCGGGCGCGAGCCCCAATCCAAATGCAGCGAATCCGTTTGCGATGAACCCAGCTTTGATGCAGCAGATCCTCGGCATGGGACCGTACGGACCTGGTGCTGGTGGATTGGGCTCGTACGGGCATCTAGGTGGCCTTGGAGGCCTTGGGATGCAGCCTCCTCCACCTGCAGATACTCGTTCTCCCGAAGAGCGATTCCAGGTTCAGCTCCAGGTATGTTTTTCTGTGTATCGAGCATTGAACTTTGTGGTACTGATCATGGTCTTCGTTTGTTCATCTAGCAACTCCAAGATATGGGCTTCACGAACGCCCAGCAGAACGTTCGCGCCCTGCTCGCGACGGGAGGGAACGTCCAGGCTGCGATCGACTACATCTTCAGCGGAGGCGGGCTATAAATGAGTTGTGAGGAAGGATGTGCTATGTATCATACTGAACCAATGCATGTACTCGTAGAAGTGGACCGTCGGTGGTGTGCTTGTAATACCTATATAATGCTTGGACTTGGTTGTCTAGCTGAGACCCGTGAAAATTGACAATTTACTAAGCTGCAACGGTTTCACCATGAATGCGTGATTAGGCGACTGAGGCGCGGCCCCTTCCTGTGCATGAAGGTCTGGACATCATGAATGATTATCTAGGCGCCTGTCAGTTGGCGCCGGTGATGAGTGTCCTTCGGGATTGGCGTGTTGCTATTACCTCGAGTTCTAAAACTAGCGAGCAATCCGCATATGTGGATTTTTTCTTCATTTTTCTTGGAATGCTAGGGTCGTCATCTGCTCTAGAGGAGCTTTGTGCAGACGAAGTTACCGTCGAGGTCCCGATTGCAGCGCAGATCCTCCGTCTGCCCATAGATATGTTCTCAAAGAGCGTCTGAAAGCTGCCATTCCCCGCCTTTCGCTGAGACAACCGCCCAATTCATCGGAGGCGGAAGACGGGGAAATCTGCATCGCCAGATGGATATTGTCCGCCCCGCAATAGTAGGTAATAAGGAAGTCTTGCTTGAGGTGCTCGGAGAGGACGGACGACGTGACGAAGTCGCATGTGGAACCGCCTGGGCCGTTGAGCGTGGTGGGCCGGGGACATCGCACTAGCGGTCTTGAATATCTCGATGTTCCATAGGCAGGAGGCTGGACGAAGGAGAGTTCGAGGGGAAGAGGGCTTAGATTCTGTGGTTCAGGCGCCAGCGAAGACGAGACGAAAGATCTATTTTGAGTTCTCGAGTCTACCTACCACATACTTAGGCAGCCTCGATCCCCGCCTCCTTGAGCTTTGCGATCAGCTCGTCGACGTTGGCGACTTTACCACCACCGACGCGTTTCGGAGGCTCGGTGACTTTGAGAGTCTCGAGCTGGGGTGTGTAGTCGACACCAAGGTCGGAAGGAGAGAGCGTCTGCACTGGTTTCTTCTTGGCCTTCATGATGTTGGGCAGGGAGGCGTAGCGGGGTTCTGGAATAATATATCAGGTCGGGATTAGCAGCATGGATCAGAGAATTTGCTTACCGTTTAGCCTACGTCGGAATGGCATTCGTCAGCTCGCGAGTAACAAAAAAACAAACGTTCAAGACGCACCGAAGATCCGTCGTTACTACCAGAGGCAGCTTGCACCGCACCTCCTCACCTCCTCCATCAATCTCCCGAACCACCAATGCCTCGTTCTTCCCCACATCCACCTCAAGTTTGCTCGCAAACGTCGCCTGGCTCCACCCCAACAATCCGGCGAGGTGTTGTCCAGTCACACCCATATCATCGTCAATGGCCTGCTTGCCCAGGATAACCAGGTCGATCGGTCCGTCCTTGCTAGCCTCCGCATTGTGTTTCTCGATGAGAGCCTTCAATGTCTTGGCTACTGCCAGCGGTTCGGGACTCGGGGCTGCCTCTGGGACTTGAACGTGCACCGCAGAGTCGGCACCTAGGGCGAGGGCTGTTCGGAGCGTCTCTACGGATTTTGGAGGACCGATGGTGACCGCCCTGATTGACTTAACGGCGTCCTTGTGCTTTTCTCGGAGACGAACGGCTTCCTCCACCGCAATTTCGTCGAAGGGGTTCTGTGAAATCTCTGTGAGCCAAATTTTGCGGAAGAACTTGACCGGGGCGTACCATAGAATGCTTAACATTTGTGTCGATGCCCGTCTGTTGGGGGTTCACGCGGATCTTGACCGCATAATCCACCGCCCTACCATTCGGTTCTTTCGTGAGTTCTTGTGCGTCTTGCAGAGAGTTTAAGCTCACCTTTTTACAGGTACTAGGATGTTAAGCAAGCGCGCTGGTGAAGGCTTCATCTTCTACCTTTCCGGGTTCAAACGGAAAGCCTGCCCAAGATTGTCGAGGTTTTGGGACAAGGATGAAGCCTTTCACGTGCTTCGTCCGGCTGGAGTGATCGTGGAAAGTTCATCCCAAATTAGGCGTCACGTCCACGAGACGTCACGACACGCGAATATGTGACTCACTCCTGAAAGGTTTTGAGTTTCCGCCCCATGCACGTGATGCGCTTCCATTACATAAACCATTATCTAATTGTCCAAACCGACGCAGCTCGCGAGCGATTCGATTTCTTTCTCCGACCGTATCAAGCCGTATCAGGGCTTCTTGGTGGCGCGGTGGCGCAGCACGCCTTTGGTTCCCAACCACCATCGTCAACGACCCCTCTCCGCCTCCCTCCCTGCTCTTCCTTCTCCTCTTCGCGTTCCCGCTCCTTGTAGCCCCTCCGCACTGCTGACGGCCCCTCTCCGCGACGAATATTGCGCGTTTGTGTCGACGCGCGCCTGCCTCAAATGCAAGAACATGGGAGTGAGGAGTGGCACGGAGCGCACATCTCTCGTCGTTCAAGGCGCCCCTCTCCCGACACTACGCGTTAATCGACACAGAAACACACATGACACATGCTGCAATGAAAGCCAGATCCAGGGAACGGGAGGTAGCACGGTCCGTGTATGAGTGGCATTGCAGTGGGCTACTGAAAGCATGGACACGGTGGAGCATGGGATACATTGGAGGGCCATGAACGCGGTGAGCAAGTACCTTTAACCTCTGCATCGACTGCGCCATGCTCACCTTGCGCGTCCCTGACACCGTTCCCAATACCTCCGACTCAGCCACCACATAGCCGTACGACTCCGTGCTCCCCATCCCTCTCTGGCTGCTGAGCCACCTCTCGAGTCCATAATTTCTGTACACTAGAACCTGTAATAATAAATCAAACTTCCAATTACTTCAATAATAGTGTGAATGGTCCTTATTCAGGCAGTTGGTCTACAAGTGAGAAATGGTTTGAAACTTGAGCCGTTCATGTAATTCACTCATGGTGGCCCTCAGCCCGACGAGCCAGCTCGCGCACTCGCCTTCACTCTAACGAACCGCCTTCCTATTTTGATGTTTACATAAGTGATGACAAATGCGATCATCACGTGCATGGGGCGGAAAGTCGCCAACTACTCCTGAACGAGTCACTAGCGACGAAATTATCATGCCAGTGGCGGTTTTCAATCTTTCTCGATGTTGTTGACGCGTCCGTTCATGTCGCTTCTCTTCAGAGAACATTGCAATGGCGTTCGCGTTCATCGAACAACATCTCAAGGGTCACATGTGGCTCAAGACGCTTTACCGCTACGAGAAGGACTAGTTGAAGATGTTCTGCCTCGTTGACCACTTCCCTACCTCCAGACAGGTATGTACATCGGCTGCTTGTTCAAACGTTCGTGGCTCACTTGATGATGGGAAATCTTCCACGCGTTTCGAGTCATTCCGAAATAGGGGTCCAATGGACTTCGCGTTTCCCCACACGCACAGATCATGGTCGGTTTATTTTACGTGGATGCCAGCTTCGGGGTCAAACTCTAGTGCTTGGCTTTATCGATTCGTGTGATTCGTGAGTCATAAACAACGGCTGGGAATATTGCAAGTTTACTGATGGGAATAAGAATCAAGTGGACCTACAATTGGCAGCTTCGATCCGATCCGAGACTGCCTCCAATGCTTCAAGTGATTTAGAAAGACATGGGCTTAATTATATTAACCACGATCCCAAACACGCGTCGTGCATGGAGGCCCTAGGGGATGTATAAAAAGCCCGCGCCAACAGAGAAACTCTCCCCAAACACCCCCATTGCAATGTCCCTCTTGAAGGATTTCGTCACCGCTCTCCGCAATGCTGTCCAGGTCCCGTATTGCACGGGTTCCGTAACTCTCGATCCGGCGGCCTCAACTTTGTTTTATAAAGCCTCCGACTCGGAGCGAGCAGAGTGCGCCCTTTTATCTTCATGTCACCATCTCTACATCACATAGCGTTCTAGGTTGCTCAACTTCGCGCATCCAACTGAAGAAAAATTAGAGGCTCTCTCGAAGGCATGCCAGGCTGCGACATTCGGCCGCGCGCAGCAAGACGTGCTTGACGAATCTTATCGCAAAGCCCTCAAGATGGATGCGAGCGCCTTCGCCACTTAGTTCGCCCCATTGGAGCTCGGCATCCTCCACACAATTCGCCAAGATCTTCTCAGAGGTCAAAAAGCGGAGAAGCCCATCCGCGTCGAGCTCTATAAGCTCAATGTATACGGTAGGCCATGCAATTCCAGATAAAATTCATGCTCACCACTACTGATATAGGTCCTGGCGCATTTTTCAAGTCCCATGTCGATACTCCCCGGAGCAACATGATGTTCGGCTCCCTCGTCATCGTACTCCCTACTGTCCATACAGGCGGCTCCCTCGTTTTCCATCACGGCGGCCACGAGTTCACCTTCGACTCCGCCCAAGCCGTCGCGGTGAATACGGAAGGCCCTCGGGCGGCGTTCGCGGCCTTCTATAGCGATGTTGAGCATGAAGTTCTTCCCGTCGAATCTGGATATCGAGTGACCCTCACCTACAACCTCTATTTCAAGAATAGTGGCTCCAACAATCGGGCAGCTGACATCCCTAACGAACTCGATCAACACCTGAAGGCATCTTTCGAGGCATTGCTGAAGGACCCTACCTTCCTTCCTGACGGCTGCCTCGTCGGTTTCTCCCTTTCCCACCGATATCCGTTCGAGGTCAGGGGGAACAGGGACCTTACCAAATTTTTTTACCTCTTGAAGGGCGCAGACGCTGCCATCTTGCACATGTGCGCCGATCTCGACCTACATCCCGCTATCAAGGCTGTTTACAGCGATTACGAAGAGACCGAATTTTGTTTGATGGACAGTTTCTGCGACTTCGCCGATGAAGAGGTCGAGGACACCCTAATTTGCTACCTTGAAGAACAGGGTGGGCAGGTTGTCTACCCGGTGGAGAAGGGCCCGCTTCAGTCTGAGTATGGTCCGAAGAAGGCGGTCCCGATCAAGTGGTTCAAATTTGGCGATACGCCGAATACGTTCGAAACCCCTTACGTGGCTCATGGCAATGAACCCTCCGTCGATTACGCCTATGGAGAGCTCTGCCTTGTCGTAGATATCCCACCTGCCGCCAGTCGTGGTCTGTATCCTGTAGCACTTCATGTTATATCTCCTACTTCAGATCTGGCTTAGTATGTCTATTCATCTCTCGTCGCCGTTCTACCGTGCCATGTACAGAGGTAAAAGACTTAGGGAAGTTGTTATTGATGGCATGTCCAGTTTCTCCCTGCATTGGAATAATTCAGGTTGTCCATCTCGAGAATTTGTTTAATAAAGCTGTGCCTTGTCCTTGGTGTGGCCGAACATTTATGTCTTCAGTGTCACAACGAAAAAGACTGAAATCCCGCCAATTCATTAGTTGCAACTGCTAGTAAAGATCAGGGAATGTCACAGACAGGACGATGAAAATTTGCCCGTCTTCTCTCGCCACGCCCGTAATTGTGCGTTTTATTTAAGCAGTAAGAGCAAGGTCTTTCTGGCAAAGACACTGCGCCACTCTGGCCATAATTGTCGCAACCATTCTGGAGACCCCTGTTGTAAGCGAGAATCCTATCCACTGTTCTTGCGCCGTGCGGGTTCGGCATCATCCGAAATATGACGCGAATCCCCACCCCTGAGTTCTGCACAACGTTCAACTCAACTGCCACCACCGTTCCATTCACGCTTGACGCAAACCGTAGTTGACCTCTCATAACATTGCAAGTCGACAAATACTGGCTATGTCTTGTCCGAAATGCAAGGAAGGCTTCGTGCTGCCTGGCGAACCCGCCGGGAAGATCGACACGGATTTCCTGGGTGCCTACCACGCACCAGCGCCTTCTGGCGAGGTATCGAAGCGCGCTATCCTCCTCTTCACAGACGGCTTTGGGCTACCTTTGAATAATTGCAAACTGATTGCGGACAACTTGGCGAAGCGCCTCGAGTGCGATGTCTGGATCCCGGATTACTTCAACGGTGCGTTGCTCATTTCACGTTGTCTCAGGCTGAGAGGTCCCGATCCGGTGCTGAAAAAGGAGAACTTATGCAAATTTAGGGAAGCCGATAGTCCCAGTAGACAACCTCAGTGCGCCAGACCGTGCGGGTGTGAAGTTGTCCATCCTCGACTGGATCAAGTTCATCCTGTTCACTGGGATCCCTAGCATTCCTGCCTTCATTCAAAGTAGACCAGCCGTGGCGGATGCGAGGGTCAGATCTGTGAGTTTCGTTGTGATCTATGGTCCGACATCACAATTCACGTTTAAGAACTGTA